AATGGACGGCGACCGGGATCCCGAAGGCGACGGCGACGGCGACGGCGATGGTGACACGCCCAACTGGCTCCCACTCGCCTTGGACGACACTTGTTGCACCATATCGTATCCGGCGGCAATCCTGGCTGCTCGCAGCGCCTCGTAAGATTGGACCATGTAGCTGACCGTGGTTGCGCCGCGTGCTGCCAGCTCTGCGAGTGCCGGGATTGGGAGGGGGACGGCGGCCTGAGCTCCTGCGGTTAACGGAGTGTTGCTAGCGCTGGAGCCGTCTGTTCTTATGCTGCTGCTCGTGCTGCTGGCGCGCCGCGTGATTCCCGCAGGACTGAGCAGCCGGATTGGAGGGTCCCTCTCCAGGCCCAGTTGTTGTTGATTTCCATCATGATCGCCAGGAACTGTGTTCGCACCAAGCGGAGCCGCACATGTCTGATCGGCCACTGATGAGGACGGTGTCGTGGCCATGGTTATAGGCGTCGCCGTGCTGAAGGGAGCGGTAGCCTGAGACAACGCTGGAGACCTGGGAGATTGGGCTGGAGAGGACACCTGCTGGACCTCGACACTCGGAGTTATTGTTGTTGTCGTTGTCGTCGGAGTATTGTTTTCTAGTGTTGATGTTGGGCCCTGAGGTTCGACGTTGTCGTCCACATTATGATGACCCTGCGAGTCTTGGATGTCGTCATCGCTGTGTTTGAGAGCCATGTTGGCGGTATTAGTATTGGCGAGGTGTTTTGCTTCTTCTTATACCCTATTGTGGTTCAGTCGATGTCGAGGACAAGGAACGCAATAGGTCAGGCGGCAGTCCTGTGGTAGGTCAGACTTGGCGGCATGCCTTTTTTTCTCTTTCTTTTCTTCCTTTTCTTTTTGTAGTTCTTCAAGTCGTGAGGGACACCGGCATTCAATCAACGAGGACCTCAGCCTGCAAAGGACCGAGGGGGGGTTCTGTCTAGTTTATACTGGGACTTTAGCTGTGGAGTTGGCAATTCACCCTGTCGAGCTGGATGGAGGCTGTAAACTCCCACAACGGAGAATGTTGGTTGATAAGGCACGAGTAGGGGCCTCGAACCAAGCTGGAAGCGAATGGCGGCGTCGATATCGACAAAAAGCAGGGCAGCGCAAAGGAGATCAAGTTGGCTGGAGAACGGGATGTAATCATGTGGGGGCCTTGCTTGCTTAGGGGGCGCTAGGCACTGCACAAGGTTTTGCTGGAGCGGGTTAGACAACGACGTTGATGAGGGTACCTGCTGGGCGGTATACAGTGTGCGACCAAGAGTGAGGACGTACTGCGTTATCAAACCAACGTTGTGCGGAAGTGAGTGTTTTAGGACCGGGCTAAAAGAAGAAAAGAAGGATGGGATAACGACCTACGTAGTGACGGGACGTGTGAGTGTGGTGGTGGCGAGCGAATCGATGTGGTTGAAGATGGAGGTACCGCTCCGGTGTAGTTGGTACGTTCCTGGACGGACCGGAGAGGTTGATCTAGACCCCCGGACACGGCAGAGCGCGAACAATGGAACAAGAGGAAGAGAGCGGACGGAAAGGAAAGAAAGAAAGAAGGCGGGAAGCACAAAGAGACCCAGAGGAGGGAGAGGATAGGATTGAGAAATGGCCCCAAAGTGTAAACTACTATGGAGTAGTTAGGGGGGTGAAGAGAACCAAGGAAAACAATAGAATTCTACAATGGAGTCAAGACAAGCCAGACTCTCAGTCCAGTCTCACCCCGACCAAGCAAGACAAAAAGACAAACAAGCAGTACGCAATTCTGACATGACGGCCCCGGAAAGCAGCACACAGGAGGTAAAACACCGAAAACCACGTTTAATTCCAATACAACGTGTCCATGGTGTTAGCAACTGCCGGAAGCCGCCCTGGCACGACTTTACAGATGCGTACAAAATGTAATGTACGAGATTGATAGACAATTTGGAGTTGACCTAGGGTCCAGGACCCGACGAGACGAGTGGATGCAACAGGTGGAGAGCCAAATTTAAACTATTCGCAGAAATTGGGGGGTAACGAACCAGATCAAGATGATGCCTCAACAAGGATCTTCCTGCTCTATGGCTTCAAGTTCTCCTCTTTCTCACCTCCTCTCCTCACGATGCATTCAGTCTAACGATGAAGCCGTAGGTACCTATGTTGGATTTGTTCGGATGGGATGCTGTACCTTACATGCGAACGAAAGCGTAAATACAACCTACCTTTTTTATTCTGTCTGTCTCAGGGGAAAGCCCCGTCGCCAAGCATGTACGCAGTAGGAGGAACCGAAAATAACAACACCGAGAAAGGGTTCGGGTAGCAGATTAGAAGAAGTGTCGGCTTCACTAGTGTAGTGTAGTGTAGTGTAATCTCTTCTTGGCCTTGATAGAGATAAGCTCAAAAGATGGCACCTACCTACATATCATCCCTTTCTCCAACTCCTCCTCTCCTCACCGGAGACTGTGAGCGGCGGTGTTGGTCGATATATTTGTCTTGGGGTAGACTGTGCACGGACCTCTTTGGTCTCCTTTCCCCCATCAACTTCCCATCGCTCATCCTCCCGCAGGTTTTGACAAGTTGGTGATGCGACTGAGCCACAATGAGATACCCGTCGCAATCAACAGCCAACTTTGTAAGTCACAGGGCTCAGAATCTATCATGGCCCTATCAGCTCCATCTGCAAGTGAGCACATGCCCATCTTACTGGTATTCCTGCTGCAGCCAAGTTGGCTTGTCCAACGTGGGACAAAGTAGGTAACCAAGACCAAGTATGTATGTATCACCACCACTTCCATCAGCCATCATGATACACGACTAGGCGGCATGACGGCGGTTCGGCTAGCGGTACACTAGTAACGGTTGTGGTTAAAGGTCACGCTCTCCTCCTCCTCCTCCTCCTCACAGTCGCTGTACACTACGCCTAGAACTGCGGTGGCACACAGACCACAAGGCACCTCGCCAATCAGACGCCGCCATTCATGTCCAGAGCTAAGGTACTTGTACACTATGCAGTGTCAACCCTGGACCAGCCTCAAATCTCCCCCAATCTCGCAGTCTCGTAGCCCGCGGTCGTCAGTGAGGGTCCCGTCAGCGAGAAGGGAAGCAAGATGAACCACTAATTATCGAGCTGATTATCTTCATCTCGCTGACGTCGTACAGGCCCAACCCGCGTCCTCACATGAACCGGTCTTCGTCGTGACTGAGCTTCCTTTCGGCTGCCGGCGTCGTCGTTTCGTGCCTGCCAAGAGAGCGCGACAAGTGGCTGAATCTTTTGAGATCCAAGGAAGCTCCCTGCGGCGTGGTGATGGGGGCCAACGGGTACCTCCCGTACTTGGGCCTCGGTCCTTTTAAACAAAATTGCCTTGTCCCATTCTCAGCCGTGTGCATCCGGGCTGATGGGTCCGACTCCACTTGCAGACTATCGGTCCGTCCGTGGAACGGTGAAGGATGCCATGGTCTACACTACACTAGAGAGGCCGACGGCGGGAATTTCTATCGAGTCGTGGACGGCCCGTTATGAGCCCGCTGTGGTCGGAAAGACGACCGCGATCCGGGGGTAACGCGAGGTCGGATCCAGGCCGCTGCCGAAAGATCCGGTAGCGGCGTTCCGGACCGTCTGCCAGCCACATCCATCCTCCACTGTGGGTGGGCCTGCAGTGGCCTCCGGGAAAACACCGCCGAACGGCCCTGAGGACATGCCATCCCGTCGACGGTCGAGGAGCACAAACATAACTCTCCGGACTTTGGAACCGTATTTACATCATCCTGTTGTCAACCGTTCAAAATGAGCAGCCGGGCAAAATAAACCATCCTCTTGCCGATTTTTGAGATTGTGATTCTCGCGGCGCAGCAGCCACCGAACCCTGACCGCCACGCAGGCTGGCAAAGCAGCCACGCAGCCACCCGCACCACCCAAAAGATAGTTACCACTGCCAAGTAGTAAAATATTTGCGTTACTTTCAGCGCGGAGTGAGGAGGAAGCAAAGGGGTGAGGAAGCAATTTATATACGAAGGCTAAGAACGACTCTGGGTGATGGCGGTTTCATTTAAACAAGACGCGGATGCTGACTCTCCGAATCTTCTGTCCCTTTCCCTTTGGTCTTTTCCGCCTCCCTCTTTCGTTTTTCTCAGCTGCGGGCGGCATCGCATCGCTCGGGCAATTCCGCCTGTCTCCCCATAAGACAGTCTCTTGCGCCATCGACCATGACGATTTGATTTTTTAATAGAAAACTCCATCGTAAAGTGATGGCGGAGAACCATATCCTAACGAGGAAGGTCAACCATCACCAAAGTGGGGTTCGTGGTCAGCGTTGGCATGTCATTCCATCGCGTGTCGGCACGTATCGATGGGAGGCATGCCGTACAAAATATTGTCGAGAACAAGAAATGGACATCTTGCTCTGTCCGTCATCAACAACAGCGAGCAAACAAACACCAACAAAAAAGCAGCTACATTTGACTATCTCAGATCAACATTCATGCCTTTGAGAAGGAAAAATGCTGGATTCAATGGTCCCGGCTAAAATGTTACATTGACAAGAATTTTGATCCAACTTGACAGCAAGCTGAGCCTGCTGCCGTCTGGTCAAGCTTTGCCAAGTGTAGCTCACTGCTGAGGCACTGCAGTGGCCGTGCGTTAGTCGACGGGATGAAGGCCATCGTGAACTCCCATCACTGTCACCATCAGGAAGGACAAAGTCGCAAACGCCGTGACGGCGTACAGCCATCTCACCTATCTTGTACACGAATATGATGAAAATAACGCACTACAAACTCTGTCAACAGATTGAGATTGCGACTAGCAAAATAATAGCCCACAGCATCCCATCTGGCTACCACCTTCGTCTTCTGGACTGGCACTGACCGCAGAGTCGCCAGCCCCACGGTAGCATTGTTCTGTCATACATGTATTGCACTCAGTCTGCAGCGTTGGGCAGATGAGAGATCTCGTTACATACACTACATACGGTGACCGGTTTTCCGTGTACCTAGGTACCTTAGTGCAATTGGCCAATGACACCCTCTCCCGGCCCGTGGTTCTTAGTCCGTGTCGACCGACCTTCCTCTTTCCATCAACAGATCCGCATCGACTAGCATCGGATCCGCATCCAACAATCCGCACCAACTGCTGACAGAACGAACGAAACTTCGTCGGCAACCCAACAACAGCCCCTTTGTGACAGTCGCGACGACGATCTTTTGGCCTGATCCACGGCCTGGCTCTGTGTATCGACCTGCCCTTATTCGCCAATGGGCCGCCCCCCAAGTTAACCGCGTTCAGTTAAATGGGGCTGGGGGGGCCGATCATCGTCAGTGCCGGTGACTTGCCAAGTGGTGTGGAGCAAACACCCGGACGCCTTTTCCTGGCTGTCACTCTCTGTTTCGGTTCCTGACGTTACATACTCCTCCTCCTTCATTGCCCAGCTTCCCTTGTGCTCTTCCATCCACCGCCGCCGCCGCCCGGGAAACACGACAGTGCTGGATTGTCGCTGTTCGCTGGAATTCATCATGTTCCAAACCGGATTGCCGCGGGTCCGTTAAAGAGACTATGTCAGGTACTCAAATGACCATGGCGTGGAAGTGTGTTAAGTGCGTGTCTGCCAACACACCGCAAAGGTCAGATTCAGACTCAAAGCTTCGATGGACTTTCTCTTCTTATTACGTATGTACAATGGCTACTTCTTGTCCGGTGAAATGCATTGAAATGTGCACTTATTTGTGGTGGAAGTTTTCATGGGCGTAATGCATACAAGTAAATGCCGGACATATGCCCTCCCAAGGGCATGCAGTGATATCGATAGGAACCGATGCGACCAAGACAGGCGTGGAACTTGTTAAAGCTCCAAGTCTTGAGCCTTTGCCGTAATTGCTCAAATTCGGAACACGGTCAGTCAAACAAAAATTGCGATTCTGCAAAAACAGACGACGGCATTTCAAATACAAAAAGACAACGTCAATTAATAGCACAGAAAGCGGTTGTCCAAATAACAGACCACAGTCGGTTTAACGGACACGGCTTTTCGACGAGACGGGTTCCATGCCGGTCCATCATGTGCAGGGAGCACGTTAACCCAATAAGGAAGGAGCTCAACGCGTTCTCCTGATACCTTGGACGACATCATGATCTGCATCTACGGTCTTTCTGTACGGCCTATGACCGCTATCGCGTAAGTTGTAGCTGCCACTCCAAAAAATCATGTCATGCTGGATCTTGGTACTCCTTTCCGTGGAGGACAAAGGTCCGACTATATAACATCCCTATCCCCCCCAATCTTCTCTCTTCCCTCCCAGTCGCACCTCAGTCCAACCAGACCAGGCACCAGTCGACCATCACCATTATGCTTTGGTCCGTCCTCCTCCTCGCCGCGGGCGCTTCTGCCCATGTCAAGAGCAGCCTCCCTTCGGTCCCCTCGGGCTGGAAAAAGGTTCGCGCCGCCTCGGCCGACGAGAGCGTCTCGCTCAAGATCGCCCTCCCCGCCCACCAGCCCGATGCTCTCGAGACTGCCATCCTCCGCGTGTCTGATCCCAACCACCACGAGTATGGCATGCACCTGAGCAGCGAAGAGGTTCGCTCGCTGGTCGCCCCTTCGGACGAAACTACGGATGCCGTCACCTCGTGGCTCAACCGCAACGGCATCAAGGGCAAGGTGGACAACGACTGGGTCTCCTTTACCACCTCGGTCGCCAAGGCCAACAACCTGCTCAACACCACTTTCGACTGGTACCAGCAGGACGGCGACAAGACGGGCCCCAAGCTCCGCACTCTCCAGTACAGCGTTCCCGATGAGCTGGATGCCCATGTCGACATGATCCAGCCCACCACCCGTTTCGGCAAGCTCGCCGCCAAGGCCTCCACCATCTTCGAGATCTTCGATGAGCCTGAGCCCAAGAACATCGCCAACGTCAAGGTTGGCGGGGACCACCCCACTTGCACCGGCTGCATCTACCCGGACGAGATCCGCTCCCTGTACAACATCAAGTACAAGCCTTCTGCCTCGGACAAGAACACTATCGCTTTCGCCTCGTACCTTGAGCAGTACTCCAACTATGACGATTTCACCTCGTTCGCCAAGGCCTTTATTCCCGACGCTGCTGACCGCAACTACACCGTCAAGCTCGTCGAGGGTGGTCTCCATGACCAGTCTCCCGATAAGATCGGAGGTGAGCTTTTTCCCCCCAGTCTTTCCATGCAAGCCCCGTACTAATAACCCCCACAGTCGAGGCCAACCTTGACCTCCAATACATCCTCGCCATCTCCAACCCTATTCCGATCCGCGAGTACTCCATTGGCGGCCGCGGCCCGCTCGTCCCCACGGCCAACCAGCCTGGCCCCGAGATCTCCAACGAGCCCTACCTCGATTTCTTCCAGTACCTCTTGTCCCTGAAGAACTCGGAGCTCCCCGCCACCCTCTCCACCTCGTACGGTGAAGAAGAGCAATCCGTGCCCCGCGAGTACGCCCTCAAAGTGTGCTCCATGATCGGCCAGCTCGGCGCGCGCGGTGTATCCGTCATCTTCTCCTCGGGCGACTCCGGTCCCGGCGACGCCTGCATTCGCAACGACGGCACCAACAGCACTTACTTTGAGCCCACCTTCCCGGGCGCCTGCCCGTGGGTTACCTCGGTCGGAGGCACCTACCAGACGGGCCCCGAAAAGGCCGTTGATTTCTCGTCCGGTGGCTTCTCCATGTACCACAAGCGCCCCGTGTACCAGGAACGCGTCGTCAAGAAGTACCTCGACAAGATCGGCGACACGTACAGCGACTTCTTTGACGAGCAGGGCCGTGGCTTCCCCGATGTGAGTGCGCAGGCATCCCGGTACGCTGTGTACGTTGACGGTCGTCTTGTTGGTGTTTCTGGTACCTCTGCCTCGGCGCCCATGTTCGCTGGTCTCGTTGCCCTGCTCAATGCTGCCCGCAAGAGCCACGGCTTGCCGAGCTTGGGATTCATCAACCCCTTGCTGTATGCTTCCAAGGGCGCGTTTACGGATATTGTGGATGGTGCGGGTTCTGGATGCCGGGGCAGGCCGGAGTTTGCGGGTGATGTGGGTGGAACTGCCAAGTGGAATGCTACCGAGGGATGGGATCCCGTTACGGGATTGGGAACGCCCAAGTTTGACAAGTTGTTGGCGCTGGCGGCGCCGGGGGTTAAGAACGCCTAATGAAAATGCGGATGGATGGGGTGTTGATGAGGAGGTCAATGCGATGCGATGCAGCGGTAACGAATACCTAGGATATTTTGTTCATGTGTTAGTGAACGGTAATACCTAATGACTTTGAATCCTTATTTTGATGGTCGTGCTATGTGTGAATCGTATTGAACTTGCAATAAACCTTTGGTCAGCCGGGCAGCAGTCCGTCTCCTCTCTACGTAGAGGTAGTGTAGGTACCTGAAGTAGTACTGTCCGTGACCTCTCAATGTGCTCACCAGGAAGAGAAAGGGTGTTAGTTGATTGGTCAGCCACCGATTTCCCCAAGTGGAGCATCCCCGCCTCCCTTTCCCAAGTTCCTTTCAAGAACCTACCTAACCTTCAAACTCAACAGTACCTAACTTTTGAACTTCAAACTCGACTGGTGTATCAATACCTCTGCTGAAGTATAATTTGCTAACGTGGCTTTTTCGGCGTGGCATCAAGTTTGGATCTCGACACACAAGAAATACTATATACTAGTAGCCACTGCAGTTTGTCGTCAGCCCTGTTCCCGGTCCATGTTCCCGTTCCATGTCAATGTAGAGCCACCGTATCAAGCTACCAGGCTACCTACTTACCAAGCTACCAAGCTAACAAGCTAACAGATTACATCCCAGCAGATAGATGTAATTGGTCAGTTCAGTGTGACGAGACTTGGGTGTATAATCAATCATCAATCATCAAAGCTAAAGGGTACTGCTCCAGGAACTGAGTGTTGAGAGAGGTACCCAAGTAATAATTTGGGCTTACATACCGCGTAGAAAAAGTTTGTGCACACTTCTGGGTCCCGACGTAAGCAGACCTTGTATATATCCAAGTATCCTAACATGCCCCTGAGATACTATCAAGATGGGATTTCGGTTATGGAAGATGGATGGGAGATTCTGTCTCTTCTTCTCTGTCTTCCCTGGTGTTGGGTGTTATTGCTGAAGTTTAGGTAGGTTCAGGAATTCTAGGACTAATGTCTTTGCGCAAGGAGACTTCCGAGGATGGATTGATGGATGGATGGATGGATCAGAACGAACGAACGAACGAACGAATGTCTTGGGTGTTGGATATTGCATGTCGATGCTCGGGTGGTAAGTAAAGTAAAGTAAAGTAAACCCCCCCCCCCCCAGGAGTATGCACGCAACAGGCGAATATGACCTAGCCGGAGAAGGAATTATCATTTACGCCATCATGGACGGTAGCAGGGTATTTGAACATGCGTGAAACAACCTGAACCTGTGGAACCAACTGATTATGAGCTTTGAGTTGCTAAGGGGAAAGGCCTCGTTCAAATGGAGTTGTCATCTGTACAGATAGGCAACTAAACGTAGCATGTGAGCAAGTCAAGTCAATCAAGTCAAGTTGAGGCAAGGCAACTTAGTAGAGCGCAGAGTGCAGGCTGTATAGGTAGGTAGTAGCTGGATCCAAGGCCAAGAAACTTTGGCATCCATCCGGTCTTTTTGCGTTGCATCACTTCCACTTCCGAGCTCCAACATGATGTTAACTGCTGCTGCTACTACTCCACCTTCTGCTTCTGCTCCTGCTTATGCTACGTTTCTGGCAATCCGATGTTTGGGTACCGTATGTCCAAGTATGTCAGCTGTAACAGGTGTGTACATAAGTACTTGGGCAGTGTACGACAGGCTGCTGCTGGTCCCAATGCTGATCCATGTACATGTACATACGTGATGCGGTGCTCAAATGCCAACGACAAGCTTTTCTTGCAATTTACCTGTGAGGCTTGGCTTTGAAAGCAGAGTTGGATACATTCTAGGTAGGTAGATGTTGCCACCAGGAGGAGATCGACAGAGCAAAAGGCGGTTGAACAAGTCTGGTAGGTATCGAGAATGAAAGGCTTCGTTGGCTGATGTACGGGAATGATATACTGAAGACAGATAGATATGATCCAAAAGCTTGTAGTGTTGTCGGTCTGCCTGTATGTCAATCAGATTCTTCAAGTATGCCGATCTCATTACTTGCTGTATCTACGACTGCGTATGCATATTTCCCGCAAGATGCGACTCGGTTCAAGAAAAGAAGAAAAGAAAAATGCATGAGCAACGGATCGGAGTGCTTTGCCTTACAGCGAGCTTTGTGCGTATGCTAGTGTCAACATATGCACTGTTGCTTCATGTCGTCCTTGTTGCAGCCCGAGTGTCTCTTCTCTTACCAGTTCCGGGTACTAAAGCTCGGAAACAGGGAAGACAACATTGCCCTATTTTCCTCCAGGTCTGGGAGGTCTTACCCATGCTCCTTGGATACGCTTCCACACTTAGCGAACCTTGTCCGTATGTTCCCCGCGTAGGCTTGCCAGTTTCCATCTCGTTGACTCGGGTACTCATTCACCGTGTTTCCGATCGTCTCTTCATTGTTGGTTCGTCACCGAGGCTCATGTTCAACTGGCATTCGCCCGAAGTAGTACGAGGCTGATAGGGATGAGATAAGATTGCTGTGCCTGGCGTGCCGTCCCACGGTTTTCAGGAAAGGAAACGGGGGGAAGTCCGTCTTGGCTGTAACGAGGAAAGGTGTTTGTTAACAAGTGAACAAATGGAAGAAATCCAGACGACAGAGAATCGAGAAACCGTTTACCTTGACAGCGTGATCCGTGTGTTTCGTGTCTGAGTTTAGTAGGAGGCGGCTGATAAGATATCGGTCGATAAGGATCCGAGCCTGTGGGATCGTGGCATGGTCATCTTCATCCGTAGCATCCGACTGTACGCAGTCAAATGTCATATGGCAGAGTATCTGTGCCTCAGAGCACTGCAGCGGCATGGCCGTGACGCATCACATCCCATCGCATCGCGGGGGCCTTCGGGAGGGCATTTGGGGCTGTGGTCCTCAGTCAAATCCCGAGGGGTAAACGAGCAGGACGATATGATACGGCATGGGATGATGGGGGTTAAGGGTGTTTGTCGGTTTCATGGCGCAAAGAGCGAAGGTTGGTTGTAGAAAACCTGAGACAGAATTTCGATGACCCGACTCGACAGTAGAAAGATCTGAAATTGGGACAAGATCTGGATCACTGGATGGATGGAAAGTGGCAGTGAGGTTGCATTTCGTTTGCCCAACGACTCCTCATTCGGGTTTCGCTGCTTTGTTGCCCGCACCTGCCCGCATTTTCTCGACCGTCGAGAGTGCCTACCCCTCATTGTTTTGTTGGAGGAGGCGCTTCTCCCCTGACAAAAAACCTAAGTGGACAATAGAGATATGATGGAGCGGGTCCCCTGAGGGGAAAGATGGGCGAGTGGTGCCCTGGGCTGCCGTGCCGTGCTTGCCCTGGTGCGCCCTACCGTGTTTGGTTTGGTGTGGTTGGCCGCTCCTTGTGCCGTGCCTGCCCTGATCGTGGTAACAAGATCGACATGGTTTTTCTCTTGTCAATGCCGCCTTTCGATTGCGACGTTAGCTTAGTTGTCTTGGGGTTCCAGCTTTCATCCGTCTGATCTGAAGCTCCAGTCATGTCTTTGATCCGACTTTTGATCTGCTGTTCACTTATCGACACAATGATCCGTCGCTGATGAATTTGTGACAAGAACTTTTAATCATCCTCACCAACGGAGAATGTAAAGACACAAGACCCTGAAGTCGGTCCGGGAAGGGCGCTCAAGCCACATCATCGTCACCTGTGAAAAAAGAGAATTTATTCATGACAGAACATGATCCCTGTCAATCCCGCTGCCCCAATTGTCAAACAAACACACCCACCAAGAACGCTAGCGTCCGCCCCAGATCCCTGTTTTGGCTATTGTGGGTACGGAATACTTTTGGCTGGGTTCCCTCTTCTGTCCAGATCTTCCGTCTTTTTCTTTTCTTTTTTTTCTTCCTCTGTCTTGAATTCCGCGACTTCGCGATCCGCCTTTCTTTCCCGTCATCTGCTTATCTACTCCGCATGCGTGACTACCCAATACAACAAGTGGCTTCCATCCCGTACTACAGATCAAGCGTAGACTACGTCCTGTTTGTTGTTATTTCCTTGTGTCCACTGGTCCAGTCTCTGGGTTCCAAGGCTTTTACAGTATAAGAAGGCGGCTGGGGGGCTGGTGCACACTGACGGAGCCAACTGTGCCTTTGTTGTCTCCAACGAACCGAAAAGGAAGGCCAAAGGTCAACAAGAAGCAACGAGAGCCGCTGGGTTGGACCGTTTATTGTTGGAGAGGTAAAACACCACCAAAAAACGGACGAGTGGCATCTCAAAACCCGAATGCAGGTTCGTCGGGCGGTCACGCAGCTGACCAACCTTTCCCCAGAAATAAGTTAGCCTGGGCAGGGCAGTGTGGGACCAGGTCGCGGGCTTCGTCCAGGGGTGACCGTGCAGCCAAGTTGTGAGCTTGTGAAGCCGGGGGGAGGTGGGTGACTGGCCCTGGCACGACCTGATCAGCCAGGTTTCCATCTCTCCACAGAAGTGGAAGACCGACAGGCAGGGCCAAGTGGAAGCACACCACACCACACGCAGCTGACAGCACAGGCACCGCACGACTGCAGGCACCACACTCAACCACACACACACCAAAATCAACCTGCTTTTTCCCCAAACTGAAGAACCTAGCGAACCAAGCAGGCTGAGACCGACGGCGGGCATATCGAATACTATCGATCTGTCCACCTGCATCCATCCATCCATCTTCCAGCATTCGATCGAACCTCCCTCCACCTGGCCTGGCACACCACCTTCCCGTCCGTCCTTGCAACAAACCAACAACTCCCGTCCTTGCACTTTCTTCAGTTTGCTCTTGTGCTCTTTTCCCTCGTTTCCAGTTGGCACACATCTGATCCTCACCACATCTTGAGGAACGTCGAGTCCCGTCTGTTTTCATTGACAGAGTCGGGGTTGTTAGGTGACTGATACTCCGTCCTGTCGAACCGCGTTTCGTTTGTTCAAGTGGCATCCCCGTCACTCGTCTCGGCGCGCCGTCACAGGTCGACAGACTCCAGACGGGAGCCTAGCCAGGTTAGCACCAACTTCCTGTCAGCTTTGTCGATCCACCTTCCAGTCAGTCAGTCCAGCTAAGGCGTCTCAAGTCTCAACAAGGTGAAAAGAATCGAATCCCGAGCCTGTGTCCTGCCGTCAAGTTGTGAGGTTGCCAGGTTGCTGCTCTGTGCTCTCTTCACCTCGGCTTGTCGGTGTCCAGCCGCTGTGCAGCCCTAGTCAAGGATCTTGAGGTGGTCTAGGCGCAGGGACTAAGAAAAAAAAAAAAAAAAAAAAAAAAAAAAAAAAAAAAAAAAAAAAAAAAAGGTCGTCATTGTTGATTTTTAATTCCACTTCTCGACTTTTTTTTTTTTTTTTTTTTTTTTTTTTTTCCTTCAAACTGGAGATCCCCGGGTACCTGTTACCCGAGCGTCCGTCCGCCCTCTCCGCTCTTTTCCCCAGCAAGCATTCCACTTTTTTTTCTCGACAGGATGGATCCAAGACACCAGCAGCACCAGCAGCAGCAGCAGCCGGCGCCACAGCTCCCGTTTTCACGGAACGGGAACGCTGCTCCAGCTTCTGCCCAAAACGCGAACACCACCACCACCACCGCCTTTGGTCGCCCACCATTTCCGCCCGCGTCATCGCAGCCACCAGCACCACCACAGCCGTCACTTCAACCACACGCGCAGCATCCTCATCCACATTCTCATCATCTGCAACAACAACAGCACCCGCAGCAAAATCAACCACAACTACCACCATCGCATCGTTCTCCGCCGCAGCCAGCGCACCAGCAACCACCCCCGCCGCAGTCGCAGCGCTATTCGCCGTCTGCCCATTCGTCGCATTCGACTTTTCATGCGGATCTGCACACGCGCAAACTCTCCGATCCGATCCAGTACTACGCTGGTCCGCCCCGGCATTTGCGACACGAATCCGGCCCGATGATGCCCCCGGCGCATTCGCGACACCCCAGCGCTTCTTCGATTACATCAGGGCCCGGCCCCGTTAATCGCGCGATGCCGCCGCCGCCCACATCCCCTCCTCAGCAGGGGCCGCCTCCTCAGGGTCCCCCGCCGCAAGCGCATCCGCAACAGCAACATCCCCAGCAACACGCGCAACAACAACAACAACAACATCCGGGCCCTCATCAACAGCAGCAGCCACCACAGCCCCCACACCCTTCTCAACAAGGTCCGCCGCCGAATGCGCACCAGATGGGTGGATCCTATGGCATCCCGCCTCCTCGAGCTCCTCCGGTCGCCATCGGGCCACCCAGCGCATTTCCTAGGGACCGCCAGCTCCCGGCCTTGGAGACTCTGCCTAGGACCGGCTCCGGCAGCAGCATGTCCATCTCCTCTATGCTCGGCGGCCCTCCCCCAGCTCGCGATCCCGGCGTTCCTGCCGGTCCATACCCGACTGGACCCCCCTCGGGTGTGTCAGGTCCGCCCTATAACCAACCCATGCATGCATCCCCTCGAATGCACCCGATGGGCGGTCCAGGCCCCGACTTTGGCTTCCGCCGACCACAGACACCCGACCGGCACAGACTGTTTGATGGCCGCGACCCTCGAGACCCACGTGATGTTCGAGATCCGCGCGATCCTAGAGACCCGCGCGATCCAAGGGGCGATCCCAGGGATCCTAGGACGGGCATTGCTGTGTCGCCTTCGGGTGGCTACACCCCGGAGGTGCAGCGCTATGGTACACCGCAGGTCTATAGCAATAGGGGACCGCCACTAACTGCTGCAGAACAAGCAAGGGAGCAGGCACGTATGGCTGGGACCGGGGTGCCGCCGCGGCCCAACAGCCAGCCCAAGTCCTTCCCGAATGCTCCTCCGCCACGTCCCATGGAAATGGGTAGACCACCGCCAGGCGACATGTATGGGCATAGAGAGGACAGACGAACGGTCGAAGAATACAACCCCGAGCGTCCCATTCGAGGGCCCAATTACGAGGAGCAGCGGTTCATGACTGAAAGGGAACGGCAAGAGAGGGAGCGCCAAGAAAGAGAATTCCAGGAGATGCGTGAGAGGGAGCGCCGTGAGAGAACCATGTCGGGGAGTGACGCTGGACGGCCACACCCGATGCAACAACAAGCCGAGTATGCTCGCCAGATGGAGCATCAGAGAGCCCCCCCTCAGTTTGGTCGACCTCCCGACCCACGAGAGCAGGGTCATTGGCACAGGCCGAGCTTTGATCAGGCCCGAGGCCCTTACGATCAGCCCGGACATATGGCCAGGCATCCTCACGAGCATCCGGTGACCACTGGGCCCCCGTACAATGGCCACCCGTCGTATGCTACGGGTCCGCCGCCCGATCGGTATCCTCCGTCGTCGCTCCCGCCCCATCAGCAACACTCCATGGCAGCTCATGGTCCGGGTCCTATGCAGTTTGAGTCCCCAGAACAACGACAAAGGATGAATATGATGCATATGGAGCAGCGGCAACAGCAGCAACAGCAACACCAGCATCCATATTACATGCAACACCAGCAGCTCCCCCCTCGCAACAGAGAAGACCAGCCCGTGCCCCCTCCGTCAGTCGCCTACAGTGGTGTGGGTACAGGCTCTTTGTACGGTTCCCCGAGAAGTCGTCATATGGAAGAACTGGCTCCCTCTGGACATCAGCGGAACTTATTGGGCATCCAGGAAATCAACCGCAAAGGTCGCCTTTCGCCTTTGCCCCAGGCTGTCCAAGGTGCCCAACCCCAGTTGGCTGGCCCAACAGGCGAACCTGGCATCAAGAGCGAGTTCGGACGTATGTTTTCGGGAATTGGTACCGGCGTTGGCGCCATGAGCCCAATCCCCACTGGAATGCAGCAGCTTCCCTTCACTGGAGCCAGCTTGATGCGCCGTGAGGATTCTGACGGAGTTCCACCGCCTCAAGAACTCGCCGAGCCTGGAGTCAAGGGCCCTGGCCGTGGTAAACGTAGAAAGCTCAAGGACGACGAGTCCAGAATGGATGAGGATAGTACAGGGAGGTTGACTCCCGTGGGGGGTCGCGGCAAAAGAACCAAGACCCATCATACCCACCACCATCATCAGTACGTTGATGTTATATCATTCTTGTCCCAGGGAGCTACTAACAAACCCAGCCATCACCACCACCATCATCGGCATGATCTCCAGCAAGGCCCTGGGCCTGCGCTCATGGGGAACACTCCGTTCAAAAACGTGACTGGTGCGACATCCGTCCCTCCGCCCAATGCAATGCTCGCCAAGGACTTGCCGACAACTCATCATCATCACCATGTTGTTCCTCGATCGATGCCGCATCCCCACAACGGTCTAGCTAAAGCGGCTCCGGTACAACCCCCGAGTCCCCCGCCGGTCCAGCTACCCAAGCCCAAGCATGAGGTCAACTCGAAAGAGGTGATGAAAAGCGTGGCCGATCTTCCGCGGTCACACCTGGGTGAGGTTGTGTATGATCCCAAGCTATCGCCATCGCGGAGGCAGGATTCACGCACTAAAAGGCCACCACGTCAACCTTTCAAGTCGACCCCTCGGCCTTTGCCGTGGGATTTGATCCAGGGCAAGGAAAATTGCACCTTGACAGTGAAGATTAGCAAAACCCATCTCACCCCAGAAGCACGGGAGGAGATCACTTCCAGGAGAGCTGTCTGGGGTACCGACATCTACACTGATGACTCGGATGTAATTGCTGCCTGCATCCACGCTGGTTGGTTCAGAGGCGAGTGGCCGGAGGATGTGGATACAGCCTTTTTGGGCTTGGACGAGGCAGTCAGTACCGCCTCCGACATTCTGACAAGCATGCGTAATGGTCCTCAGGCGGTCAAAGACGAGGCTGGCTCGGTGGTGTATTCAGAACCCCCTCGGAACGGCCCCATGGCTGTACCAGCCAACCGCGATCTCCACGTTACCCTTGTTATACTCCCCAAGCTCGAAAAGTACGCCTCCACCACGCGCTTTGGCATCAAGAGCCGCGAATGGGGCAGCGTCCTCGAAGAAGGCGACGGCGTTTACTCACGCTCGTCGCACGACGGCCTCAGCTTCGCCATCCTGGACATTCGCTGGCTCGTCAATGGCGCGCAGCCCGTAAACCGACTGAGAGGCAAGGGCAGACGTGATAGAATAAACAAAGCTCTTCGGGAGATCGCACAAAGCCCGCCATTTTCGAGTTTCAACAAGTTGGGACAGATCAGACTGAGCGGGACGCCGCAGGAGCAGCGTGAGAAGGAGTCTGATGAGGGCCAGCAGAGCAGCAAATGGTGGCCGTCAGCCGGGGCTGGCAGGAAGGCTGCGGCTGATGAGGATAAGGAGAACCATCAGCCAGGTGAGAGTGTCGCTGAGACCAAGGGGAAGGAGAAGGAGGGAGAAAAGGAACCGGAGAAGGAAGTCGAGGAGCAAAGAGAAGAGGACCAGGACGGGGATGTAACGATGGAGTTGGAGCCTGAGGCTCAACCGGCGCAGACAAGGGACAAGAGTCAAGAAAAGGAGCAGGATAAGAAAAAGCCTGACGGTGAAAAGGAGGATGTGGAGATGACCGATAAGCCTGCCGAGAAGGAGGCATCAGCAGAGGCGATGGAAGAAGATATGGAGATGGAAAAGACTGGTCAACGGGAGCCTGAGAAGGAGACGAAGCAGGAGAACGAGCCGGAGAAGAGGGTCGAGCAAGAGAAGGTCACCAGCCCTGAACCCAAGGCAAAGGAGGCTGAGCCCGAGCCCGAGCCAGTCAAGGAAACCGAGCCAGTGCCCGACACTCCACCCGTATCCAACCTCGATGCCCCTGCTAAACCTCCCGCGGAGGTCGAAAAGCCTCCTGTACCGGAAACGGAAACCGAAGCGGTGGATGACAACGACGATACCATCGTTGACGAACCGGAGGAGGCGGCAGAGGAGCCATCAAAGCCGGCGGAGGAAGTCGTCGAAGCTGCAAAACCTGCCGCCGCCGAGCCAGAGGCCGTAAAGGCTGTGGTCACGGAGACCACCACGGAAGTCAGGGAAGATACGGTACCGCCTACAGTTGCTTCGGAAGAGTCGGCTAAAGCTGTCGCTTCGGTCTCTCCTGCCTCTCCTGCCGCTCCTGCTGCTGCAGCAGCTGATCACGACGCGGCTGACGCGGCTGCTGCGGCCATCATTACCACGATTACTAGTACGACTACTACCGCTACCGTTACTGCTAGTCCCGCCGCTGCCCCTGCCTCTGCCTCCGCGACCGAGGAGGCTAAAGATGAGGACAAAGACAAGGAGGAAGCTTAAGCAGAGATTTGGAAAGGAGGGAAATGTGGCATGATATCACACAAAGTTTTGGGGCATCGAAATGTGAGGGAAAGCGGATTGCAAGTTGTTAAAAAGTGTATGACTGTCTGTGTAAAGAAAGATAAAGAAGCGTTGCATTGCATTTTGCCTGTTTTTGTTGTGTTGCCGCTGGGCATGTTTGATACCAGGCTGTTGTTGTTGGTGGTTTAGTTGAGTTGAAATGAAAGAGAACGTTTTGCAAGTCTTCTTGATGGTTATTCGATCCTTGCTGTTGAGTAGTTTTTGGTTGCTATTATATTTTGATGTATGTTTTGCTACTTGTGTTGGCGCCTGTGTTATGTGTGTATTGCCAGGCTCGTTGTTGATGTGAGAAGTACCTATGTATGGAAACTGAATGGACTTTGGTGAAATCGCGGGTATATATATATATGAATGGTTATTAGACCTAGAAGAATACATCATTGCGTGGTCTGGATTGAATCGTGTTCATGATGGGGGAATTCCCAGCAGCTCTGGCCGCCCGCTAAGATGCTTTGGATGTATCCAAAACGTTCATTTACTCTCGATATTTTGTGGACATACATAGGTACGTAAACATTCCTGTATCTGTTCGCTTACCCAAAAGTTGACACCACTCATTCGCTCGCTCCTATCTATCGTACAGCCCATGAGCCCATTCATCCCATCTATCCATCACTTAACAAACCAAAGTGTACCCATCCCCGTCATTTACCCAATAAGTACAATAGCTCACCATTTCCTCCTCCCCCCTTTTCTTCTAATGGGTCATCCATTCAAAAACAAACCATGTCCAACCTTTTCGGTCAGCCGTCTCAAAAATCCGTAACCCGTCCATTATAACTCCAATCCCCACCGGCGCCCCACCGCAACGGCTCATTCTTGGGTCCCCCGATCTCCCCCGTCTTGGGATTTTTATCGCCCTCAAACTCGGGCGGTGCCCCCTTGCGGATCCCGCCGCTGAAGGTTTGCGAGGCAACGTCTTCGATCACCACCGGGGCTTCTACGCCCGCTACTGTTACTGTGTCGGTCCTCCCTGCGGAGGAAGAAGAGGGTTGGGTGACGTGCTTGGAGTTGTTTTCTGGTGACGATGGCGTGGTTGTGGTAGAGGGAGGAACTTGGACGTGGCTGTACAGCGCGGCTTCGGCGGCGGCTTGGAGACGCTCGAATTCGGCTTGTTGGTCTGCCGGAAGACGGGGAGGGGCGGGGCCGCGTTGGAGGAAGGAGGAGGAGAAGCGGGTTGTGGTTTTGGGGAGGCTGGAGAGGCTGGAGAGACCCGATAGGGGGCGGGTGAGGGTTAGGAGGCGGCGGGACATTGTGGTTTTGGTTTTGTGGGTGTGGTTGGTGGTGATGTTTTGAGGTTTGAGGTTGGAGTTGAGAATTGGACAGATGCGCGGCGGTACCGGCAGAGTACAAGGTCGTAAGGTTGGAGATAATGAGGATACCGGTACGTTTATCGCGTCCCTTGTAGTTACTGAATAAGCTATGAGGTTTCCGTGTGCAAAGTTGGTGATGAGGCTGATGTGATGGTTGGAAACTGAAGTCAAAAGAGACGACGGAAGGCGAAAACAGGCAAAATCGCGATTAATTGAAATTCGGTCGCGGTTTGCGCACTGCACCCTTCTGTTCCGAGGCCCGAATGACGTTTTACGATAGAGTGGGACCGGCACTGTGGAGATAAGTGGGGCTTTCATCTGGTTGCTGGCGGGAGATCCCGGGGCTCATCGGTGGATGGGCACAGTGATTTTACAGTGTACTTTGGCAGTGCTCAGAGGGAGGGGGTCTTTAGCTTCCGTCAGCTTCTTTTCCTTTTCCTTTTCACACTTGGTGATGCCTTCATCGACTATTCACTGCTTGACTATCACCCATAACCCAACATTTATTCCAAAACTAATGTCGTCCACACCCACCCCCACGCCGATTGGTGTCATGGCTCACATGCCTAAGCTCCGAGAAAGCCAAGTTCAACGGCGTGCGCCCAACTTGAGGCCCAAGACACCCGTTGATTGGTCTCTTGTTTCTAGTCAACATGATGCCTTGGAAAGTTGAACGAAAAGTCATCACGCGGTTTCCCGTTAATGGCTGCCTTGACCCGCGCTAACATGTCAGATCTCGTGGCAGCAAGCATGATTGTTTGCTGATGGAGTATGGGGTCATCATGGCATTTGACCTTGTGCTGTCTCCGCAACGCCAGCATGTCTTGCATGCTTGCCGTGGGAGTCACGATGGTCCGGCCATATCCACCCTCTTTTTTGCTGGGAGGTATGTGCTTGCTATATAGGTATCCCAGGTCTGCGAGAGGGGGGCGGAAGGGGGTTGATGATGTTGAATCTGGCCTTTGAACCAACAAGCATCAAATTATGGAGGAGAGCTACGAGTATCAAGACAGTGGGCGTTACCAACGGCTTGGGTTCTGGCTATTACCATTCAACAAAGCCGCCGCTGCCCTGGTGAGCTGCCATCCACCTAACCTCGAGCGGTACTCCTACGACCAAGACACCAGAGGCATCTGGATAGACTTTTCGAACCCCGAAAAACAGGAATACACCGTTGGCTGCAGTAACTCTGTCGACATCTACCTCCCACAGGTTTGGAACTCGACTGGTTCGTCAGGCATATCAGAACGGCACGCCTCTTTTAGTGCCGTCACAGACACTGGTCCTATCCTCCTTTGCGACGAGTCCGAGTACCTCTCTACAGAGCCCTTCTCCCACGGCAGTCATTCATACACGGTGAACTTTCGACGGGGAGGCAAACGATCAGTCTTGGTGGCCCAAGGGATCAACTCACTGGTAGCTTTTGGTCATGGCAGATTCTATCAGTTCGAGCTACGGTGGGAGAATGATGGTCTCGATGAGTTTCGCATGGCACCACCGGTTCTCTACGCTTTGGGTCCAAGCCGTACCAAGACAAAGAGGTATGTGCTAGGAGAAAAGGTAGGAGGAGGCACATTCGGAAACGTCTACCGCGCTATGGATGTCACCACCGGGAGTGTCATGGCAGTCAAGAAATGCCATCGTCTGACCAGCAAACGTCTCGACTTTGCCTCGAGGGAGATCGCCACCCTTCTAAAGATCAACAGCAGCGACGAGTCAACACCATGTGTAAGCCACTCCCTCCCCCATTCAATCCCCCAACCCCCATTAACATGTACCGACCTATTCTACAGGACCACATCATCCAAATCCTCGGTTACACGACCGGCCCCGACTGGGCCGAGATCTACCTCCCCCTTAAATCAGGCAACCTCAAAACCCTCGTTTCAAAGATCCTCCCTCCCTCTTCCCATTTCCACGTCTCCAACCTTGTCCTCCACCAAATGCTCCTCGCTCTTCATCACCTCGACCAACACAACATCATCCACCGTGATCTCAACCCCGAAAACATCCTCTGGGAGCACTCCCCTTTCGGAACAGGAGACTACCACTTCACCCTAGCCGATTTCGGCCTCTCCATGTGCACCTCCTCCCAAGCTCCCCGAGCCAAAGAAGTAGCCGGCACAACACCCTTCATGGCCCCCGAGATGTACCACACACCACTGAAACAACACACTTCCAAGGTAGACATCTGGTCGTTATTCGCCACGGTTGTATGGGTGCGCAACAAGCGCTTTCGAAAGGGGTGTGAGCTGGTAGGACCGCATTTGGTGCATGTGTGGCTGAATAGGATTGCGGGAAACAAGAAGGGTGGGGAGGGGGGATATGAGGGAATTAGGAGGATGGCGTGCTTTGATCCGGGGAGGAGGCCGTCGGCTGGGGAGCAATTGGAGATTTTGGAGATGGAGGAGGAGGCTGAGATGGAGGATTTGGTGGAGGAGATGCCGGCTTATTGGCAAGATGAACCGTCGCATATGACTGGAGCGATAGGGGAATATGGATGGGATGGGACGGATAGCGCATGGTCTAGTGAGGGATATGCGCTTCCCATGGAAGTACCGTGGGATCAAGAGGTGAGTTCTTCCTTTCTGTCACTGGTGGCAATGAAACTTGTGCTAATGCATGTTAGGGATGGATGCCAAGCTATGATGGCCACTCATGTCTGGCAAAGAGTCCAAGGGACGAAGCCGATGCCGCCATGGCGATGTGGAAGGCCTGGTACCTCGCAACGGACGGATAGTTTTCACGGTGTTTCCGAATAATACCTTCTATCCAATGATTTTATTTACCCAACCCTACCCAAAACTCCAAGCCATACTAAACATTACAAGACATTATTCTTGACCTCCTCCAAGCCATCACAGGACAACAACAAGTCGCACGCCTTACAACTTGGTCTTGGCAGAGGGAGCGTTAAAGTTGGGGTATCCCTTCTCCTTCCACTCATAAAAGCTCATGCCGTTCGCCGACGAGGGCATGCGAACGACCAAAGGAACAACGACATCCTCCTCGGTGCCGAGCGTCTCAGCCTTGTGGACAATAGTCTCCTTGAGGACCTCATAGCCGGCCTTTGTATAAAGACCGATAGACGAAGGGGAGGCCTCGAAGTAGACGGGCAGCTGGCACCGCTCCGACATTTCGAAACCGTACTTGGCAAGAGCCATGCCACCCTTACGGCCCTGGTGTTTGGGGTCGACGGCGATGACGTGGGCATCTGTTTTTTTCATTATCAGCAGATATCCCCACACTACCTAAGAAGAAAAGACAACTTACAGATATAAGGCTTGCCACCAAACAATTGTTCCCGCATCTCATGCAGAGGGTTCAGCACCTTCTCGGCCCTCTCCCGCTGCTCGCCCTCGAGCCAGGGGACGCCGTGGTTCCGGCGCTCTTCCTCGGACCGCTCCCGCACATAAATGTCGACCAGACCCATGCCCAGGATCTCGCCGTCGGCCATGTCGACGGCCTTGTACGTGTACTGCGTGTCGGACGTGTGCCAGTACTCGAGGGTGCCCTTGGCGTGGGCGGCGCGGAAGTCGGGCGCGTCCGTGTCGATGCCGGGAAAAAGGATCTGGAGCATGATTTCGCCCATGCGCTCGCCTTTGAAGGCGGTGAAGTAGGACTCGTACACGCGACGGATGTCGGGGATGAGGGCGGGGAGGACGGCGACGACCATTTTGGGGGTGGTGGTTTTGGATAGGAAGAAATGGAATGGATGGGGTGGTTGAATGGAAGGGGAAAAAAAGGAAAGAGGGGAGAAGGATCTGATAAAGGTCTTTTGTTTGAGCTTTCAATAGGAGAACTTAAGGAAGGGAGCAAGACGGTTCACCACTTCCTCTTTAAATAGACCAGAGATCGGGCTCGTGTGCATTTGCGGTTTTTATCAGATGATCAGATGATCTGATAAGATCAAAATCACTTGCCGATTCCCGCCGTTCGGCCACTCCGGCAGCCGCAAGCCAACAAGACCATGACCAGACTAGAAAAAGTTTAACGAGTTGCTGGGTTCCCCCCAGCAGCAAAGCGAGGTACATACCCAGAAGGAGACGAGAACACGCGAGATGGTGAACACGGAACCGTGCGTGGCATCGTGGGATGCGCTGGCTTCGGTGGCCTGGCCTAGCCAACCTGGGTGGGTGACGCCGACCAGCATGAGCCGGTAGCATGGTGCCATACACTACTTGGGTCCGGACGGACGACCTGGTCTCGAAGCCTTTTTCTCCACATGACAACTTGTGACCCTCCAGTCCGAGTTCATCCGGTGTGCGAAGAGGAGAGGAGTGTCTCCAGGGCGAACTACATACTGAAGCTCGGTTAGAGCATGGTGCTATGGAAGCAATTGAAAGACAATTGATGCTTCTACATGGTATCCAGCAAGCCAAGAATAGTGTAGTCAAAAGAAGTGTTTGGATCATCAAGGTTGATGATCACCGCAGGACCACTTTCTTGGGTATCGGGTATGTACACTACGATCCGTTCGGCAGCGTGGCACCCACGTGTTGTCCATCATCTCATGGGTTCTGAATCTGGTGATGAAAATGTCGATCAGTTTCCGTGCGATGAATTCAAAGCTATGATCAAAACACCGCAATGTCTTGACCCATGATCCCCCTCTGGGATGAGTGATTACAGTAGTGTACATGCTATGGTACCATTCCTAATTTGTCCATAGGCCGAGCCAGATCTTGTCAGATGCCCTTCACTAGTGCATTCGCTGGATACGAGATCTTATGGTTCGGTGTTGGTGGTGTGGATGCGTAGTGGAAAAACTTTGTCCAGCGATATTCCTTGTTGGCGTTGTCGGTGGTCCTTGGGACCGAAGACCCGGACCCGCCGGCTGTTTAGAGTTATCAGATCCGTTCGTTTTTGGGACCCACGTACCGGGGGAAAGCTCGCTTACATTATCTTTTCTGGATCGGGGGTCCGGATGGATGTGTCATAGCTTGCACTCGTCGGACAGGACACTACACTAGAACTTTTGGAAGTTTGATGGTGACTTGATTGGCATTTTTGAGGCTGGGTACAGAAAAGATATTTCAGGTTTGACTGGGAGAAATCTCATGAAACAGATCGCAGGCCTGATATTCGACAACAACGAACCGACATCAAGCATTCATCATTCCGGCCATGACTGTCATTCCTTTTTCCTTTTTCCCCAGGGGCAGACTCGCAGTCAATATGTGGAGGACTCGTCGCCGACCGCGGACCGAAGTGGACATTCATCTGTTACATACCAAGTCAGCACCTTTCAAAATCACCTAGACAAAAATGATGGGTGATTTCAAACTCTCCGACTGGTAAAAGTAGAAGGTCACGGTACCTTGCCTAATGGAAATCCACTTGTCTAGGCGTAACTACACGTACACCCCTCTCTCAGTGCGGGATCGAGCGAAGGCCAAGGCACGCACAGGTATCCTCTCGGACACGCTACCCCGGAGGCTCCGCATTGGGTTACCGAACAAGGACCGGTGTAAGCCGCCATTGCTGGCGAGGCTGCTGCTGTTATGCCGAAGAGGATGAGGATCTTGGTGAGTTGCATTTTTGCTGGTATGTGGGGGTATGATGATGTTCGAGTTGAGCGTTGCCGTTTGAAGTCGCACGATGGGGAGGCCAGGAGGTGTCTTTAGTTGTGCATGCAAATTATCTAGACCAGCTTCTCTTCTTATAGTTCACCAGACAAATCGTGTCTTTGGACTGCAGAGCTCAGTCCCCCATACAGAGCTAGCCAAGACAACAAAGTCCGATGCTCAGCCGCAAAACCAAGTGATCTCCCGGCTTGGAAGCTTGTACAAACACCTAATCTGTAACTTCTTGGCTTCTTGGTGTTGATGGCATTACGCCTATTTCGACGCTCGCGCATACTGATCGTCGCCAACTATACGGCCTCAGCCTGGCTTGGCTTCATGTCGCCTCCAGGCATGACCATCATCACAAAGCTGAAATGAAACTGCGCTAAGGGACGGATGAAATGAAAAAGAAACGAAAAGATCGTTCCTCAGAGATGAGAAAAGAAATAATCCTCAAGCCCCTGTCACTCTCCATACAACTAGTGCCCTCGCTCATTCAACTTCTGCACCTCCTCGGCATGCTTATACACCAGCTCCTTGGCCTCGTCATCCTCCAAGTAGATGGTGAACGAATCATCATGATTGCGTCCGTACGAATACCCGCCATAGCCAAACTGCCAGTACATGTCGCCGGCCAACTTCTCCTGGATGGCAATCTTCTGCCATCCGCCAATGACCTCGAGTCTGGTTTCATTCTTGACCTGACCGAGCTGGTCCAGACGGCCCTTGTCAGTCATCCACCCGTACTCCTCGAGCACGACGGGCTTGTTGGCGGCACGGCCCGAGGCGGCATGGTCGCGGATCCATTGGTTGGACCACTCGACGCTCTTTGACCACCACTGTCGGTTGACATTGTCAGTTCCTCCTCCTATTCAGTGTAATAAAATAGCCTTTAAAGGGCGGGCAGAGGAAAACAAAAAAAAAAAAAAAAAAAAAAAAAAAAAAAAAAAAAAAAAAAAAAACTCACATCAGGATACAAATGCACCGTCCCAAAATCCACATTCCTCAACCTCAACTCCCTATCAAAATCCCCTCCATCCGCCCCATTATAGAACCCATCCCCATCATTCTTATTTCTATTAAATCCCCCCTCCCCACCCCACGTCACCAAATGATTCCCATCCAAACTCTTCACATACGCACTCATCTCCTCAATCCACCCCGTCACCGTCTCCGTCGTACACCCCTTCTCGCTCCTGGGCAAATTCCTCTGTCCATCCGCACCACACCTAGCCTCATTCGCCAGTTCCCACGCCAATATCGCCTCTGAGTCTCGATACCGCGTCACCATGGCCTTCACATACCTCTTAAACGCCTCTTTGATTTTCGGTACCGTATAAAAGTCATCATGGTACTTCCCCCCCAAATTCACAGTGTAGACATCCATCCCGCCATAGTCAGCCCAATTGTTGGTCAACGCGACGATGAGCTTGATTCCTGTTTTGGTTGCGGAGTCGACGACCTTGTCAAAGGGGGAGACGTCAATGGTTTGTGTGCCGTCTGCCTCAAACCACTGGAAGACGGTGTTGGTGGGGTCGCCGGCGCCTTCGTTGCCGTACTGCGGTAGGCCGGTGGGGATGTAAGTGCGGTTTTTGTCGTTGAAGCCCCAGGTGCGAAAGACGGTGAGGCCGGCGGCGCGGGCGGCGGTCATGCCTTTTTCGATGTCGGATTTGTTCTACACAGATAGAGTTAGCATGGAGGAATGAGGTGGATGATCAAGGTAAGGTACGACGACGACGAACGTTGAAAGGGAAGTAGTAGGCATTACTACCGGCAAAATAGAAATCCTTGCCGTCGAGCTTGAAGTGGTCACCCTCGGTAGTGACGAAGCCCTTGGGGACCTTGCCTTTGCCGGCGGGGGCTGCTGAGACGCCGGTGGCGAGCATTGAAAGGAACGAAAGGAAGTGGGCTTGATGCATCTTGATAAATTTGCGTCTCAGTTGGAGGTGCAGACCAGACAAAAAGAGTCAGTCAACTGGTGAGCCAAAAGCCTAACATCATTGTGACATTATGTGTTCGTATGGACTTATATATAATAGTATATCACTCGAACTCACCCATCATCACGTCACTAACACTGATCGAATGTCTTTGCGTAATTTCCTATTTGGGGACGGCGGAGGTTGCTACCCCGGATTTCAAGAGATCAAGAGGTGTTAGTCGAGCCCAGGCTTGGCATCATCCAATTGTTGACGGCGACGGACATTGTTCGCCCGCCTTCGCCGCCTTATTACCCCGAGCTTCCCAGCCGGTCGGTTCCTGGCAGGTAGGGTTACTCTATCATCAATTGGTGAATGACGTGATATGGATCAGATTGGCCAATGATGAGGTATTATGAAGGAAACCCGTTGGTGGTTGCGTGTTTGGCGAAAGCTGATTCTAGAACTGCTAGGACTGCTGCACTCGCGCCGATGCCTCGAGTTCCTGGTCATATTTTCTTAAAAAGAAAAAGAAAAAAAAAAAGACGCCTCGGGCATTCATTGTGTACGCCTTCTTCCTCCCGCCCCAGTTCCATCTGCAAAAAACAGCTCGTCGACACCCTCAACCAACAGCCCGCTACATACCCCGATACCCCCAAGCCTCTTCCTCCTTATCATCTCCCAGACAACCTAGGCCTTGGCGACACACTGCTCGCAGATGGCATTCACGAACTGTCCAACCACGGAGCAAGAGCAGCACCACAGGCCTGAGCGACACGACGACATCACAGCAGCCTGCATGGTCGCGGCATTCTGGCACCGACACTCAAAGTCCATGTGCTTGGTGCAACCGGTTTCGATGGCGGCAGCGGAAATGCAGGGCACTTGGGCATCTTGTCTATTAGTCGGCCTGTGCCGGTCAAGATAAAATGGCGAGTGTCTGTCCTGGACTTACACCGCACTCGGGCATCTGAGCATTGATGGGGCAAGAGGCGACTGGAGGAGGGCTGGTTTGCGGGCGCGCCGAGATGAAGGCGATGGAGGAGAGGAGGGTGATGAAAGTTTCGATGAAGTCCGTTTTCCCACAACGGACGTCCGTAGGCAATCATGCACTTGACATGACGGCCATATTGCCCGTGAAAGTCAACCGGGAAAGATGAGGTAGGAGATATAGCACAGAAATTTAAGCGCACGACTCTGACTTGTGTAGATGAGTGCGAAGTGGTATTCGAGGTCGCCGATGAAGAGACGAGTCCGTCGACAGCACTGTGCAGTTGGAGAAGTCCGGCCGGTAAATTTCACTCGGAAATATGATGGACTTGCTTCCACATCATCCAAGGCGTGTCCCATCTCGGGAGAGACCAGTCGAGTAACAAGTGCCGTCAAAAGAACGAGTTCATTCCCAAAAGTCAGGGAAAATCGTCGGCCCGTCGCATGATATTAAAAGGCCTGCGATGACAATCCGGGTACCAACACCGTATATAGCTCATCTCGAGACTATCAAGATTAACAGCGATGCCGACCATCGGAGCTCAGCCACGAGTCATAGACGCATTTCATCGCATTCGACCTCGTCCATGGCGATTCAATCCCAACATGATGTCGTTACATTGGGATGGCTGGGAGTTGGTTTGTGGCGGAAGACGAATCCGAGATGCCGTTAGTGAAGACGAGGGAAATTTTGGTGAGGGGGAAGCTTGTTGAGCTTGGGGAGTTTGTTCCTTGTGAGCTGATCGTTGTCGTAAACTGGGCGGGCTGTGAGGGGTCTGACTCTGCTGAATGAGAGAAGTCCGTCGCTGTGAGGGGATTGATTGATTGAAGGGGGGTCGAGAAAAGTTTTTGGACCACAATCCGACAGCGCCCGAGACCACCAAGTGCCTCCGTTACTTCACATGACGGACGCCCCGGGTCAACCCGCCATCACCTCCAAGCTCCACTCCAACATGTGGCGCTAAATTGAGGCCATTGATGGCCCTGGGCTTGGCGAGTGAAGGGCAGTGGTCGCAGACAGTGGGGAGACGCTGTAACGTCGCTGAATGGAGCTACCTAAGGAAACATCATTGGAGATTGGCTTTGGTCCGTCGTGTGTGAATCATCCGACGAGTTCGACACCAAGGCCGATCTAGGCTCACACCGTGACCTTCTTCCACTTCTAAAGACGCCCTCTTTCCCTCTCCTCCCTCTTTCCCTCCTCCTGTCTTTCCTCTCACCATCATCACCACCCGACTGTCCTCCCATCGATTCTTCTCTGTCGACAGCAAAATCGCCCACGATGCTTTCCTCGGTCAGACTTGTCACGCGCAGAGCTGCTGTCAGAAGCGCTTTTGCTTCCCCTGGTCGCAGCTTGCTTGCTGTCCGCGCCGCCTCGCTCTGGGCCAACGTCCCTCAAGGTCCTCCTGTAAGTTTCTTTTTCCATTGGCAGAGGTACCTATCGATATGATGCTAACCATGATTACAGGACGTATGTGGTCATTCCCCAGATTCCCACACCTCAACATAGCTTCAAGCTGCTAGCCCGAGCTATCTCCGTCCTCGCGCTGTGTGTCACCTGTCGCTAACCCCGCCCTCTTTGTCGCGTCTGACAGGCCATTCTCGGTACGTAATGCGCGAGCGACGTTAACATCAAGACTTACAAACTGACATCGTCCAGGTATCACGGAAGCTTTCAAGGCCGACACCTTCGACAAGAAGATCAATCTCGGTATGTCAATACCCCGAGCGCATGCCATGTGCCCCTCATCCTACCGGCGACTCCACCACCATCTACCACCATGACATAATGAAAACCGCGACCAGCTTCAACAACAGCTAACCGATTCGGACAGGTGTCGGTGCCTACCGCGATGACAAGGGCAAGCCTTACGTCCTCCCCTCCGTCCGCAAGGCCGAGGACAAGGTCATCCACTCCCGCATGAACAAGGAGTACGCCGGCATCACTGGTGTCCCCGAGTTCACAAAGGCTGCCGCCGTTCTCGCCTACGGCAAGGACAGCTCCGCCCTGGACCGTCTCGTCATCACCCAGTCCATCTCGGGTACTGGTGCCCTCCGCATTGGTGGTGAATTCCTCAACCGCTTCTTCCCCGGAGCCAAGAAGATCTACATCCCCACCCCTTCGTGGGCCAACCACGGCGCCGTCTTCCGCGACTCTGGTCTCGAGGTCGCCCAGTATGCCTACTACGACAAGAACACCATCGGCCTCGACTTTGAGGGTCTGATCCGCGACCTCAAGGCTGCCCCCAACAGCTCCATCTTCCTCTTCCACGCCTGCGCCCACAACCCCACCGGTGTCGACCCCACCCCCGAGCAGTGGAAGGAGATCGAGGCCGTCGTCAAGGACAAGGGCCACTACTCCTTCTTCGACATGGCCTACCAGGGTTTCGCTTCCGGCGACATCCACAAGGATGCTTTTGCTGTTCGCTACTTTGTCGAGCAGGGCCACAACATCTGCCTTGCCCAGTCCTTCGCCAAGAACATGGGTCTCTACGGCGAGCGTGTCGGTGCCTTCTCCATTGTCTGCGCCGACGCCGACGAGAAGAAGCGCGTTGACTCGCAGGTCAAGATTCTGGTCCGCCCTCTCTACTCCAACCCTCCCATCCACGGTGCCCGCATCGCCGCCGAGATTCTCAACACCCCCGAGCTCTACGAGCAGTGGCTTACCGAGGTCAAGGAGATGGCCGACCGCATCATCAAGATGCGCGCCCTCCTCAAGGAGAACCTGGAGAAGCTCGGCAGCAAGCACGACTGGAGCCACATCACCAGCCAGATCGGCATGTTCGCCTACACTGGTCTGACCCCCGAGCAGATGGAGAAGCTGGCCAAGGAGCACAGCGTGTATGCCACCAAGGACGGCCGTATCTCTGTCGCTGGTATCACTAGCGAGAACGTTGGCCGTCTCGCCGAGGCCATTTTCAAGGTCAAGGGTTAGATGTGTTGACGAACAAAAAAAGTTTTAGACTTGCAAAAAAAGTTATAAAAGGTAGTTTGGAGTTGGTTGGCTGTGGCGGGACTTAATGATGGTTTCTTTTTTTTTTTTTTTTTTTTTTTTTTCTGTTTTCTTGAATGGTACACAAAAAGGGGGCGATTTTGGCTTTTCACGTAGCTTGTATGATGAATAATGGTACATGACGAATTCAGAAGTCTATGGAGCAATTCCCTTGTACATGATTTTGCATTGTGGACTTGAGGCGTTTGGATAGTTTGTCAGTGAAAGTCGCCGGTTCTCAAGCAGGCTCATCCGCTTAGACCCTTTTTTTAACCATCGTGACTAGCCCTGTACATGAACTTTGTACACTCGTCGATAGCTCTCAACAAGATAATGTGAATTTGTTGGATAAATTCACTGGTATCACGAAGTTCAGTCGTCCACAATACCTGCCTTCCAATCTCTTTTGAAATCCCATTTTTTATTCACACAAAGATATGGTACAGCCGTCACCTCTCTATCAACCAGACGGTAATCCGACCCGGTTCAGTAGCACGGACCTTTATAGCTCAGCAAAACCTCCCCCTACGCCATCTTGGTGGGCTTCGGCTCCTCCTTCATAAACAGATCCTCCTCCTGTCCCAACCCAAACTCCTCCGTCTCCGCCTTCTTAATCAACCGATCCGCCTCCTCCTTCAGTTGTCCCTTACTCTTAGGCTCCTTGCCCTCGGCAAACTGGATCCCCGCAACCTGAAACTCCCTCAACTGCTCCTCCAGACTCTTTTCTTCTTCTTTGGCCTGAGGAGACAACCCCAGCGCCTCCCGTTCCTTGGCGAACCGCTCCCTGATCTCAGGCGTCTGCATGATTCGCCACCGCAACATCCACCCCCAGGGCCCCAGCTCCTTGACGCGCGCCGCCTTGTGGCCAAGCAAGTACTCGTCCAAACCACCGACTTTGTCAATGGTGCGCAAGACGCGAGTGGTCACGCGCGTGCGCACAAAGACGCCAAGGGACTTGGACCAGAGCCGCTTTTGCTGTACGTTGGGACGCCATTTGCGGCGCGTCTTGATTTCGTTGCGCTTGGAGACGTTGTTGCCGAAGCGGATCAGGGCGGAGCCGTAGAGACCCGTGTTGGATTGGTGGTAGACGCGGCGGGGGCCGTACGGGTAGGAAGGGATTTCGATCTTGAAGTCCTCGGGGACGGAGGTAGAGTCGGGGAGGGGCACGCGGCCGGAGACGTTGGGGATGGGGATGGAGGAGGAGGGGACGCGCGGTTGGTGGTAGAAGTGCGGGGTGGTGGTTGTTAGGGCGCGGAGTTGCTGCTGGACGAGGGTGGTGGTCGTGCTGGCCCGGAGGCAGGAGGGGCGGACGAGGAAGGACGACATTTTGGATGGTGTGGTTGGGGGGGGTATCTCTTGGCTCAATTTCAGTTGGTTTTTGTTTTGACTGTCGCAAAATCGAGAAGAGGTCGAGAACAGAGAAGCGATGCGCCGGGACCGAGATGGCAAAAGCGACGGCGCAATTAACGGGGTTTGGGACGGGCGGGCGGGAGGCTATTCGTCGCTGTCGGTCGTCGTCGCAGTCGTGTCCGCGTCGTCGGGAAGTGGGAATGTCTCGGACGCAGTCAAGGGTTTGAGATTCGAAGTCCGCGGCCTGGGCGGGACTCACACTGGACTGGAATCGGGGGGGCGGCGTGATGGAGTCCGGGTTGGGTCCTCTGGCGGCTCACAATCGGATCCGGCACGCGGGACGAATTTGTTTGCCAAGCCGGGTCTGTGCTTCAATTGGTGTGTTGTTGAGTGAAAAATAAGTGGAGCCCACAGCAGAGCTGCTGGAGAAGCGGGGCTCGATCAGCTGCTTTCGCGGGGCAGCTCGCGAGTGATCCTTGTCCGAGTAGCTTATCGGAGCTTATCAGTTGTGATGAGACAGGTACCTTGATGGGACACGCCGCGCTTTCATTGACAGAACATCGTCAAGAACACATTTGAACAGCACGGATGGACCGAGCAACTGAACAGCGACTCAAGTCCATCTAATATCAACCATGCTCCCGCCAATTGACAGCTCCGTACTCAAAAATAACCCCCAGTTCGCAAACCTCTACAAGGGCTTGACGGAGCTCATCCTCAACGATGATGGCTCAACCAAGCTTCATCCACAGAATCCAGTGGCCCAAGAGCGCAAGGCAGTCACTGAAGTGAGTAATCCCTCCTTATTTTCTTTCAACATCAACGAATTTGCGTCTAACAAAATCCAAAGGAACTAAACAAACATCGCCTTGCCGCCACCACTGAAAACCTCCTCATCCACGCCCTGTTAACCACCAGTCCCGATCCCATCCCCATTTCGGCGAAACCAGAGTTCAACCAAAATCCTTCACTTTCAAGTGGTCTCCAACCACTACTCATTATTCCACCCAACCTCAAACAACCACTAACCGACCTCCTCCTTCTTCTCCCCTCTTTCCTCTCTCTAGACTTTTCCTCACCCGAAACCCCCCCTCTAGACTCCGACTCCCTCTTACTAATCCTAACCTCCCCTCCCCTTTCCCTTCTTCCTACCCTCTTACCGTACCTCGGTCCCCTCCTATCAACAACCCTCCACTCTCAAGCTTCCCACCTCGTCCACCTCGCCAATCACCTTTCTCATTCCTCAATTACTAGTAGTACCACCTCCTCCAATCCAACCACACCCCATCTCACGATCCCCACCCTCCCAACCACCATCTCCTCCATCACATCAACCCTACCCCACCTCCACTCCTCAATCCTCCACTCCCGTCTCAACACAGCCGAAGCAGTCTGCGACCTCCTCTCCCAATACTCTACGGCTTTCACCCTCCTAATCAAGACTCTCGAAGCCAAACATGGTCCTATAGCGCGCAGTCTCGAATTTAAGGCAGGCGAGACTGCTTTACTAGCGCAAAAGGTAGAGAAGGAGAGCGAACTTGCTGTGTTGGGGGTAAGAAGGGAGGTGTATACGCCTGAAGTTAAAAGGGCATTAAGGGAGTGTAAGGAGTGGTTGGTTGGTGAGCAGCAAGGGTTGAGAGATGAGATTAGAAGGGGGGAGGAGGTGCTGGGGGATATGGTGTTGAGGTTCATATTGAGGGAGAGGGAGAGGGGGGAGAGAAAAGGGGAGACGCGGAAAAGGAAAAGGTGATGAGGGAGATTGCGAGGGTTTATGGCGAGATAGAGAGGGAGGTGGATGTTGTAAGGAGGGATTTGGAGCGGTTGGGTTTGAAAGGGGTGAGTGATTCTGGGTAATGGGTGGATGTGTTGCTGGGTTGTCGCGGATAATGAAATATGGGTTATGGGTTACGGGTTATGATCAGGGCGTTGTGATTGTTATTGATACCAAGGATTGCTTTGAAAGGGAATGAATAGTATTTGGTCGATAGCAGTCGGTGCGATTAATTTGTGTTACTGGGGGGGCATTACTAATACATCGGCATCACAGGCAACGAATGGAACAGTCAGGCACCTTAACAGGGAATCTATTGAATCCATTCGACCGGTCTTACCCGGTGAACAGCATATGGTTCAGATGGTGTAAAGAATCGAAGCTATATAGCATCAAATGCTCAGACTTGTGGTGCTTGATCTATTTTCCAAGACATGACTAGCACTTAGAAGCGCAAGTCCCAGCCAATCTTGGGGCCAATAATAGGAAGCTCATCAGCAACGCTCTGAACATCCTTGTCACCACGGCCGGACAAGCAAATGACAACATCCTCATCCGGCTTCATGGTCTTGGCCAGCTCCAGAGCGCCCCAGATACCGTGAGAAGACTCCAGCGCGGGAATGATACCCTCCAGCTGGCTCATCAGACGGAAACCCTCAAAGGCCTGGGCATCCGTGGCAGCCACGAACTTGGCGCGCTCGGTATCCTTCCAGTTGGACAGCTCCGGGCCGACACCGGGGTAATCAAGACCGGCAGAGATGGAGTGGGTGTCCTCGATCTGGCCGTACTGGTTCTGCAGAATGTAGGTACGGACACCGTGCAGGACACCCTTGCTACCGGCGGTAAGGGTCGCACTGTGGCGGGGAGTGTCGACACCGTCACCGCCGGCCTCAACGCCGAGGAGCTTGACGCTGGGGTCGTTGGAGAAGGGGTAGAACATGCCGACGGCGTTGCTACCACCACCAACGCAGGCGACGACAGCATCGGGGAGCTTGCCGCGCTTCTCCAGCATCTGCTGCTTGGTCTCGTTACCGATGACGGACTGGAAGGTACGCACAATGGTGGGGAAGGGGTGAGGGCCGATGGCAGAGCCGATGATGTAGTGGGTATCGGCAAGGTTGACGACCCAGTAGCGAAGAGCCTCGTTGACGGCGTCACGGAGGGTGCGGCTGCCGGCCTCAACGGCGACGACCTTGGCGCCGAGAAGCTTCATGCGGAAGACGTTGAGAGCCTGGCGACGGACATCCTCGGCACCCATGAAGACGGTGCACTCCATGCCGAACTTGGCGCACACGGTGGCAGTGGCGACACCGTGCTGACCGGCACCGGTCTCGGCAATAATCTTCTTCTTGCCGAGTCTGCGGGCGAGCAGCAGCTGGCCAAGAGCGTTGTTGATCTTGTGGGAACCAGTGTGGTTGAGATCTTCACGCTTCAGCCAGATGTTGGCGCCACCAGCGTACTCGGTGAGACGCTCGGCCTTGTGAAGCTGACCGGGACGACCCATCCAGGGGTAGTAAGAGCGGTACTCTTCCCAGAAAGCGGGATCGTCCTTGATCTTGTTGAAACCCTCCTCGAGCTCGGACAAGCAGTCCATGAGCGCCTCAGGGACGTACTGACCACCGAACTCGCCGAAACGCTTGGGAATGGTGCCGTGGAGAGCGGCGAGCTGAGCGTCAATGTCGGCCTCGGTGATGACGCCGTCGACGGTGGCAGTACCCACGGGTTCCTTGGCAGCTTCGAGGGCCTCGCCCATGTTGAGCTCGTGAGCGGACTGCTCCAAGTTGCGTCCGCACAGGTAGGAGCAGTACTCCTGGACAGCCTTGACCTCCTCACCCTTGGCGGCCTTCTGGAGAGTGGTGATGATCATGCTACCAACAACGACACCGTCGGCAATGGCGCCAACCGAAGTGAAGTGGTCGTGGGTGCTGACACCGAAACCAACGGCAGCGGGCTTGTTGCCGCTGTACTTCTTGACGCGGGCGAGGAGCTCGGGAAGGTTGGCGTTGAGAGTGCCGGAAGCGCCGGTGACACCCTGGCGGGAGACAACGTAGATGAAGGAGTCGGCGAGCTGGCAGAGGACGCGCATACGGGCGTCCGAGGTGGCGGGCGCGATCAAGGGGACGTAGGAGAGACCGCCGCGGGTGCAGAGCTGGCGGAAGGAGACGGCCTCCTCAGGGGGCAAGTCAACAATGATGAAGCCGTTGACGCCGGCCTCCTTGCAGTCGTTGAGGAGACGCTCCTCGCCGTAGCTGAGCAGAGGGTTGTAGTAGCCCATGAGCATGACGGGGGCCTTGAGGCCGCGCTGGCGGGCGTCGCGCACCATCTGCAGGGTCGACTGGAGGGTAACGCCATGCTGGAGAGCAATCTATGGGGAAACGAGAAGTGTCAGAGAGACGTGTTATGCGCCATGGTGATGCGGTGCTCTTTTTTCTTACAGTGTTGGCAGTCTGGATGGTCGGGCCATCGGCAATGGGGTCGGTAAAGGGGACACCGAGCTCGATCACGTCGGCGCCGCCCTTCTCCATGGCCAGGAGAATATCGGGGGTCTGCTCGGGGTGAGGGAAACCGGCCGTGACATAGGTGACGAGCGCAGCCTGTTGAAGAGGTAGGATGTTAGCATGCGGTCGGTCTTGAACAAAGACAACAGACTTGGAGGATATGTCAGACGCACCCTGTTCTGGGCCTTGCAGCGCTGGAAAGTCTGCTTAATACCCTCCATGGTGAAGCGGTGGTGTATGTATGACTGCAGCTGGATTGGGAATAATGACTGGACTTGTGCACAATGCTAAGCGGGACAAGTGTGGTTGAAGCAGTCCGTGAGGAAAAAAAGGCAATCCAGGAACCGGGCGAGAGAGAGAGGTGAAGAGTGAGTGGGTTGCTGGTCAATTAACAAGGAACAAAGAATACCAGTAATAAATGAAGGCAGGCAACAAAATGTGGATGAGGTGACTCCGCTGGATGACCGACGACAAGACCCGCGTTGCTGTTCGTACTTTGCCCCGCAGAACCCGATGTCGCCTTTGACTCACCCGATTTTTCAGTCTTTCTGTCTCCAGTCTCGATCCGGCCGCCGTCGGGTGGTTTCAATCCGTTTCAATTGACCGGCACTGGCGGCACGTCTGCCCCGCCATCCCGCCATGGAACCCGCCCACTGTTCCGTCTTCCACTTGCCCCCACTTGCCACCAACCCCGACCTAATCCGACCCTGTCTACCCTGGGGCTGCAGGGTCCGCTAAGTAGTGTTTGGCATCTTCCTCGCCCCCCAATTTGCCTTTCTAGTACTCAAGTTGCCTGCCGCGGAGTCCCACCTAGCTTTTGTGGAGACCTTCATTGGCTGCCAGCTTTCAAGGACACTTGGAGGCAGCGGCAGGCAGATGGACATTGGACCCTTCCGTCCAACTCTAGCACACCCACCCACGTCCGTCGTCATCACCACCGTCGTCAACCGCCAATTCTCCAAACTGCCCGCGTCAACCACCTCAGCTCCATTGCGCCCCGCGAAGAAGCATGCGATAGTTCAGTTGCAATGAACAGGTCGCCTTCCTCCTCCGGGTTATTGCCCTTGCCTGGTGCGCCTTCGTCGTCGTGGGCCCTCTACCGTGCTCGTCTCTCCAGCCTCCTTCAGAGTGTCGACACCGCCGTCTTTATCGCATTTTGGTTATTTGGTCCGTCTACCCTCTCCTTTCATCTGGTCCGTCGCGATATAAAAGTGCTGACACACGCCCTATCCAGGCCTCATCAACAATGTCCTCTACGTCATCATCCTCTCGGCCGCCCAAGACCTGGTCGGAAACGGCATCCCCAAGGGCGTCGTCCTCCTCGCCGATGTCATGCCCAGCTTCCTAACCAAGCTCGTTGCTCCCTACTTTATCCATCGCATCCCCTATGCCACCCGCATCTTTATCTTCGTCGCCCTCTCCTCCGCCGGCATGCTGCTTATCGCCTTTACACCGCCGTCCCGATCGGTGGCCGTCAAGCTGATCGGCGTCGTCTTGTCCAGCATCAGCAGTGGTGGCGGCGAGCTGAGCTTCTTGGGTCTCACACACTACTATGGTCACATGAGTCTGGCTGCTTGGGGTAGTGGTACTGGCGGCGCAGGTCTCATTGGGTCCCTGTTGTACGTGATGCTGACAGACTGGATCGGCCTCAGCGTCAAGACAAGCTTGCTCGCCTCAGCCTTTCTGCCCATCATCATGCTTGTCAGCTTCTTCTTGATCCTCCCCCATGGGCCACTGCGCGCGAGTGCCCGTAAGACCTACGAACCCATAGCCAATCGTGACTCTTTCCAGGAAGAAAGAGAGGGGGCCGAGAACAACTTTGACGATATACCTACGAGCACGGCATCATCAAGCCTCCTTGCACCCGGACCTGCAGTCGCTGCCACGGCGTATTCATCGCACCCCACCGAAGACGCTCAAAAGGACTCGCTTGCTGCCAAAATCCAACGATCCAAGTCGCTCTTTTTCCCGTACATGCTCCCGCTTTTGCTGGTCTACATTGCCGAATACACCATCAACCAAGGCGTCTCCCCAACGTTGCTCTTCCCGCTCGATTCCTCGCCTTTTGCCGAGTTCAGGTCGTTTTATCCCTTCTACGGTTTCCTCTACCAAGTCGGTGTTTTCATCTCGCGCTCATCCATCGCTTTCATCCGCATCCACCATCTATACCTGCCGTCCCTGCTTCAAGTCGCCAATCTCGTTCTGCTTACTTTGCACGCACTGCTCAATTTCATCCCGTCTGTTTACATTGTTTTTGTCATTATCTTTTGGGAGGGTTTGCTCGGCGGTTGTGTCTACGTCAACACTTTTGCCGAGATCATGGAACACGTGCCTGCAGAGGATCGTGAATTCAGCTTGGGTGCTACCTCGGTCAGCGATAGCGGCGGTATCTGTGTGGCCAGCTTCCTCAGCATGGCCATGGAGATATGGCTGTGTAATTGGCAGGTTGACCATGGCCGAGATTGGTGCAGGCGCATCAAGGCTGGCTGATCAGGGCTCAAGGCATGAAGGGGTAGGTCCCGCTGGGCCGCTAGTCTTATGATGACATGTTCTGGTTGAGTCAAACCCCAACCTGAACCTGAACTTCTTCACCTCTGACATCAGTCATTATCTCCCCATCATGGACCTGATTTTCGGTAGAGACGCAACCTCACAAGTCGAGTCCACCAAACCACTCCACCAACTTTGTGACGCGTACCTATTTAGCTTCCTCGGCATGGTGTTTAGTCTTTTGAGAGTTTCTGCCGGCAGCATCCCTAGTGTTCATATCTCATGCGATAATGCACCCTCAAAGAGCTTCAAGACTCTGCGAAGACGGGCTGTCATCTGTGTAGCATGATATTGCAGGCCATCCTTCGTCGGCAACTTAATGGCACGCAGTTCAAGTTCGGGCTGTTTCTGTGGTATTGCAAAGTATCGCATACTTACACTATCATTACATTCCTGAACGGAGAAGAACTAGACACGAAGCTCGAAATTCGCCCACTATCCATCTTCCAACTTGCTTGACCCTCTGTCCAGATTGAACGACTACCTTCGCTTGGCTCGAACTTTGGCGCAACTCCTCTTTAGGTGGCTAGGAACTGGTTACAAGTTTGTCAACACAACCACACGCAATGCAGGCCTCCCAAGTCTATCAGTACTCCTTGGGCACAACAATCAACGTATATACGGCTCATTAGCATCCGATCTCAGGACAATGGCGGTCAGACATACCGGCTAGTCAAACACCCTTTGGACGAATTTGTTGATTATATTACCTTCAGCTACCGCTGGACAGACGACGTTAAAAAGAACATGCTTTGGCGAGAGAACACGGAGAGGTTCACCGAGTCCACGCAGACAGACGCTGGTCTCAATTCAATCGTGATGCGGCCGCCAACTTGTCTAAGAGTGTAACCCTGGTCTTGAAACGGAGGTGTGTCCAGAACTCATTATCACCAAACACGATGCTATCCGCACAACCAAACGAACATTCGCGGGGAGCCAATACAAGTTTCCGCCGCCGAGGATATTAGTCGGGGCTTTTTCAGCTATCTGGAAAGACGTCGTGAATTTCAGCAAAGTAAACCTGACCTTTCTAAGTGACAAAGTGTCGGCGCTGCAAGGTATTATTTCCCTTTCCCCGTCACAACCTACCTGCACCTTATCCCTTCGTCATTTGATGGCCGTCATAATACAACAATCTTCACAATTCTTGCTCTTACCATATATGTATCTCCTTGTGTGTGTCGTCAAGTTTGCACATGTTTTAATGCCATACTCTGCGCTCTCTCGTCAAGTTTCGTCCTTCTTCCATAACACCTGCGTCAAGCAAGGTGCATGTATACCCGATATAGTTCTGCGGGAGCATCGCTTCGCTACCCGCCTGCTGGCGGCAGTTCCATGCATGTGCAGTCGACATCCGACAGAATAGGACTTCTCTCCACGCTCTTGATTTTGCGATGATCTAAAGAATCATCATAGCTGAAATACGCGAGACGGCGAGAAAACATTGATCACCATGATAACCCTCGAGCACTCATTACCAGGTTCCTGTCTATCGGCCCTTCGCCATGACTTTGAACAGCTAGTGCAAACATGCGATTCCCAACGACGACATCAACTCTCTCCCTTCTCATCCTACTCCAACTGCATGCCGCGGAAGCAGCTTTCTCAATTTCTTTCCTAAGTTCCCTTCCCAGCCTAGCCACCGACAACGGGATACCCAACCAGAACCTCCTAACCTACCTCTCCACCACCCACGATACTTCACCTCTTAACTCCTCCGCTCTATGCACCACCATCCTCTCCCGCGATAAAACCGCCCTCCTCCTACCGAACGCACGCATCCCCCTGTCTTCGGCAGGTTTCATTGGTTGCTTCCTCGAGAAGCCACAAGGGCCGCAAGCAGAAGAAGACAACCAGCACCAACAACTAGTCTTTACAGGGATTCCAGCAGGATGGCAGTTTAGTATCGCGGAGATTACGATCGGTGGGTGGTTAGACCTGGAAAGGGGGAGTTTTGTTGAGAGGGTTTCGCTTTCTCTCATGTATCCAGTACCATGTACTGAGAAGATTGCTGGCGGTGGTGGTGATACTAGCAGTAGCATGGGACAAGTTATGCTCAACAGTGAGGAGGAAGAAGAAGTCGAAAAAGAAGAAGTCGAAAAAGAAGAAGTCGAAAAAGTGGATAAGGGGTGGAGATGGAAGTGGGATCTCATCAAAAGAAGGGAACCCGGAAAACCGAGTAAAGCAACACAAGCAACCAAAGGATCCCAAGACCTTCAAAGTCAAAGTCAAGCTCTAGTCGACACAGCAACAGCAATAGCCCCCTACGGCCGTTTCGGCACCGGATACCGAGGGGCTTTCAACTTGTCTATGCCCGTCAAACCCTCCTCGGGCGCCAGCAAGAAAGGGAAGAGAAAGCAACGACTGGCTGTTTCATCGTGCTCGACGGGTGCTGAGATGGAGGTTAGGTTGGGCGCTGAATTGTGGTTTTCGCTTTCGAGTGAGCAGATTGAGTTTGATGATACGGTTGCTCATCGGGGGATGCTGGGTGGTGAGCTTGGAGAGCCCGGAGAGCTCCCGGGAGAAGGGGATGGGCGGCATCAGGGATGGGAGGCGTGTGAGAAGACATTGAGGGTAGGGATGCGGGGGGAGTGGAAGAGGTGTTGACGGAGGTTGTCCGATGAAGAGGTGACTTGTGTTGATAGTGGTGAGGTTGGAGCGATGAATGAGAAGGGAATGAGTATTGACGGATGGACGGAACGTTGCTGGGGATACGTATATTTGTTGATTTGGGTTGATAGGAGGTGAGAGGGGTGGCAAAGCATTGGATTAATGAAGGACTTATCTACCTGTACTGTTGATTGTGTCCGAATGGCACAGGCGTAGACCATGGAATATGGCGTGTTCAGGAGATATTTATTTTGGCCTCGATCCTAGGTATGTTAACGTTATTACACGATACATGTTGTACAGCAAACCCAAAAAGGGAACAGTGTTGGAACGGGCTATCTTCAAATACCGGGACTGATAACGGAGATGTAGTGCCGGCCTCGGAACTATTGGATTGGCGATCTGCAACAGGCTCGGCTGTGATTCGCTCCCCGCGTTCCGAGATACCAACCGTTTGAGCCAGCCAATGCATTGTAACGTCATGTCCAGCGTGCGATAGTCTCTTTGCTGGTGTCTTATCGGAGATAGTATTCCGAGATAAGAAATAATGATAGGTAATCGCTAGACTGACAGAGGAATAGTATGTACCGAATATCGACACTAATACACAGTCATGTTGTTGAGGACAACAAAAACGAGGACACTCCCCTCTCGATTTTCCGGCGATGACTTCCACCCCATCATTCACCCTTTGTTGTTACCTACCAAGGTAGCCAGTAACCTCTACCATGGCCTCCTCCTCACCACTACCGCCACCAGCACCACCACGATCTCCCTCCCCCTCGGGCGAGAAGAAGTCGGACCCCGAACGTCAAGATGAATTATACACCAAGCCCGACGACCTAGAAGACGGCCACCAACAAAACCCAGCAGCCTCTTCCTCAACCCTCGAGATCCTCGACCCCAAAGCCGAGACGGCCCTCCTGCACAAGCTCGACTCCGTCTTCGTCCCCATCATCATGCTCGTCTACCTCTCCTGCTTCCTCGACCGCTCCAACATCGGCAACGTCAAAGTCGCCGGCATGCCCGAGGACATCAACGCCACCCCGGCCCAATTCTCCACGGCCGTCTCCATCTTCTACGCCACCTACGTCGCGTTTGAAGCGCCCTGGGCTATCTTGCTCAAGCGGCTGACGCCCCGCGTGACGCTCACCACTCTGTGTGTGGTGTGGAGTCTGACGACCATTTTCTCGGGGTTCATCACCAACATTGGCGGACTTTACGCGGCGCGTCTGGTGTTGGGGGCGTGCGAAGGCGGACTGTTCCCGGGCCTGAATCTTTATTTGACCATGGTGTATAAGCGGGAGGAACAAGCGCGGCGCGTGTCCTATCTGTTTGTGTGCACGGCGATTGCGGGGGCGTTTGGTGGGCTGTTGGCCTACTTGATTCTCAAGATGGACGGGGTGGGCGGGCAGGCCGGGTGGCGGTGGGTGTACATCATCGAGGGCATCTTCAGCGTCTTGATTGGGGCGCTGGTGTGGTTCGCGCTGCCGAATGATCCCACCGAGGCGTACTTCTTGAATGAGGAGGAGAAGCGGATGATGAGGGTGCGGGCGCGGCAGAGGGCGCAGTACATGGGCAGCGACGAGTTCTCCTGGGAGGAGATCCGGATTGCCCTGAAGGATACCAAGTTGTGGCTTAGCGGCGCGATCCAGTTTTGTCAGGATATACTGCTGTTTGGGTTTAGCACGTTCTTGCCGAGTATCATCCAGAGTATGGGCCACACCAGCATTGAGGCGCAGTACTTGACGATTCCCGTGTACATTACCGGCGGGCTGTTCTTCATGGGGCTGGCGTTCTTGTCGGATAAGATTGCGGTCCGGGGACCGCTGGTGGCGTTTGCCAATATCTTTGGCATCTTGGGGTACATTTTGATTATCTGCCCGACGAGCAACGGGGTCAAGTTCTTTGGGACGTTCCTTTGTGCCGCGGCGGTGTACAGTGGCCCCGGACTGAACTTGACGTGGCTTAATGTCAATGTTGCCCCGCATTATCGAAGGGCGGCGGCGATTGGGTTTCAGCAGACCATGGCCAACACGGCGGGCATTGTGGCCGGGCAGATTTACCGGGAGAAGCCGTACTTGCTGGGGAATGCGTTCTCGCTTGGGGCGTTGGTTGTGTCCGAGTTTCTAATTGCTGGCTTGTGGTTGTATATTCGGTCATGTAACAGGAAGAAGGAGAGGATCAGTAAGGGGGAGATTGAGGATACTAGGAAGGTCAAAACGGGCGATGGGGCGCTGGACTTTAAGTATCATCTGTAGAGGTAGTGAGAGTAGATACATGGGGTTTGTGTATAGCCTTGTAGCATTAGAGATGTAGTTTCTAGTATCACCTGCTTGAACCCATCGTTTATAATTTCTTTGTGTCTAGACAGGTGCAAGATGGCCTCGATCACGCTCAACACCCGACATAGAGATCGTCTAACACGTAGTAAAGACACTTTAGTACTGCGCTCGCTAAGCATGGCGAACAACAAAGCTTTCGCCCATTCAAGTCAACTTTCTTGACGAGGACCGAAGAGTACCGCAAACGAAACTTACCAGGCACATGTACTTTTCCTTGTCTGTTTGACTTTGATTTGATTCCGCCATTTCCGTGATACAGAGTGCTCTCTAGACCAGAAATGAGGGACAGGTTCTATCACTCGAAAGACAAATCTACCTAGCTTAGAGCACTGTACAAGAGAAGAAAGAGTCTTGGACACTATAGTGGAAAAAAGGAAGCGGAGAAAGAAAGGCCAAAGCCAACGCCAAATTTCCAAATCGAAGCCCAAACCCGCAATCTTGGACCTCGATCTCATCCAACAGCTTGTTGCAGTGGGTGCCAGAAGAGAGAAACTTCCCGCTGAACTTGTACCTTTAACGTCTCATAGACATGAAGACTCTGAGAAGTGGGTATTATGAGAATGTTTAACCAAGTTGATGAAGTGAAGAGTGACGAGTGTGACCTACTTTTGGCCTTCTTTGCGTTGGGGAAATTGTTCGTTGAGCCGTTTTTTCCGGGGGGGCACTCCACTGCGCAGACCTATGTAGTGCCCCTGAAGTGGAAGTCACAGAAGACTTTTTCACCACCCAATCAAAATCGACCCTCTTGACCAAAAGGGCAATTGGAGCGTGCGTAAAAGTTCAGACCACGCACCTAGTACGCTAATCTTCAGCGGGTCCTGCCCTGAAAGAGGATGAAGAGCGCTATAAGGAACTTCTGTGATGCAAAGGGACCGCCCATTCTGCTGACCCGTTGCCCGAATACAAGCCAAACAAACAGTATCAGACGGGTACCTCTATGCAACTAAAGGATCATGCACTGCTCCCTAACGAGATATAAGGTACGATAGGGGGGCTGTGCTGGGAGTGAGGCGCTTGGGCTGATGTAACTTTGACAAAACCCCCCTCCCTGGCAACCTGGCATCTAAAATACAGCTCCCGCTCGCTGTATGAACCTCCGGACTCCGTATACTCGTGTGTGCCTCTCCCCAGATCCCTGGCGACCTACCGAGTCACTACTTCGAAGAGTATGCCCAAAGTAACTGCCTTGGCCGGCAGATAGCAGAAGTCTAGGAAGACACCTCGTTATCCTGGCTTTCAGTTCCACGGTTATTTAGTATGACGAGGATTCACAACCTGACTGGCCTACCTTCCTTACCCAATTCTCTTATTGTCTGACAGCCAGACTGGAGGACTAGACGTGAAGCGGGCAATATATTGATGTTTTCACCGGTTAGGAGCGTCGCTGAAATGACGGCCAAACATGCGGCATGGACCAAGCTAGTATGGCACCTCCCTAGAAGCCTTCAATATTCTCCCAAGTTATTATGTCAACAGCCCTACGTTTCCAACATGGCTACTACCACTAAAGCTTCTCCCAAATTCAATGTGACTCCTGAGCAACAAGCGAATCTGCCTCACTTCTTCTACCAACAGCTTACATGCAAGCCCAAGCCCGTCACCGGCGCCAACCTCAAAGGCAAAACAGCCATTGTAACCGGATCCAACACCGGGATCGGTCTCGAGACGGCGCGACAGCTGCTTGACCTGGGTGTCAGCAACTTAATCTTGGCCGTTCGCAACGAGGCCAAGGGCGCAGCAGCTGCCGCCAACCTGACCAAAGGTCTTCGAGATGCCAACAAGCAAGCTACCTCTGGGACATCTACCATTGAGGTTTGGAACCTCGACCTTTCCGTCTACAACTCCATCCTCGCCTTTTGCGCCAGGGCCGAGAAGAAACTCAGCACGCTCGACATCGCCGTCCTCAACGCCGGCATCGGTCCTGCCGCGCGCTGCTTCAACCCCCACACCGGCCATGACGAGGTGATCCAGGTGAATTACCTCTCCACCGCACTGCTGGCCATCCTTCTCTTGCCCGTCATCCAGTCCAAGCGTCAGCATCAATCCGGCCCTAGCCGTATGACCATTGTCAACTCCGAAGTAACGGGGTGGACCAACTTTACCGAGGTCACGGGAAAATCACAGAACAAGCCAGGAACACCGCCGGTCTCAATCCTGGCTGCTTTGGATGCCAACGACAAAGATGGAGAACCAGTCGACATGGTAGATCGCATGTTTGTGTCCAAGTTGCTGGGCCAGTTTTTCCTGTCTGAAATTGCCAAGGTGGTCGACCGATCGCTGGCAATCATCAACGCCACATCGCCGTCGTGGGTACTCGAGACCGAGTTCAACCGCGATCGCCAGGGTTCATCCGTACTCTTCACGATTGGAAAGTTTGTGTTAAGTAAAGTGGTCGCCAATACGGCGGCTGTTGGGGCGCGAATGGTTACGGATGCCGCTGTCAACCATGGTGAGGAGACGCATGGAGAGATGCTGAGCTTTCAGCAGCTTGTTCCGTGAGTGATTCTTTGTGCCTTTCATGCAACGTCAGAAAATATTCGACTGACGTGATGCAGCCTGGCACCCATTATTTATACGGAGGAAGGAAGGAGGATTTCAAAGCAATTATGGGAGGAAACTCTGTCTGAGCTAGAGTTTGCGGGTGTGAGAGAAATTTTGGGTAGAGTGAGGAGGAGGAGGAGTTCCTGAGGCCACAGCTTCAATTGCCGGAACTATCAGGATCGTCATTGTAGTCTTTCTCCGGTTTACGACTAAGGAGTTGGATGTTGGATCCATGAAGAGCACAAGATTGAAGGGATCTCGTGCCATCCCCCTCCGCTCCTTTTTTCACCCTCAGCGTGACACGGTCAAGTCCCATGTTTCTCTCCGTCCCCTTCGAGACTTGAGGTTCGCATATCTCTAGAGGTATACAATATCACCATACGACAGATAAGGGATACACTACCCGTTGAAAACTTGAATCATTTCCTGATCTCACCACAGTGTTTGTCGCTTTTGTTACGAGCTTGCAAAACATATAGGGGTGGACTGAATCTCAAAAGTACCTCTAGGTATGTTTCGATAACAAAAACATCGTTCTTGTCAGCTCCAAGGTGCACAGAGGTTTCTTTGCGCAGAGAACAACCAAAAATGGATGAAAAGAACAGCAGGGGATACCGTTGGTGGCGTCGTCTTCTCAAGAGGATCCCTGGATTTTTCTGCAAGAGGCCCGTTTACCGCTCACTGAAGATTGGCTGCAAAGTTCTGGCAACCCGCAGGACCTTGACGGTGGCTTGCACCATTGACTGCGGGATGGCGTTCCGGTCATCATCTTACACCAACTAACATTAACAGAGATGCGTGGGACTTTCTATGACCACTGTTAGTTACTGGATACATCGGTATCACTAGGTGTCTTCCGTTTGGCTTCAATTCAATGATGTTGTTGAAGACTGAGCAAGCAAACGGTCACTTGCTTCTCACCTATCGACCGACAGCTCTCAATGATAGCTACCGTATAATCTGGAGATTGAGGTTCGGGTAGACACTTTTTTCGCAGACATAAGCAGGGTGAATGGTGTTAAAAGGCAGTAAAGAAGCATGTACCTACATAGTTGACCGGGATCTTTAACCCTGCTTATGCCTGCGCAAAAAGTGCCCTCCCGCCCGAACCTCAATGACCAGAGAGCATACCGTATTTCCATAAGTCTCGCTTTCTGTTGCTCTTCCTTTTTTCAGCATACGCTTGACGTCGATACATCATCATCTGCCGCTCTCCACTTGCTTGGCCTTCGTCAACTGTTGCTGCAGTTCATTTGGCAACTTCAATCTTGTCGCTGCGTCTCCAGGTGAGCATGGTTAGAAATGTATGGCAATCATCGCCGATGCTGGACACTCTTCTGGTTCTTCCGTTTGTATGACCCAAGGATCCTTTCTACTTTCTCCTCCTAATGTATCTTGAAGTCAATCGGCTTGTTGTTCTGTTTCCGTTCACGAGCTCTGTTCATGGTTGATCTCCCAGTCATTTCGTCTTCGAAGGTGCGTAGTACCTAACTCCTGCTCTGGGCTCCAAAAATATTCTAGCCCTTGAAATCAGAGCGCGCCAGTCAATATCCATCTTGGCTGTTTCCTCCCAGTCCTCTAAAGGTATTCATTTCCAGGGGTTAGTCTCGGAGACTTGCTCTCCTTTGCTCGCCATCGTATGAAGAAGAGCCGAACTAACAACAAATTCAGCAGAGCTCAGCATCAACCCCTATGTCGACGTCAGTACCGAACACGCCTGCCATGGATCTCCATCCGATAGATCTCGGCAACGCCGGTCTCGATCTCGACACCCTCAAACTCACCGTCGAGCTTTACCTGCAAGATCTCCACGAGCTCCAGGCAGCAGCCAAAGGAAAAGGAAAACGCCGAGAGGGCGAGACGACAGATCTCGAGATGGCTATTGCGACCTATGAGGCAGAACTGGCTTCTGTCAACCAGCATCTCGCCGACCGCGCCATGTGCGCGAGCATCGCCGACGCCGTTCGCCAGGATGCCATCGCTATCTCCGAGGCCGTCCAGGCCGAGGAACAAGCAAGACAAGACCGCCAGATGGCCTGCTCGCTGGGTGGCGTTCCTACCTCTACCCAGCATGCAGCTAGGCCTTCGAGTCCCGCATTCTCCATCATCACGGAACCGTTTGAGAACGACTTCATTGATAAGCTGAGCGCCCTGTACATCTCTGATCCGGATGGAGAAGGCGCAGCCGAATCTTCTGCATGGGCCGCTAGCCGCCGTCCGCGCTCAACCACTCCAGGCCCCCCGAGACCAGATACTCCGGCCATGAGACAGTGTGTGATGTGTAGGGATGACTTTCGCTTTTATCGGATGGCTACCTTTCCATGCCAGCATCACATGTGCCAGGGCTGTTTAGTCGAACTCTTCACCCGCCTGTTGACAGATCAGACACTGTTTCCTCCTCGGTGCTGCCGTGAGCCGATCGCGTTGGACAAGGCTCGCTTCTTGCTTGGTCCAGAACTGGTCGGGAGGTTCTTGGCCAAGAAGATTGAGTACGAAACATCCAACCCGACTTACTGCTCCCAGCCTACTTGCTCTCAGTTCATACCGCCGCATGGTATCACCAATGATGTCGGCACTTGTGCCAAGTGCGGGGAGAAAACCTGCGTGGTCTGTAAAGGCCAAGCCCATGTCGGTACAGACTGCCCTGAAGATTCCATCACAAAGGAGGTGCTTCAGATGGCGGAGGAAGAAGGATGGAGGAGATGCTATTCCTGTAAAAGAATGGTGGAGTTGAACTATGGCTGCAACCACATTAGTAAGTTTATTTTCTTGCGGTATATCCCAGTGACAGGCTCCTAATATGTCGGGGGGGTTTTACGGCAAAATAACCAGCCGCACGGCCATAGCGATGTAGAGTTACCACGCGCGGTGTGCCTGGCGAGCCCAGTTGAACAGATGAAAAAGACTGACTGTGGTTTTGTAGCTTGTCCTTGTGGTGCCCACTTCTGCTATGCATGTGGCGACGTTTGGAAAACATGTCGTTGCGAATTGTATAGTGAGGAGGCTCTCATGGCTCAAGCCAACAGACACGTCAATCGAGATGCGGGAGCTGGGCGACTCCCAGAGCCAGTGAGGCAGCAACGAGTAGCGGCAGCTGCGCAGCACTTGCTCGAGAATCACGAGTGTGCTCACGCCAGATGGAAAGGGCGAGGAGGGAGGTTCCAATGCGAAGAATGTCACGACTGGCTACCTCAATTCATTTATGAATGCCAGCAGTGTCGCTTGCTTGCCTGCAGGAGATGTCGCTTCAACCGTCTTTGAGGTTCATGGTTTGATCTGGGGAAGAGAGGGAAACCCACTGGTTTCAGACCGCGGATGCATCTGAGACGACTTGGTGGCGGCCCTGTCAGTAATCGCAAGATCAAGTTTCGTTGACAGCGCCGTATCTAGGTACCCTGCTTCCGTCCATGTGTTAGTAATCTGTACAAAGAGTGGGTTTCATCTATTTGTCCCAGGATCCTACAGCCTGGTGACCAGCCTTTGGCAGTTGAGTCCTGTTCCAAACAACATCAAACACCAGACGATATGGAGTTAAGTAGGTATGCATCGAACAAGTTTCCTCGCCTTTACCTCTTTCCCAACCCTCTCTACTCTTTCCTTTGCCCTCTCTCAAACGAAACACCCACCCATCCCCAACTGGACCTCCCAGTCCTCTCCGTCAACGTAACCTACAGCCACGAGACCTACACTCCGCGCTTCGTCCCTTCGAAGGTGCCGAGCTCGACTACCAAAACAAAACCGACGTAACCCATCCATCCCTCTCAACTGGAGCTACACTAACTACCTACACTACACTGACCAGCACTCATTCCATGATCTTTTTGTCTAAAAACAAACTTCAAGGGGGCGTTTCTTCCAAGTTGCAACCGCTGGACAGTTGCCGACATAGGATAACTTGAAGGAAAGGGGAGATGAATCAATGGATTCCACCGTGGTGAGCATGTTAGTGTCAGGTAGTTTTCAGCGGAAAAAAAAAAAAAAAAAAAAAAAAAAAAAAAAAAAAAAAAAAAAAGAGTCCCTGATTTAGCTCCTCGTAGACTACCTACCTATTTCGTTTTCTCTTCTTTGTTTGCAGTTAGGTAAGGTACCTAGGGAACAACTTTTAAGCTTTCATCATTCATTCTTCACACAACTGAAATCCAAACAAACGGCTTCTACACTACTTGGTTCCTGCACAACCTCTTCTTGAAGATATTGTTGAAATGGCTTCTTACCGTTGCGCGCATACCTGACGGCGCCGCACAACAAGTTATATTGCCTGGCAAAGAAGACGAGTGCCGCGACAAAGACAGAAAATGCAAGAGAGGGTACACCCGGATGTAAATGCCAGCAAGAACGAAAAGATTTAATTTAGTTTCTTTATAGCTAAGTAAATAATAACGAATACGGCGCTAGCTAGCTGGTATTAAAACAGCTTTCTGCAAGCCTTGGTGTTTCCTACTACATCGATTACATTACACATTATCTTTTACTATCATCTCTTTGGTTCGTAGGGTGGTCGTTAACTCCTGGAGTCCCGAAGGGCCTGTCTGGTTCCAGCCCAGTTCCCTAGAGGTAGTCCCCCAATTTCCCCCCTCACTCACTCAACAACCTTCATCCCATCTTTCCCTCCCACCAAATCAATCCCAACCCCATCAACAACACACCTCCTCCCAACCCTCCTAAACTCCTCCCCCGGCCACCCCTGCACCGTGACCCCCTCTTTCACCGTCTCACCCCCCATAACCAACGTATGCTCCAGCAGACACGCATCCCTCTGCATCTCCGCCCCGCTCAACAACCTGCTCCCCGTCCTCAACACCGCCCCATCTCCGACCTTCAACCTATTCAAATCGAACTTACCTCTGGTATTGATATGCGCCACCAGACTCGCATCGTCCACCGTCACCCTGTCTCCCAACACAAGCAATTCCGGCTCGGTAAACACGAGCGAAGGTCGCCCATTGACAAACAAAGCGCAGTCTTTGCCAATCTTGGCGCCCAAAGCCCGGAAATACGCCACGGTGAAACACGTGCCGGTGAGCATCCCCAACACGCCCTGGCCCGCAAAGCAGGAGCGGCGGAGTTGCTCGATGGATAGCAGGAGTTGCCAGCGCTGGCAGTAAGGGGAAAGGTCCCAGGAGTGAGTGCCCGGTTGGCGGCGGCCGAGGAGGAGCCATTTGGCGGCGATGGTGATGAGGAGAGACAGGAAGGCGAGTAAGGTGTTGAAGACGGCGAAGACGGCGGTCAAGAGGCCGAAGAGGGCCATGGGTTGCGAGAGGATGGCGTGCGAGACGGGGTGGTCAGGGTGGCGGGCGCTGAAGACGTTGATGATTTGGATGGTGGAGATGGACGGGGCGGTCCAGTACAGGGCTGTAAAAAGGCGATTGAAGATGGAGTAGGCGGTGATGGTGAGTGGAGAGTAGACACGGTAAGGGGCGAGACCGAGGTAGAAGGCGCGGCCGAAGGGAGTGCTTTTCACTGCGGGGTCGCTGGCAGGGTCTTCAGCTTCGGTTTCGGAACCGGAATGGGTGAAGTCCCCGGGAATGTCAGAGACAGGGCGGGTGATGGGAATGCTAGGGGTTCTGTGACCTTCTTCGGGGTCGTTGGTCCCTTGGGTGTAGGGTACGCTTTCGATGGAAGGTTGTTCCTCCTGGGTCCGAGCAGGTTGTTGCGCTGCACGGGCGTTGCGTCGGGAGACTCGGCTCTTGTCACCACCTTTGGGGGCTGCGCCGGTTGAGAGACAGAGACAGTCGCCACCCTTGGAACCAACGTATACTCCGTTGGCGACATACTCCTTGTTTCGGCGGGTGAGTGCACCTGATCCAAGCACCGTGTCTTCGCCGACAGTCACACCAGGGAGACAAACCACACGATCAGCAATCATAGCGCGGTCACCAATCTTGATGGGCTCGGAGCCGAGACCATCAGAGGTAACAAGATACGAGCGAGATCCAAAGACGACATCGTTGCCAACCTCGAGAAGATGGTAGTCCGTGATGCCGGGTCCAGTGCCAGGCCAGTAAACACGCTTACCAATCTTGGCCCCAAGCATCCGAAGGACAACAGAAGTCATTTCATAATGCTGACCAAACAAGCCAGTCAACTTCTTCAGCGACCTGTTCGGGTAGATTGTCCTCATCAAATCCAGTCTCCAGCGTTCGATCTGTCCGCGACCCTTAGCGCTGCTGGGCTTCAGCTTGCCAAACATCAAATCCAACAGCGTCTTGATGATCATCACAGCGGCAAACTCGAAAAACGGACCGAACATCACGCCCAAGCCCACAGCCAGATAGTGATAACCGATTCGGTCGTTGCTGGCCCACCAGGTGATGATGTCCGGCAGTGGAGCAACGGCCCGCGGGGGTCTGCCCTCAACCAACCCAACCATACCAAGCAGCCACGGGCCACCGGCAACCAAGCTGACAAGACCGTACAGCGGCATGGTCAAAAACAGAGTCAAGGCCCAGTGCGGCCGCGGAGCGCGGTGGACGGATAGATCGCGGTTGGCCTCCGTGGCATCGTTCAACTCCCAGCTGCACGAGTTGGGACCGATGCAAGCACCGTCAGGGACCTGAGTGCCGGGAGCCACGTTGGCGGCAAGACCGACGAAGGCGTTAGCACCGATGGTGATCTTGCCTAGGTACATGGACGTATTGGCTTCAGCGCCGAATGGGCGGACGATGCACTTGTCGAGAAAGGCGTTGGGGCCGATGGTCAAGAGATCGTATTCACCCAGTTGACAATCATTTAGTTCGACACCGCTACCGATTTTGGCACCCAGAAGACGGTAGTACCAAACGATGGTGTAGTTGTGATGCCTGTGAAACAAGATATGATAAGAGGTTGTTCGGGAATAGCGGTGATGAAATATTCATTGGCGAAGGCTTTGTTTACATCGGAGAAAGGGGGGAGAATCTTGGCAAAACTTACCTAAAAATGCCCTGTCCAGTCAAAGCAATCACCTTCTGCGTCAACCACCACCTAGTATGATACCATCCCCACATTGGATATACTCCTTCCTTGTATCGGCCCATGATCAACCACTTGGCCAGAATGCCAAAGATGGGCCGCACAACCGACATGACCACCCGCGCAAAGAGCAGTGTTGTAACGATGTTGACCAATCGGCCAAAAGGCCATCTGCTCGTCGACCACCGCTCCATGTGTGCCAATGTCAGCAAGAAGATAGCCCAGTGCGCCCCGCGCCTAAGGGGGTACAGAATCGCCATGGGCACCAGTTGCAGCATCATCAGGAATGGGTTCGTGGAGCTGTGGGTCTTGATGGGCGTCGGCAGTCCTTCACATCTGGCCTGCTGCTCCGCGTCAGAGTCGCATAGGGTGGTGTCACTGTAGGAGGTATATGCCGAGGAGCTGGGCCGGGAAGCGAGCTTCTCGTCGATGAATGCCGATAAGGCGTCAACGGAGCCGCCGCGAAAGACGAGGTCAATGGGTAGTGAGAGACCGAACTCGGAACGGAGAGCAGACAAAAGCCTACCGGCCCGAAGGGAGTCACCCCCTAGGTCAAAGAAGTCGGCGTCGGCAGTGATTTCATGGACCGAGAGGCCGAGAATGGGGGCCATGATGCGGGTTACCTGTGAAGCCGTGTTGCCCGAGGCCGAGGAGTCACCGGTTCCTGGACGGTTGTTCTGTTCGTAAAGAAGGGACTCGAGAGCTTCATGGGTGGGCATGGTGCCGAGTTTTGCCGGTAGAGGAGATTGCAGGATGTGGAAACGGTGTGGGACAAGATAGCCGGGTACCAGAGAGGGCAGCTTGGACTTGAGCGAGTCAATGACCTTGTACAGCTCGCTGACATCGGAAATCTCCTCCTTAGGGGCCATGTAAACTTCAAAGCCGCCGGATTGAGGGTTTTGATGAACGCGATGGACGATTTCCGGGGGCAAAAGAGCGGTTATGCTGCGATAAATGGTCGTTTCATCGATGCTACAAAGAAGCGAGGAGATGCTAACTGACAGGGGCGTGTTGGGAGGTGGGCAGGTAGCTTCGTAGTGGACATCGCAGTAGCGAGAAGCATCTGTCAGCTCGGGAAGGCCCAGGCGGTCCGCCAACTTGATGCGCAGTACCTTGTTGTTGCTCTTGGGCACGTCCTCCATGTAGACAATGAGGCTAGGCCACTTTGCCTGTTGCAACGACTTCTTCAGGGCTTGATGGAGTTGCCTGGTATCAGTACGCTGAGCGCCAGGAGGCGTGACTAGCACAACACCAACGACTTCTTGGAGGACATCGTGACGGACAGAGAAACAAAGGGCTTGCGAGACCCGGTTGAAGATCGGTGACTCGGGGTCCTGTGCGGCAGCAATGATGGCGTTTTCAACCTCAAAGGGTGAGATAATCTCGCCACCGCGGTTGATGACCTCCTTGCTGCGACCAGTGATGAAAAGGTAGCCGTCCGAGGAGAGGCGACCAAGATCACCGGTATCAAACCACCCATCTGGAGTGAAGGTGCTGCTGTCGTACTGGCCCTCTGCAGTGAGATAGCCGGGGAAGACGGGCTCACCACGGACACAGATACGACCCACGGTTTCGGAAGGTTGATGGATGTTGTTCCAGTCGAGAATGGCAAGTTCAGGGCCGACGGCGATACCGGAAGTGCCGGGCTTGTCCAGTTTGTAATTTGTTGGCGGGGTTGAGATAGGCATGCATCTGTCTTGGGTCAGTGAAAGTCCAGACAAGCACAAACGAGGTACTCACTCAGTCATTCCATAACTCGGCAGCACAATTGCCCCATCAAAAGTTTCTTTTAGCTTAACAGCCAAGGCAGGTAGCAGTCCACCAGCGGCATTACACACCAATCGGACTCTGCTCTTAGCAAGCGCTTCGGGTCGGTCCTCCGCTTGATCTAGAATCATCTGATGCATTGACGGCGAAGCATAGTACCATGTTGCCCCATGGTCCTGCACAACATCCCAGAAGAGGGTCGGATCAAAGGCCGAACAGCAGATGACGGACCCACCCGAGAATATGGGCGAGAAGATGTTTCTAATCAAGCCGCCAATGTGAAACAAGGGCATCATGTTGAGACAGACATCATCTGGCGTCAACCCCCACGAATCGGTGACAAAGGCTACGCCAGCAACAATGTTCTGGATGGTAATTGGAACAAGCTTCTTGGTACCTGAAGTACCGCTGGTGAACAAGATGATGGCTACGTCGTCTGTCCCGTTTGGCGCTGGCTGGGAGCAGCCTGCTGCTTGGGGCGTGACTAGCTGTCCGGTCAAGTCTCTGATGGAAATTCGTGTAGGCTGGCCACGCTGAGCGAGGTCACTTTCAACCAGCAACACTGTCAGTCCTTCCAGGGCCGTCCATGATGAAGGGCCCGTAAGTCCCAACCGCTCCGCATCCTTTGTGAGGGTCAATATGACTGAAGCACCCGTCTGCCGTACATCAGCACGAAACTGTTCAGCCCCAACGGCCTTATCGCAGTTGACTGGTGAAGCAATGCATGTGTTTGCTACGGCTAGACAAACTGCAGCGAGGAGAGGGCCATTGGGGAGAGCGATACAAACAATGGGCTTGGTCAGTTTACCCCTTTGTTGCACACCAAGAGCCTTGCTAGGGAGAGCGAAGTTGTTGGCAAAGTCCCGGAGGGAGCCATGGGTGAGGACTGTGCTTAGGTCGGGCGTACTGAGAGCCGGCTTGGAGCTGGGTTGGATAAAGGCGGATAGGCTGGTGTAGGAAACTCTGAAAGAATCGAGAACTTGTTGTTGCTGGGAGCAGTCAAGCCCGGACGCCGTCTTTGACCGAAGCTGGCTTGTGGCTTGTGCGTAAGAGAGAAGGGTGTTGTATGGAGACGCCATGATAATGTGTGGTGATTAGTGACTGGTATTCACCTTGGTAGTCGTTGTCTCGTCTGCCAAGATCTGATATTAAGCAGCCCGTCCGTCCTGCGGATACTGTTTGATGGCTCGCCAACCGGATACAGGATGTTCATGGTGAGTTCTTGATGAATACTGTAGAGCAGCGGTGAAGAAGATATCAACAAGTGGACTGATGATCAATGAGACTGTTTGGCGAAAGGAGTGATGTTAGACAACTCTAACAAGTTTTGGAGTAATCTGGACTATGAACACGAGATATCGAGATCGACAGTGCCAGCGGAAAAGTGATGACGGAGTAGATATACCCAAGCTTGCGGGAGAGAACGTTTTCTTTCGCGCCTTTTTCTTTCATTTATTATTTTTTTTTATTTTTTTTTCGATTTTGTATTCTTCTTTCTTTCTTTCATATTCCACCGTGGTCCAGTGACTGTACAAACTCCATAACCCCGGGGACGATTGTCTAATCTTGGCGAATAAGCTTGTCTTCGTTCCAATACGGCGGATGAACCCGACAAGAATGGACCTACTATGGTGAGATGGGTAAGTTTAACCCGTGGATCAGGTCGTCGAACACACAGTGCTCACGAAGCTTTGGCTATGGTGGTCCGTGCAAGATACCTGACAAGGGGGTTTTACTTTTGCTCGCAACCGCAGTAAGAACCGCTCATCACTTATTTTGGTTTTGGCTCTTGGATGACGTTATGCCCGGGTGTTGGTGCTTGGCGAAGGGGATCTGTTTACGCTTGTGGGAGAACTGCGTATCATAGCATGCTCACCATCATCGACTCGGGACTGAGCGATCGAGGTACATCCTCAGGAGGGTTCGTGATGGGATTCGGCTAAAGCCGTTCTTGGCAGTGTTGATCGTCTTCGGCTGTGCGTTTCAAGCTTTTTTGGAGTGTCGTGACTGGCATGGAGAAGAGTACCCAGACCCATCTGAAACCGGAGATGGCAGCGGCGTTGGTCCATAAGAGCCGATATCAAACATTGTAGGAAACCCGAAGAAGGACCGTGTGAGCTTTGAGTGTTTTGCGTTTGTGGGGCTGTCGTGAACAAGACACTTGGGGCAAAGCTCGCTCTCTCTCATGAACATTGTTTGTTTTCCAACCCATCAGCTCGCAGTTCTGCTCAGAGCATGAGTTACCTCATTCCAGCGAGCATCCGATCAATAGAGGAAAAAGGGTGATTTTTTGCCCTTCCCAAAATAGGTTACGAAGAGCCAGCCCCCTTAGTTGATCATGAGAAGATCCAAGATCTTGAAGATGCCCAGAGAGCATTCAAAAGAAGATGTCACCGGCTGAGGTAGAACCCTGTCGAATATTGGCAGGGTCGTCCATAGAAGCTGCACCTGTCAACCGGTAGTTGGACAGTGTCCAAACTGTTGATCTGCAAAAACGGGCTTGGCCGAATCATCGCCAAACCGTTCCTGCATGTGGACGAGCCAAGCCGCGAAGGGATGAATGACGTTTCAAGACCCTAAGATTCCAAATTGGGAGTTTGAGAATAAGGGACTCGCTCACTTGAGCGACACCATGGCGAGGCTGGCGGTCTTGGCCTTTGAAGCATAAGCCATTCAAGCTTGTCAGCCTTTTCGATTTCCCAGCCTTTGCTCATTTGGGCCGAATGGGTGGTTTTTGATGGACTGTAGGCTGCGGCATGCCTTTCCTGGAGACTAATGCCTCCCGCTCAGACTTGGACCAGCTCTCTTATTAGTGTGTTTGAGAGGGAAAACGAGCTAGGGAATACGTATTGGGAGAGTTCAAGTGGAGATCAGCCTGACTGACAAGGGTAGAAATGATCTGAACCGGGCAACGAGACAAGTAAGAACAAACGCTGGCCGCGAGACACCAGTGAGGGAGCATCAGGAGGAGATAAGGCGGGCTAATGAGGATGAAAACGAGAGATCAGGTATCTTTGAGGAATACAGTGAAGCAAAGAGCGTGGTTGAGTTGTCATTGGGAAGGGAAATGGTGCTTCCATACGAGCAAAGGCTGACTCTGGACGCGCCGCATCGTACACTAGAGTGAATCTCGGGGCTTGTCGGCTCTATTGCGTGAGAGGAGGTCCACTTACTCGGGCCGGGCCGGGAAATTCACCACCAATATGTGGCCCCTTCTTCCGGCTGATATCCGCGGATGCCCGAACACACAAGGAAGCCTTGATTCCCAAGGCAAGGTCGGGCCCCTCTGCATAAGAGAGGAAAGTGATGACTAGCCCAACAGCTCCACCGGTGTTGAGAGTTCCGGGACATGAGCTGCTAACTCCTAGTTGGATTTTCCGCTCAAAGTAGTCTGCGGGCGAGCAGTCCAAAGCAATGGTTGCTGCTCTCCAAATTCTGTGGGGGCCGTAGGTGTCGAGACACGTGAAGTTCCCAGGACTGGTGACGCGACACTGACTTTTTCCTCCCCTCTTTGAAATGTTGGTCATGTCAAAAGTTGGTTCCCGAGTTTCCTTTGTGTGGTGGATGAAGAGTTCTGGTAGACGAGCTTCTCAATGAGCCATTGAGGATCTCTCTTGGGGCTTGCCAGTCATCAAGACATGGATGCTTGGATCGAGGCCAATCTTCCTGGCAGCGGAGACATTGGTTGCAAAGTTGACGGTCAAGAAGCCCATGTCGCCTTGTGATCACAGAACATTTTGGGTTGTAGACACACCAGCGTGGACTGGTAAAAGATGTGCCTGATTGTGGACGACGGAGGATGTCGAGAGAAGAATTTCAAGTGGAAGTCTCGAAAAATGTGATTCGAGCCAGAAGCTCCAAGGAAGGTACGGATGAGAAACCGGGCCGACAGCATATTTTGACAGCTGGTGTCAAGACTATAGGCTCACTCTAACGGCCCGTCAGCATCAGCCTTTATCAACGGCTTATCGCGTACCTACCTCCCGTCTACACTGGCAGGTGGAGGTATCCCGCCACATCCCTGGCAGCTGGCTGAGAGCTGTACCTCTAGGCAGCTGTTCCTCGGCACCTCACTGAATGGGGGACCTGATGCAGGTCATTCCTCCCCCGCGGCGCCATCTTTTGCCCATTTTCTGTTTCTTTACTGATTGTAGGTAGCCTCTCGGGCTCTGCAGTTCAATTGATTCCAAAATGCCCGCGACGCCGTCAACATCGCGATCGGGTCGCCACTCGCAAAGTTCAATAGTCAGTGATGTGAGCGCTGTAAATGTGGTGGTGGTGGGGCCACCCGAAATCGCAAACACCAACACCACGGGCATCACGACCAAAACCAAAGTCAAGGCCACCGTTCTGTACGAAGACGACGCCGGCGCCGATGGACTCGAGCCACTGGTCGATCTCACACAAGCCATTCCATTGCACTCGAAAAAGACGGACCGGAAGCAAAAGAGACGCGACAAGAAAGAAGCGAAACGGGCCTCGACGGTGCCGCCCCGAGGCATGCTCGACCTCCCCTACGAGCTCCTCTACTCCATCATCACCCTCGTCGAACCCAGAGAGCTGTTTGTCCTCTGCCGCGTTAACAAGTCGCTTCGGAACTTCATCCTGTCCCAAGAACACCTCCTCACGCGCGACATCATAGCATGGCGCTATCCCGCCCTCTCCAAATGCTTCCGTCTTCCTGTCCTGGCCCAGGATCTCGACGAAAACGCCCGTCGCGCGCTCAACGAAGCCTATGGCGATGCGCTTAGCCCTAGACGAGTCAATGCCAACTATAAACATGTCCAGTCTCCTGACCCGTCCCTTGTCTGCTTCTGCTACACCTGTCGTCTTCGCTGGATTTTCCTTTGCATCATTGTCGACTTCGCCCACTGGCAGCATCATCTGGACAACGGACTACCCATTCCCACTATCCCTCGTGGTGCCGACCCAGACTGGAACAAGAAACTGGTCGCCGAGCACGCCCAGGTGGTTGTCAAGGCCCTTCACAGCCAGCTGTGGTACGTGAGGCTGCTGCAAGCACATCTAAGCTCCATCACCCGCTCCATTCGCCGAAACACTGCCAACCAAGGCAACAGACGATCTCGCTTTCGCATGACGCCCTCGGACGTCGCCAGCGGCACCGACGCCTTTCTCGACCGGAGCGGCCCTCCCACAGTCGACTTTCCCTACAACCGCGACAGCTATGACATGCTCGAGGCATTCATGCCATCACGAAGTTGGATCAAGGATGACGGGAAATGGGTCTACGTTCCTGCTGATCAGCACGAACGAGAACTTCGCCTGCTTGAGCGTCAGAGACAGGAGGCGCCGTCATCGACTGCCGTGTCCCAAACGCCGCCTGCCGCACTTGTGCCGAGATCCATGATCTTTTAATTGTTATCTTTGACGTTAGTCTCCGATAGCATCGGACATAAGGTCGTCCAACGTCCGGTAGTCCCGAAATAAGATGCTGATTGAACACAGTCTTGGCTTTGCGATCCCAAGCCGGCCAGGGTACCCTAGGTAGGTATCGAGATGATCGATGTCTCTCTTGATCTCAGGGACTCAGACCAGCTCGGAGCATCTTAAGGGGCGTCAGATGGACCCACAGATGCGGCACGGGCGACCAAAGTGTCAAAGACCCCCCTGTTCCGCCGCGTTTTCATTATTAATACAGGTTGTTTTTAGCAGGGCTTCTAGCAGACCCTAGAAGAACAGACCCGTTGCATCGCAGGCTCACCCATGCGTCGCGTGGCCGCCAGTGTCTCGGCAATTCAGACAAGTGCCGTTACCGCCCTCATCCTTGCACCCTCGACGACGTCACCTCATCGCGACTTTAGAATCTGGCGGGCAGTTTGAGTTTTTAACGACACGGACAACAGCAATCGATGTTTCTGTACCCCTCAGCGCCACGTGCTGTAATGTTGCGGTTGCATCTGGAAAAAAAGCCATTTCATCAGATACTGTACGTAGGTATCTGCGATTCCTCAGCATCCGCGCTGTCCGGTGCAGAATGGCAGATCTTGACTTGCGATTCAGAGATCCGAGTTTCCGGAGACGAGACCTTATCCTTATCCCGTAGCACCATTGGCCACTGGCTGGCTGTGATAAGAAAGGGTCAAGAGTAAGACAGAGGGGTGAGGACGAAAATCGGAGGTTCGGGTTTCAGGCAGAGCCGCCTATCTCAAGGAAAAAAGATGCCGACCGCGGAATTATCTATCAAGACTGAAACAGCCTATCGCATGGAAAAGTTTCAAAACTTGTCAACACCGACAACAACAACCTCTTTACCGCTGTTTGCCTCGGTACTCTAGCGTTTCTGCTGCTTATCAAGCACGACGAAGCATGGAACAAGCGACACTCTGCCCAGGGTGGATCCCTGGAATCCCCTGCTTTCCGAGAGCTTCCCGCAACTGTGGGCCCCGACAAAAACTTCCAGCCCAAAGTTCGATGAGGCAAAATCATGGATGCTGAGTGAAGATGAATCCATGCCGGTCCCGGCGGTGGATCTGAAGCCGGTTCCACGATCCAAGTCATATAAAGATGTGAAGGGCCCCGAGGACTCTGGGCCATCTTTTGGAACCGCATCTTCATTCCGGTAACAAACAACCTTTATCCATCTCTCTCTCTCTCTCTCAACCACAGCAGTTACAGCAACACCCAACACAATGTCTGGCACCGATTACAAGTTCGAAGGCTGGCTCGGCTTTGACAAGAGCTCTGCCCATGGCAACATGCAGTGGGGCGAGTTCGAGCCCAAGCCCTGGGAGGAGACCGATATTGATATCAAGATCGAGTGCTGCGGCGTCTGCGGTTCCGACATTCACACCTTGAGGAGCGGTTGGGTATGTTTGCTGCTTTCAAATAATTGCTTGTCAAGTTCGTATTGCTAACAATCTTTTCTAGGGCCCTACCAACTACCCTTGCTGCGTCGGTCACGAGGTTGTCGGTACCGTCGTCCGTGCTGGTTCCAAGGTTGAGGGCGGCATCAAGGTCGGCGACCGTGTTGGTGTTGGTGCTCAGAGCGACGCCTGCCGCAACCGTACCGACAAGGAGTGCAAGATCTGCGCCGACGGCAACTACAACTACTGCCGCGTCCACCACGTTGGCACCTACAACGGTGTCTACATGAACGGCGGCAAGTCTTATGGCGGTTACGCTACCTACCAGCGTGTCCCCTCTTTCTTCGCCGTCAAGATTCCCGAGTCGATGCCCTCTTCTCACGCCGCCCCCATGCTTTGCGCCGGTGTCACCACCTACGCTCCCCTCAAGTTCCACGGTGTCGGCCCTGGCAAGCGCGTCGGTGTCATTGGTCTCGGTGGTCTCGGCCACTTTGGTGTGATGTGGGCCAAGGCCCTCGGCGCCGAGGAGGTCGTTGTCATCTCCCGCAGCTCCAGCAAGAAGGCGGATGCCATGGCCATGGGTGCTACCGGCTTCATCGCCACTGGTGAGGACCCCGAGTGGCTCAACAAGAACAGGTCAACTCTCGACATCATTCTCTGCACCGTCTCCTCCGCCGACATGCCTTTCAACGACTACCTCTGCCTCCTCGACCTCGATGGTGTCTTCATCCAGGTCGGCGCCCCTGACGATGATCTCCCCCGCATCAAGCAGATGGCCCTTATCTTCAACCGCATCAAGCTCACCGGTTCCCTCATCGGCTCGCCCGACGATATCCGCGAGATGTTCCAGCTCGCGGTTGACAAGAAGGTCCAGCCCTGGATCAGCGAGATCCCCATGAAGGAGGCCAACAAGGCCATTGTCGACTTTGAGGACGGCAAGCCCAGGTACCGTTTCGTCCTCAAGAACGAGGACTACACTCCTGTTCCTGCTCAGGCTTAGATTTAGATTTTCTTTGGTCTCGAACGGTCTATACCCATGTGTAATGAAAAAGCGGTTTTTTGGCTCTACTACCTAATTCTTTCTTGCTCGCTTGCGAAATTGGCATGTGATTTGTGATCCTTGTAGTTGTACGTGGGAAGCGGTTGCTGTCAGCGTCATCCCGTCCCCCCTGGGCCGGTACCTTGTTGTGTTACCCAATGCACGGCGGCATGCAACAATACGGTAACACCCGCGACCGTTACACAACGGACTGGACCTGCATGGCAGCGGTCGGCATCCATTTTCTCAAGTCGAATCCACGTTGCCTACAGCCCCTAGGGTCCGAACGAATTGATCTGTGATTACTTCCATTCATCCATCTGATTCAAGTTGCCAATTGGATTCAGTTGGCAGGCATCGCGCGGCGGATTTTGAAACCGAATCAGATGGAGGTACACAACGAACAACCCTGAATTCATGATTTTCCAAAGTACCTACCATCGTCATGCACTGATTTCAGTTTTTCCTCTGCAAGTGACCGACGTCTGTTATAAAATTTCCAGATCCATAGTATCGATGGCTAAACCGGGGACGGACGGAGACCTAGGAAAAGTACATTTTGGGCAGAAGAAACCAAAGATTGGAATGGACGGATGAAGGCGCGGCCGGAACTGTTATGAATGCCCCCCGCTGGATGGATGGATGGATGGATGGATGGATGGATGGATGTATACACTCGCTACGCTACTACAGTTCACCCCTGATTTACATGTTCGTTAGCGCGGGAGCTCACTACACTACTAGTATAGGTACGGATTTTGCTGCGCAACTCAACCACCATTCCACAATTTCCGTGGAAGAACTTGAATCTGGCTTGTTCCATCATTTTGTTTGTTTATATGTCTTTTTCACAGACCCTACAGTAATTCTATAATAGGAACCGTATCAAGGGCCTCCCCCACTACCACCACCCACCAACAACGGCCGCGCCGGCCGATGACCCGCACCGCACCCCGCCTAGGAGGAGGCACAGGTCGCTGATCACTTTTTTTTTTTTTCTTTTTTTTTTTTTTCCTTTTGTGGACTTTTCTTTCAAAGTTACCTAGGTTCCCTTCACTTCCCACAGTTCAGTCCCGCTGCCGGATCTAAGTTTGTCCAACGGTCGTACACTACATGGACGCAAAGATAATCCGCCCCTGTCCGGTCTGCGGAAGCATCCCCGGCCCCCCCTGACGGATTGGATCCCCCTGACGGATCAGCCGAGGTTCCCTGTCACTCCACCATCCCATAAGGAGGAACTTCCACTACCCACTATAGTCTGGGTACCCACTACATGGATATATACCTACGATTAGTATACTTCCTGCTCCTGATCCTTCCGACAGTCATTCATTCACTCGTTCGTTTGGACCCCTTGAATCGAGTTGATTCTTCCCTTCTTTCAGTTTTCTCCCAACTTAGTCCGGGGCTCGTTTTGGATTCGACTACCTACCATCACCCCCTTACAACTCCCCCCCCCCCCCTTCCCTCCTCCAACTATCGCAACTAATACACACCTACCATAGGTATCTTGTCCACGGGCACCTCCCTTCTGCTCCTCGCCACCAACCACTGCACTCTCTCCCGCCGGCCCCTAGTTTTGTTTCATCCCCGTCTCTTATTGACATTCACATTCACATTGACAATGACCATCCAACTTGGTGATCCACGCGTCACACCTACCTAGGTACTTTCCAATCTCTCAAACTCGGTCCCGCAATAACGGCATTTCCACCTTTATGTAAAATCAACCACACAGAATCTGGTTGATGCCAATGGTAGGTACACTAGTTTCCAATACGGATCAACCCGTTCCGTCTTGAGAGAAGATAAGATAAGATAAGATAAGAGAAGACAAGACAAGCACTGGGCGGTGTGTTGATGAACTTCCTGAACCTCCTGGAGGCCGCGGCGGGCGGTGAGGTGAGGTGAGGTGAGGTGAGTGGACAGGCAGGGTAGAGGTATACTGAGTAGGTAGTAGAAGGGAGAGAGCGAGTGAGGTTGAGAGATGGCCATTGATGTTGGAGTGGGAGCAGGAGAGGTAAGTAGGAGGGGTTCAGTTGGGAAATGGTGGATAGGGAAGCAAAGGCAAGTAAGTATAAAAAAAATTCTAAGTATATCCGCCAAAAAAAAAAAAAAAAAAAGAAAAAAAAAAGAAACGGTTATCAATGGGTTTCAAACGTTGCGGTGTGGTATAGTATCTACTCGTCTGGGCTAGAAGCGCCTCAAACCCAAACGAGTAGGGAGCCCTCTACTGTTCGAATAGGATGACAAAGTTGCGGTTCATCATTAACAACCTAGCCGACCAACATCGTTCACTTCTCAGATTTGATCTTGAAGAGGATGCACTAGGAGAAATCCTTTTTGGCTCTAGCCATTTTGTGCTTGAGACTGGATGTCGAGGGGATGGGGTACTGGTAGTGGGCGAGTATGAATAGGAAGGGCGCTGAGGCAATAAGTATTCCTCTGAAACCCACACCGATCAGGTAATGGTTCTCTGTTTATTCATGACGGTTGATGGTGTGAAAAGAATCAATGCTTGCCTGTTTTATTACTAATAATTGCGGAGGGAAGGTGCTTCTCCGATAAGTGCCGTGGTTGCCGTTGCGGTGAAGGATGATGGAACACCTACAATCTCCAAGCCACTAGACAAGTCGGAGACCTTTAAAGACATCTGTTCACAGCAAAGAAGAAAAGAAATGGCCAACGATCAAGTCCATTACAACACTGCAGATATTCCAGGTCACGACAAGGAAGCCAAGCACCAGCCACAGGCCCGAGATGCATATGGTAGCGCACAGACAAGCATTTGGACGAATCCAAATTCGAATGATAACCGGCCCCTCTATGAATAGCCTCATCCGCCCTCCCGTCGGCTCCCCTCCCCCACCGGCGGTCGCCTCAATGTAGCAAGTCGCAGTTACATCCGCCGGCGCATCACGAGTTAATGCATCATCTAAACCTTACCGAGCACTCCAGTGGTAAGCTGACCTTGTCGTGATTGGCACGCTACGCTCGCCGGTCCGGGAACACTTCCGAACATGTAGGTACCAAGGCTTGGCGAGCTGGAAGAACATGGAGAGAATGGAGAGAGTTGCATAATCCAATGGGGCTGGATTCTTTAGACTCTAGATTCTGGAAGGAGTCTCTGGTTGGAGTTGAACTGAACACTTAACGGGAAAGATTGAGATCTGGGTTGAGGAGGAGGGAAGGACGAATTGATACCATAAACCCAGAGCATGTCCCTATTTCCCGGGAGGAAGATTGGAACTGAGACGGCACGCCCCTTGATTCTCCCGTCCTTCTTCTTCCTTTTCGGCCGGCCATCATAATGTGGCAAACTTCCCTTGGAGCAGCTGCCACCGTGCTTGCCCTCCTCACTTTTCAAGTGGTTGGGCGAGAAGACGTTCAGATAGAACCCCAGACAGCCCAGATTGTGTCGACCAAGGGAGTCATCCTCGACACCATTCTGGATTGGAATGACGCCGCGAGACTCGACCACACCACGTACCATGGCCAGAAGTACGGATGTAAATGCTATCCTGGCCGTCCATGCTGGCCCTCTGCCAATAAGTGGAACAGCCTGAACAGGACAGTCGATGGCACTCTTCATGTCAATGTCCCTGCCGGCGCTGTCTGCCACAACACCTTTAACGGACCCTTTGGCACCATCCAGACCTACGATGAGGCGGCATGCGCTGATGCCAAGGAGAACTTTGTCAACGAGCAGTGGACGTATGTTACCGATCCATATCATAACCCCCCCCCAACTCTTGAGCTGAACTGACAAAACTCCAGGGTCGAAAAACCGGCCGATGGCCTTTGGACCTACTTCACCAACGACACCTGCCGTCCCACCTCGAACCCTTCCGACCCTTGCACCCTTGGAAGCTACGGCGTCTACGTGATCATGGCAACCAAAGCCTCTCACATCCAAGCCGGAGTCAACTTTGCGCGCCAAAACAACCTCCGCTTGATCGTCCGCAACACGGGGCACGACTTCCTCGGCCGCTCCGTCGGCTACGGCTCCCTGATCATCAACACGCACAGCTTCCAATCCCTCAAATGGACCGACAAGTACACCGGTCCCGGCTCCTACCGCGGTCCGGCCGTGACCATGGGCGCCGGTGTGCAAGGTGGCGACATTCTCAAGTCAGGCCACGCTTTGAACCCGCCCATGGCCCTCGTAACAGGAGAATGCGCCACCGTTGGTCTTTCCGGCGGGTTCATCCAAGGCGGCGGCCACGGCCCCTGGACGACTCTCAAGGGACTGGCCGTCGACAATGTGCTCAACTTGAAAGTCATCACCGCCTCGGGTCTGATCGTCAACGCTAACGAACGGCAAAACCCCGACCTCTTCTTCGCGTTGAGGGGCGGCGGCCCGGCATCGTATGGTGTCATCCTCTCCACCACCGTCAAGACTTTCCCTGACTTGCCAGCCGCGGGCGCCACGTTGTACCTTAATGCCACGCACACGTCCGATAGCGAGGTCATCTGGGCAGGAACCAAGATCTTTCACAAGTACGCCAACCACTTTGTTGATAACGGGTTGTATGTCTACTTTGAGATCTTCCCTAACCAGTTCCGCGTCCGCCCATTCGTGGCTATTGGTAAGAACCAGATTGAGCTCCAGGACATTGTTAGGCCCATGCTTGATGAGTTCGCTGCTGCCCGTATCCCGTACGAGGCTGCATTCACGGAGTTCCCCACATTTTATGATCTCTATATCGACCTGTTTGAGGCTGAAAAAGCTGGCCAGACGGCGTTGACGGGCGGGTGGATGTTCAACCACGATGATGTTGCCAAGCGCAATGACGAGATCATCACCGCTATGAAGAACGTGGTCAGCCCGGCTGGCAGACCGGATTTGTTTGGCGGCATGGTTGGTCATCTGTTCAACCCAGGCCATAACGTTCCCGTTTCGACGTCGGCGGCTCATGCGGCGTGGAGGAACGCGACGGACTTTGTGATTGCTGTTTTGCCGAGCCCGGAGCATCCCAGCTTGGCGGTCAAGAAGGATTTGCAAAATGTTTTGACGAATAATATGGATGAAGGGTTCAGAAATGCGTCGAGAAGTGGGGCTACTTATGTTAATGAAGTAAGTTGTACTTTTTTGCTTGGTATGTGAGATGAGGATATTACTGACCAGTGAAATATGTACAGGCCGACCCCTTTCAGCCGAACTGGCAGAGCCACTTCTGGGGTTCTAACTACCCTAGGCTCAAGCAGCTTCGCAAGAAGTGGGATCCTTTGGGTGTCTTTTATGCTGTATCTACTCCCGGCACGGAAGACTGGGAGGAGATTGAGTTCAACACCAGGCTTTGTAAGAAGCTTTGAATCGTGTTGATGTGCGTTTCATTACGAACTGATGTTATCTATGTCGTAGTGTTAGTTGATGCCTCTATGCATATACGATAATTGAAACTTTGGAACAAAGATGGCAAAGTGGCCGTGATACAAACAACTCACCCAAGCTTCCTAAGATTGATTTCCCTTCATGTGACCCAGGCTCTTTAACCGGCCAAGTATTATTCAATTCTCAACCATCACTTGACCCAACCACGAATTTGGATGTACTATATACAACCTGAACATCCCATTCCATCAACCACCACTTTCACGGCCTTTTCTCGCTCTCCCTCCTCACCTGTTCACCCCCCTTCCCCTTATTAATCCCATATTTCTCAATCCACTCCTCCACCAACCCCCTATAATCCTCACTTCCATACGGACTAACCAGTTCTTTCCAGACACTCTTCTTCCTCCTGACTTTTAATCCCAAATCAGCCACCAACCAATCCCAATAAGGCAACTGATCAAAGTTCAAGTCCGGGTACTGCCTCCCGTGTCCCAAGGGAGATCGAAGCTGACACCATCGCTGAAACAGGGCGGTGTCCTTGTAGAGAACTTGTTGAGAGACTACTGTGTCTTTGATTTTGTCGTGAAAGTAGGCGAGGGACCATAAGCATTGGAGTTCGATGCGGGGGATGTTGGTGATGTTGCTGTGCATGGAGAGGAAGACGAGGGAGTTGCGGGTGTGGGATGTTGTGAGGGTTGGAGGGGCGATGCCGCGGTGGAGACGCCAGGGGGTGTATTGCTTGGACTCTTGGGTCTTGGGGGAACAGAGAACAGAGGTGGGTGTGAGTGTGGGTATGGATGGTGGTGGTGGAATGAGTTGGGGAAATCGCTTGGTTATGACTTCATCTGCTTCTTGGTCGTAGGTTGCCCAGATGGCTTTTTGTTGGTTGGAGAGGGAGTCAGTCGTGGTGGGGATGCCGAGGTGGAAGTGTAGTTCCGGAGGAAAGAAGTCGACGGGTGGTTGGGGTGAGTATCCGGTTGCGCAGATGAGGGCGTCGATGCCGGTCAGGGTTTCTTTACCAGCGTCATCGGCGAAGAAGTGGATGGTGTGTGGACTGAGATGAGAAACGTCTTGACGGTGGACAGTCACTTGTCCACTGGTGACTAAGGCCTTGAAGTCCTGCTCGTAGTTGAGCGTCCCCGAGCTGGTCCCGTACCAAAAGGGGCTGTGATTCGGTTCTAGCAGACTAAAGTTCTTGTCTTTTTCTGCTTTTCCTTCGCGGTAACAACAATCTCGGATGGTATCGGCGTGCAGGATCTTCCAGAAGCGTTTCGTCATGGCTTTTCCGACCTTGTTGGTATGCAAAAAGTCGCGGATCCAACTGATGTGTTTGCCGGAGTGGTCGGGAAGGACACAAGGAGACATGAAAGTGAAAATCCGTCGAGTGACGAGCTTCTCGCGCCAGGCTTTGAAGGGGCCGATCTTGGTGTGGGAGGGAAAGACCCATGAGGGACCACGGCCGGATTTGCGGATGATCCAGTCGACTTTGTGGCCGGTCGTGGCGGCGAGGTAGACGGTGTCGTAGGCGGATTTGGAACCGCCGAGGACTGCGATGCGGTTGATGTGGGGGTTTTGAAGGACGTCTTGGTAGCGAGGGCCGAGGGCGGAGGAGTGCAAAAGGGGTGCGTCGAGGGTTTCGCTGCCTTTGAGGGAGGGCATGTTGGGGACGCCGAGGATGCCGGTGGCCATGACCAGTTTTTTGGCTTTTAGTGTTGTTGTGGTGGTTGGGTTGCCCAGTTCATGTACGTCTACCTTCCAGCCGTCGTCACTTGAAGGGGCTGCTTCTTGAACTTGATGAACTCGGACAGCTCGAGTGTTGAAGCGGATTCGTTTCATCAGATCAAAGTGGTGGGCGTATGCGGTCAGGTAGGCATGCATTTCCTCGCCGGTGATGTGATGGCCTGGACGGCCGATGCCAACGTCCTTCATGGGGAAATCACTAAAGTCCATGGTAGGGTACAGATTGTTGGTTCGGAGGGTGGGATAGAGTCTCTCCTTGGACCAGACTCCTCCTACGGTCGAGTGGCTGTCGAGGATGACGATGTTGGTAGTTGGATTGTGTTGAAGAAAGGTTTTGGCAGCGCAAAGGCCGCTAGGACCGGCGCCGATGATGAGGATGTCGAACATGATCTTGACTGATCTGTTGTTGTTGATGAGAACAGAAGAACAGAGTAGATCCCGACAAGAGTGGCTACTGGCAGACTAAGTATTTAGTCGGCCCCCATGGGATGTGATATGTGATATCTCCATGGCGCATCACTATCGAAGTCGAAGTACCGATTTGGGTAAACAATAGACCCCTTCACACCTGCACCACCCAATGTGTTTGCTCATACGGGCTGATACCGCTAATGTCGGTGGCCCGAGATATCCCGGGAAAAGCAAACGACTGGATGACTCCTTTTGACCGCAGCCGTGTCAGTGAAGGGTGTGTGAACAAGGGGCTCAGCTCCCCATTTTTGCGTTGTCCCATTGGGTCAGTTGCTTTTCTGCACCAGGCTCGCCAGGCGGTTACTCGGTCTGGTAGCGGTTGGATATCGTAGCCAGTTCCAGCATGTTGGGACCGCAAGGAGCTAGCACATTGTAAGCTGGTAACCAGTCATCTCAACTCAGCTCCCAAGCGCCGTGATGATATCCAACCAAGTTGTTGGGCCGTCGATGATACGATACCTATTATAGTTGGTAAAATCTTTGTATCCATCCTCAGAGAAGCATGTTGTTTTCTTACTGATTTCTCTATAGACCGTTATCCTGTTGTTTGTAGGGAAAACACTGACAGTCGGTGGACGTAGTCGATGACACTGTCCCCTCCATTCCATCTGTCACGGCAATTTCTCGATCAATTTTGTAGAGTACCTATCGTTGTCATCGTAGGTAACAGCACGGTGGAGTCTTTCGGAGGCTCGGGTCCGTTCTCATCAGCCAAACGGAGAACTTTTGAGGATGAGATAGCGAAGCTAACGCCGGTGAGTGCGCCAATCGGTTGAAATTGCGAGAAGGCCATGTTGACGGGTCGGTGCACGTGGGAGGGTTGTATCGAGCACAGTGACGGACAGGTCAATGGAATCAGAAGATACGGAAGTCGAGATGAAGTGGAAGTTCTGCGTTGCAAAAAGGAGGGAATGTTGATGGATAAGAGGACGTTACACGGGGGACCATAACACGGCGCCTGCCCGGGCCGAGGTGTTGCGGACGGCGTTGGGTCGACTCACCACGGGCGGTTCCGTTGTGGGGGAGGATGGAGTCACACCGGCGGCCCGGGTTTTGTTACCCCAGCGATTAATGCACTAACAAACTAGTGCCACCATCAGCGGGAACATGTGTTAGTGACAAACACCTTTGTATAACACTCTTATCACCTGCCGATGTCGGTTTGGCGTCGATTCCATGTCGCGATAACATTCCCTTGCCTTTATTTGATGTTCCCTTACATCGCATCGATGAACAGCCCCTCACTGTGTCTGTCTGACCTCCAACCTCCCCTCCTGGCGATAATCCTTCCGGGCCGGCTTATGTCACTATCTCTCACTTGTGCTATGTACTGACGTGATCGGATCCCCGACCCGCCAGCATTGATCCCCTCTCGGCTTCGGCGTTATCACTGATTCATTCTTCCTTGTCTTTGCCGAATCCGATAAAACCTTGCACACCCCCCTCATCACTTAGCTTCTCAATCTGATCCTAAAAGCAAACATCTCACGTCTTCGGGACCGAAAGCATCCTTGAAACCAAGCCATTAGCCGCTGTCTCGGTGAACTGACATCTCAATGGCTGCCGACGAGACGACGCCACTGCTTCCAAATGGGACAGCCGGGAACGATAGTGTGAATGGCAACTCCAACAGTTGTCAATCATCATCATCATCATCAAACAACACCGACACCGAAAACACCACCAGCGATAACCATCACCATGTCAACAAAGAAAAACAACCGTCACTCAACCCCCTCACCCTCCTCACCCGCCTCCACGTCGAAACCCGCATCCTCCTCGCCGCCTTCCTGATCACCACCTCCTTCTCCTTCACCCAAGTCCCCATCTTCTACGTCTTCTACCTCATGGAATGCGACGACTTCTACACCCGTCACCCTCCGTACGCTGGGTCCGGTGACCGATGCAGCCGCAACGAGATCGCCGCCGGCACCGCCACCGACTTCTCCTTTCTGGCCATGAGCACCACCATCTGCGGCACCGTCAACCTCTTCTTTGCCGGCTGGCTCGTCAAGAAAATCGGCCCGCGACTGGCGCTGATGGCCCAGGTTTTGGTCCCTGCCATCCGCGTGCTGACCCAGATCCTGGGTGTTTTGGCTGGCGGCAGGTCCGGCATCGTGATTTTTCAGGCGACGCAGTTGATCACCGTCTTGGGCGGGCCCGTGGGGTATATCCTCATCATCAACATCATCGTCGGCGAGGTGGTCTCTCCCGCAAGAAGGACGCCCGTCTTTGGCATGCTGCAGGGGTGCTTCATGCTGGGCCAGGCGGTCGGCTACCTGACAGGCGGCATGATTGGGGATGCGTGGGGGATTCGGAGGCCGTTCGAGGTGGCCTTTGTTGCGTTTTTGATCTCGACGGCATATGTGCAGTTGGCGCTACCGTACGTCAGTCCGGAGAGCATGGCGGGCGGGAAGAAGCCCGGGTCCAAGGCGAAGGGGGTGGCTGCCGGGTTTTTTGCGCCGCTGAAGGTATTGGCGCCGCAGAGAGTGAGGTTGAGGAGCGGGAAAGAGATCAAGCATTTTGGCGTGCTGATCCTGTGTACGGGTGTGTTTTTGGGTGTGCTGGCCACCGACTTCGCTGCCATGTTGATCCAGATGTACGCCACGGCCGTTTTTGGCTTCCACCAAAGCGACAACGGCTGGCTCATGTCCGAGTTTGCCCTCATGCGCGCCGTCTTCTTGATCCTCCTCTTTCCGCGCATCATCTCCTCCGGTCGGAAATGGTACGCCAAGCGGCAATCCCAGCGCCAGCCGCGCCGTGACTCCATTTCCGATGAAAGGGATCCCGCTACCCAAGGCCTGCTCATCCGCCCCGAGCAACTGGAGGCTCCCATGGGCACGTACGCCGAAGAAGAGCCCATGGTGACACAGCCACCGACGGAAACGGAGGACACGCACTTTGATCTCTTCTTCCTTCGTTGGAGCTTGGTGGCCGATGGTTTGCTGACCTCTTGCGCTGCGCTGGCGACCAAGAAGTGGCACATCTACCTGGCTGCGGCCATGCTTCCGTTTGCGAGTGGCACTGCCCCGGCTGCAAAGGGTGTCATGACGGAGATGTGCTCGCCTTCACAAAGGGCTGATGCGCTGAATGCCTTGACGCTGGTTGAGAACATTGGCAGGTTGGCGACGCAGGGTTTCTTTGGATTTGTGTTTGCTGCCTTGGCAGAGGCCGGGAAGCCTCATTTGACATTTTATTGCAATGCGGTGAGTTTATTGCGTGGTGTTTCTTGCGAATTACGACCCAAAACTGACTTGAATTACAGATACTTGCCATGATCGCGGCGAGTGTCCTGATCTTCTCCCGCTTCCCGCCAAGTGGGAGTGAGTTGATTGAAGCCGACGATGCAGAGGAGCACGTCGACGGAAGCACGTAGGGCGAATGAGCAGATCGCCCCGGGACATATTGTATGTCAGGATTCACGGAAAAAGTTTTGCGTTTTAGGATACCAGGCGTTTTCGGTTTGGGATATACAATCATCATCATTTCCTGCTTCTTTGATTTTATTCTCGACACGGTCCTGAACCGTTCCATTCACGCACCTAGAATTACTGCGTAGAACGAGCTCATCCTATCTTCTCACTGTCATAATGGTTCTCACCCTATGTCCACCCTCCAATTTAAGATACCACCACTATCATAACCACCTCCCCAACCCGCCACCCCCATGAGCTGAACATCCTTCATCTCCCTCGCCCTCCCTGCCCCATAGGACGGAACCTCTTGTTTTATCGGCAATAGAGTCCAGGCTCAACGGGTCGCGCTCATATGCTGATAACGAACTTCTATATACCCATCGGCATGGTGTGTAGCCATGAGATATAAACCTCACGGTTACCTACCGATGCAACCTGTATCTCAACATCATGTCCTTGCCCTGGCCAGTCATTGTTGCTGCGGCACATGCAGCAATACTCAACGCCCAAATGTTTTGCATCGGTTACACGAAGCTGCTCCACCGGTTACAGTATACATTGCACAATTCTCTCCTGGTGGAATCGTATGCAGTGTAACCGTCGCTTTCGGTCAGTAGTACCTTCCAAGGGAAGGTTTACAGGCGATCCCCCTCAGCATCACACCCGGGCTCCATCTCAATGGCCAACGGTTTTCATGGTTTACGAGGGGACGTAGTAGTAGTATGTACTACTACCCAAAGTGCCGAAAAAGGTTTCAGTCTCCGGAGTCCGCTCCGTTCTTGCCTTTTTGCGCTAGGTAAAGTTAACAGTACAGTAATGTGCCCTGTTAATGCAAGGCCCCCCTTTGCAACCACATACAAACTGACCCACTAGTCTAGATGCAAACGATTTCTTGGGCCCGGATTTCCAGTTTTGTATGTGAGTGAGGTACCCCTTAATGCAAAAGCCCCCTTAATGCAAAAGCTTTGAGCCGTTCCCCATAGTGCCGCAATTAGTTCCATTAACAGGGCACATTACTGTATGAACTTTATGGTCCGGTCCGACCCGAGAATACTGTGTAGTCCAGTGGGGTTATCAAAGATGAAACGGCGACCAGCTCGTGCCGGCGGCTGTGGGAGATACTTAACTGTTCTCAGACCTCTTGCGATGAGGCTAATAACTGGTTTCATGTTCAGGCTTTTGCCATTTCCCTCCTTGACTCACGATGGTTCTCAAGTCCTTCGCTTCGCCTGAATGGCGGTTAGACAAACCCATCCATACTGAGCGTCCTGTGAGGGTTATCTGTATCGGTGCTGGAGCTTCAGGCCTGCAGCTGGCATACAAACTCCAAAAGCATATCAGCGGCTTCAGCTTGACAGTGTATGAGAAGAACCCCGAGGTATCAGGAACGTGGTACGAGAACAAATATCCTGGGTATGTCAACCGCCAGCCTCGCTCCATTGCCCTGCCACACAGACAAGCTGACAATTCTTGACAGCTGTGCTTGTGATGTCGCCTCGCACAACTACACGTGGTCCTTTGAGCCCAAGACGGACTGGTCAGGCTTGTACGGCACTAGCCAAGAGATATACACCTACTTCAACAATTTCGCCGACAAGTATGGCCTTCGCCAGTACATCAAGCCACAACACCAGGTGGTAGGCGCCAAGTGGACTGGATCCGGCTGGAACGTTTCCATCAAGGACCTCACAACGGGCCAGACCGTGAATGATACGTGCGACATTCTCGTCAATGCTGGCGGAATCCTCAACAACTGGAAGTGGCCAGACATTCCAGGACTGAACAAGTACAAGGGCACCCTTCTCCACACGGCCCGCTGGGACGAGTCGGTAGACCTAAAGGGAAAGACTGTCGGACTGATCGGTAACGGATCATCGGGTATCCAACTCCTTCCAGCCATTCAGCCGCTAGCGGAGAAGGTCACTGTGTTTATGCGCGGGCCAGCCTGGGTCTCGCCGTGGCCTGGGCTCGAAGGCCGTCCGTACACAGACGAGGAAAAGCGACGGTTTGCCGAGGAGCCTGGCCACTTGCTTGCCTATCGCAGGAGCGTCGAGCGTGGAAACAACAGTATCCTTCCTGTCTTCTTCAAGGGCACGGATGCCAACAACAAGGCCCGCGACGTCATGCTCAAGATGATGAAAGAGAAGCTAGCAGGGCATATGGAACTGGAGGAAGGACTGATACCAACAACCTTTGCCCTCGGCTGCCGTCGATTTACTCCAGGCACTGGATACCTGGAAGCCCTTGTCCAGTCAAACGTTCAAGTCGTGTTCTCCGGAGTGACCGAGCTCACCGAACAAGGGTGTAAGTGTGCGGATGGCAGCGAGCACTCGGTCCCTGACGTGCTTATTTGCGCTACTGGGTTTGATGCCTCGTACCGACCCCGGTTTCCCATTGTGGCCGGCACCAAGAACCTGCAAGACGTCTGGGCACAGGACCCCGAATCCTATCTGGGCCTCGCTGCTGCCGGCTTCCCCAACTACCTCACGATCCTGGGGCCCAACAGCCCGATTGGGACGGGCCCGCTCCTGATTGGCGTCGAGGCGCAGGCCGACTACATCGTCAAGATGATTGACCACTGGCAGACCCACAACATCCGGTCCTTTGCGCCCGATGCGGCGGCCGTCCGGGATTTTGTCGCGTACAAGGACCAGTTCATGAGCAAGACGGTGTGGGCGGATCCATGTAGGTCTTGGTACAAGTCTGGGTCGTCCAGAGATAAAATCACGGCCTTGTGGCCCGGGTCAACGCTGCATTACCTCGAGGCCATCAGGCAGGTTCGGTTCGAGGACTGGAAGTTTGAGTATGAGGGCGGCAATCGCTTTACGTATTTGGGAAATGGAGAGAGCCAGACAGAGACGAACCCAGATGCGGATTTGGCGTATTACGTTCGCGAGGAGGACGACGACCTGCCGCTGGCGAGGAATAAGATGACGGGGATTATCAACAAGACTGGGACTGTCGTCGGGGCTGAGGGGACCGGTGAGGGCAGGTTTTTTTCCGGGCTCTGATGGTTCCGTAGTCATTTCAACTTGAACTTTTGATAATAATGGTGCCTCTCTGAATGAATGATGAGGTAACTTGTCGATTGTTCCTAGGTTGATGATGTGGCGGAAAGAGGAGGAAATATTTCACTCTCCACTTCCACCCGTCCCCGTCTTCACACAACAACGACACATCACGCAATCCATTCCATTTTCATAAGTGTTATTGAGCCCGCCCTGTTATCTCGATTATCTCGATGTCTCGAGTCTACAGCATGTCATCCTGCGATTCAAAAAAGGTAGCGAGTCGTAGGAGGGTATCCCACCCAGCCCGTCATCCGTCCGATGCTATTGATTAGCAGTTAGTGCACTAACACATAGATACTCAAACTACTGACCTACAAGTTAGGCACTCACCTCATTGTCATATCCAACATCCCATCATATCGACAATAAATCGACTGGCGTGACGGCGCATGCAAATGAATCCTCCCCTGACACTGGAACTTTCTATATACGTCAGAAAAGTAATACCAACACCATTGTCTCCATCATCCAGATCCTTTCTTCCCCGCAGTCTCAACAAGCCTACACCCGGCACCTCCCAATATATATCCCGCACCCGTTTCCCTGCTCCTCAAGCAAAATAACCTACTTCCACGACGAATCCACAGTTACCGACTCAGAACAGCTCTGAGGAACAGTATACGACCTATTGGGATCGCTCTCCCAAGTCACGGCGCCACCGCCGCTGCTAGTAGACACCTTGACGAACTTGTACTCAAACTTGGTGCCCGCCGGGATTTTGACCGTGGCAGTCCAGAGCGGGTTGCTGGTGGTGTACTGCGAGGCAGACAAGGCAACGCCGGACGAGGCGCTCCAGCTGCCGAGCTGCGAGATGGAGCCAACGAGCTTGATGGACTCGCCGTAGCTGGTGCTGGCAAGGTGGTTGAAGGTCACAGCGACGGTGGCGGCGGGGGTGCAAGAGGCGGTGGCAGTCTTGCTGCTGGTGACAAGAGTCGTGGCGGTGGCAGAGACTTTGGTGGTGGAGGGCTTGGTCTCGCTGTCGCCGACAATGGCAATGTCGGCGCACGAGAGGTACACCTGAGCAGTTTGGAAGGAGTTCCACCGGAAGGAAAGCAAGGTGTGGCCGGAAATGTAGTTGGGGATCTTGATCTTCTTGGTGACGGTGTAGCCGCCAGCGATGGTGGTGAAGCAAGATCCGAGAGCAGCGTTGTCGACGCCCTGGCAGCCACGGCGGTTGTCGGCTTGGAAGGCGTTGCAGGCTAAGTAAGTCACACAACGCGATTAGCAGGATGCTTTTCTTTTAACTGATGCAGGCTACCTAGGTAACTTACTGAACCAGTCGTTCCTCCAGCATGCCTGACCTTGCTGGCAGTCAGGGCTAAAGTCGCAAGCTTGACCATTCACATCTGTGCAGGGAAGGGTGCCCTTCTCGAAGCAATCCTCAGCAGCCTGCTTCTCCGCCTCGGTCGGGAGATAGCCAGGAGTGAGGAACTTGTTGACCAGCTCTTGGTCTTGGCAGATACGGTAGGAGAACATGCCACCGTGGTCACCGTTGTGGTCAACGCACCACTGGACGTCGACAGTGTCGCCGGCAGTGTACGTCACGACAGGAGAGTTACCCCAGTTGCTCGCTGGCTGGTTGTAGTCGATGCTGACGCGGGCATTGTAGCCGCAAGGACCACTCCTGCCGACCTTGGCTTCCGTAACGTTGGGCCATGCGGTCACGGGCTCCAATATGGAGCACTCGGGACAAGTGTCTAAGCCGGCCTAGAAAACACAAATCAGCACGATCAATCTTCCAACGATCTTCAGGGTATTTGTTTACCTCTGCGCCAAGTCTTGTACGACTGAATGGAATGGTCAGATATCCATGGGCGTTGACCGTTATGGCCGATGCAAGGGCAACCGAGATGATGGAGAACTTCATGTTGGCGAGTGGAAGGGGAAGGCCGAAAGCTGAGCAGGATGGCCGAGGAAGTGTGCTGGAGTGTCCAAATTGAGATGCATTCTCAGCGGTTGGGCCAATCCTTTAAGTATTTCTTAACAGGACGACGACATCACCACCCCCAAAGACCCTTTCACACGATTCGTACGTTGCCGGCAGGGTTTTCCTCGGCGATCTCGCAAATACGACCGAAGTACTGCCATCACATATGACGTTGGGCGTGTTCCGATATTTCCCTCAGCCGGCAGGACGGTTCACCATTCCGCGGCCATCGACACATGTGAATTCGGTGTCAAGCATCGCCATGAAACCCTTGGCGGACTTGCTCAGATGACTTGCATGAAAGCCAGATGTGTGCAGTCAGGAAATCCGGGGCCCCAGGCTCTCCCACCTCCAGGGTGCCAGCCGTTGGAAATTGCGGGGATGCAGCCATGCAAACCGTTGAGTCTTGGTCGTTTCGGTTAGTCGTACCGGTGCTTGTCTTCCTCTTCTGGGCCTTCCTTCAGGGTAGCAACCGGCTTCATAGCGTTGCAAACGGCCCGAATCCTTGCCTCCGATACCCCAGACTTGTCGTCTCCGATACCCCAGAGTCCCACGTTTTCAGACTTTGTTGCTACCCATATCACACCGAGCCAGGTGTAAGCAGCCTTGAAATATGAAGCAGTCGGGCTCGAGGTGAAATGGAAAGTTGGTCGTAAAAAAACCTGGATGTCCGGTTAGAGAGATGACATGGTTTCAGCTCAAGCGAGAACGAACTGCCCAGCATCTATTTTGAGGAACCATTCTTGTCCTCGAAGGTTTGAAGTTCTCTCTCCTTCGACCTGAACATATTCCTCGGCACCTTCGTCATAAAGTTTCGCTCGGTGTCATTCCGGATTTGCCACTTATGATCCATCTACATTAGCTTCATTCCAGCGAGAGAGTCCTCCAGTGAAGCAACATACTTCATCTGATTTTTCTTTTTTTCCACACATTGTCCCATCTGTTAAGCATCAGTGTCAAGTCCGCTGCACCAGAATCAGGACATACCTCGGTGTTTCTGGCGCTTAAGCCCCTCCTTGGCCGCCACCACACTCCCACGCCTTGTTAAAGATAATCCGCGCCAGCTTGATGTTGATGTAAAAGGTTACCAACACATTTCTGTCTCTTGATCATCGCATCCCCTCGGGCAGATAGATGCTATTGAGCTGCAGGTCACAAGTGACGATTCACTGTCCCTCGTTTTCATGGTAAAGGTCAGGTTGGTCACGGATTTGGTGACGTAGATAAGGTACAAAGAGAGCAGGTAACATTGTTCGCAGCGCACGTTTTTTGAATGAACGGTGATTCCTCCAAACGGTATAGCCCGAAAGGCCTTTGTTAGCAGGTTGTGATGAGGAACGGCCTAAATGGGTGATTGGGTACGTTGGAAGTATCCAGATCCATGGTTGTCGTAGCGCTTTCCCACAGGCGTATATCTATCTGGCTTGATGTTGTTTTCAGGTTCTTGCGAATTTTTCAACTGCCAACACAACAGCCACGAAAGTGTTTACTCCCTTCTTTGTTTGTGCTTCATGTGTTGTGTATCCGACAGCCAACTACTCCAGCCGCTGACTACCAACAGCCAACGGGTACAAAACCACCAACTGCCGAGAACCAGGAGCCAACCATCCCGTCCGTCGAGAGTGCAGAAGATACTCCGTATGGAAGCAACAAAAGTTCGCGCTTGCGAAAACGACGTGCGATAATAAAAGGGAAGGAAGTGAGAAGCCAAAGATGGGAGTGTTTTCAAACAAAGGGCGATATGACGTTCATGTTGCCCGCCGTGGTCCACCTGTGTTGGACTGCAGGCGCATCTGGACCGCGTGCCTGCGCCCAACGAAGCGCTCATCCATTAACCGCTGGAAAGGCACACAACTGTCTCAAGTCGAGAAAGACGACAAAAAGAACTCTCGAGATCTTCCTCTCGGTGTAGTGTGGAGATGGACTGGCAAACAGAGGCACGATGCTTGAGATCACATCTGTTGGTAATAGAGAGCAACTCCCATTATACCCGCGCGCTACAGAATCAAGAGAGAATTGTGTTTGGACATGTCATAGCTATGTGTGCTGTTATCTCCTGGGCATATAAATCACTTTGTCCCTCCTGGTGTCGAATTGTGACCTCACATTGAAATAACTACGAGTCTGCCGAGCAACAATCATCCATCCTTCTTCGTCAGGAGGAGCATCAACACTAAACACGACATCAAGACAACCGAACCACCAATTTATATCAAACACTCACATCACTCAACGCGCTAGAATGCATTACCCATCTGTTCTAGAAGGGCTCTTCCTCTCCTTTTCAATATTCAGCCTCGGATCCACCGCCATCATCTCACCTCTACATACAAGTGACGGCCAGCTTCATGAAGCTCGCGAAGTCAAGAAAGCAGGATTCAGCAAGAAATGCTGGGACTACAAGTGGAACAAAGAGACATGCGTCCTTCACGCTACCTGCAAAGTCGACAAGAAGAAGGCCGAGGACAGCAGCGAGATCAACGTGAACACATGTCTCGCCAACTTTGTGCCGAGAGCCGCGACAGCGGAAAACGAGGACTCGGAGGAGAACTTTAACAATGGATTATTGAATTGGCAGTTTGCGCCCATGGAGGTTTATCGCTTGAAAAAGGCCAGTGGAAAGTAAGTGTAGCATATTTTCCTTTACAGTAAAACCTCAGCTTGAACCCAGCATTTGTCATGGAAGCAGCGTCTAACCGATAAGTAGGGCAATCCTTAAGAACGCCTGTCAAGATAGACACCATTGCTACATTGCTGATGAGGACCTCAAGGGCAAGAAAGGGCACGAGCCAGTGTTGCAGTGCGCAAAGCAAAGAAATAAGCGGCCGGTTATCATTCCGTTGGGTAAGCTTGCCCACCTTCGCTCCAGAAGTAATCTGCACACGTTTTCATGACTTGACTGTGCTTTTTTTGGCTGTATGTTAACGTCAAACAGATATCGGAATCGGTCTCGACGACAAGGGACAGCTGGGGTGCTTGCCACACCCAGAGGATTAGGTTGTTGAAGGGTGATGACTTAAAAATGAATCTGGAAGTAGATGAGGAATTTACAATTAATTTTCGAACGTTCTGCGTTTGTGTGAAAGGAAATTATTTAGCACCGGATGTTGTCTTTCTCCGTTCTTGCTATTCTCAAAGTGACTGCTTTTCATGTCTTTTGTCCCTCGCCCCTTCCTTTCGTATTCCTTTCCGCCTTCCTTTCAGGCACTCTTAACTACTTTTACCTACCTACCTACCTCTAGGTTCAAATACCTACAACCACTGCCATGCTGGACCATAAACGCCTCGTCCTCCAACAACTAGAAAACCCTCTACTATTTTCACGCCCCTTTACGGTCGTCGAAGCAGGCAAGCTCTCCATTGCTGTTATGAACATAATTCCCTAGAAGAAGACATCCGTTAATCAAGAATAGGACCAAACAATGTATACAATTGTAAGGAAAGTAACATCTTGTTTTTGTAGGCGTATTTCTTTCCTTGTTCAAATTGCTAGGTGGTAGGTAAATCCAGATGTTGTAAGACTTGATTGTTGATAGAGATTCAAAAAACCAGCGGCCACTATCCTATTTCACGAAAACGGCATCTTCATGTACAAGTAATCGTGACGCCTTTCACCACGATCACCACGCCATATTCCATAGCTCGATATCTATCAATGATCACCACACACAATAGATCTCTTCAGTCATAATACGCGTATGTCAGTGTGTTCTTCCCTAGACTACTTTCTCGTTGCAGTGAACATGGCAAACAACTCCCAGGCTAATATCATGATAGATGACTGCCAGCGCGATAACATCGAGGCACAAAGGGCAACAACTCATTGATGAAGCAGGCCACTCAGCTGATCCACACCAGCTGAAGAGTTGACCAATGTATATAAATGTTTCCAAGAATCGCCGACTCAATCAGTCCCCATAACGAAAACCTCGTTCATTCTCAACGAGACGACTTCGGAAATTAAACGACCATTGAAAACCAAAATACACTCGTCACCCTCCGCTGCGAGGAAGCAAGTGCTTCACAATCATACCGTCCTCAACCAAAGCTAACAAAGTTTTACATTGATAGCTTCGAGATGGTTCAAGAACATATCACTTATTATCTCTTTCTCCGTGTGAAGATACCTCAAGAATAACAACCCGTCAGGAAATATACAAAACCAGGACCAAATCCACAATGCATCGATCACAACTAGACTAGACCATAACGCAGGAAGTGAGTGGCCCGTGCGGCACCAGGGCAATCAATCTACACAGTAAACCATCGTGGAAGCTATGCTACCGAGCACACCAAGACACTCGACAATTTGAGAGGCCTCCGTCCGTCCCTGTGTTCCAAACTGCTCTTAAAATTCTCTCTCTCGGTGGCATTGATACACAATGAAATGCTACCTATTACCAACCCTTAGTTTCCTTCGAACACCCTATAGTAAAAAGGGGGGGGGCTGTACAAAGAGGTACTAGTAGGTAGGTAGGTCAGAAACGTACGCGCCTCTACTATCAGCAGCAGCAGTAGGGCGTTTATGCAAGGCCGAATCACACAAGGCTGTCGATACGGCAGCAATAAGGTACTCCCGCCCGTCGCTTTCAAGGTACGAGTGTCGACTTCAAGCTGTCAGGGCAGGGCAGTCGGGTGCACCTACTTGAGAATTTGGGGTTTGCTAGAAGAGAACAGTCGGTGCAGGTGAATTTACATGGAACATCATGTATGTACATACCGACCTGGCAGTAGCCGAGTTGAGAAGTCCCCCCTTGAATCCTGCATCCTGGATAGACTCCCTATCACTCCAGTTGTTGCAGTATATACTCGTCGTTTGCTGAAAACAGATGCCGTTTGCGAATGCGCTAGCGCGGTAAAGTGATGAGTGGTATATCTGTGAGCATTTGCTGTGCTAAACAAGTTGACCGCATGCGAAGACTGTGAATTTGACAATCAAACAGAGTTCATTTCATTCAGACGAACCTCATATCATTCAAGCAATGCGCTTTGAGATAGCTTTTGATACATAGAGTGTGGTGGTTTCTTTTATCTGAACGATTTTTGTAACTTCAAATATAGCCGTCTCCATCACATAGAACCCCAAATCATATCTACCGCTGTCCGCCTTTCCTGAAAATGTGCGTTGTATCCCCCCATCGTAACTCGACAGGCTCGCGGGTCGTGTCGCGTGCCCATATCACACATCAAAAGCCAGTAAAGTAACCGTAATATTGAACTCCACGTACTGATGGAAGTAAAACAAATTTCCGAAAGCAAACGCCAGATTTGAACATGGAACATCGTAAAACCCGTACTGTTCGTCAGGGTTAGAAAGGCACACCAGACCCAACAAGCACAAGGTCAGACTTGGGCGTTTCTATCCCTGACGAGAGTACATTGCGTGCCCGGGCACTAACGTGGAAAATCAAGACCGGCTGGGTCTATGCCTATCTCATCACTGAAATCATCGACATCGGCCGATTCATCTCCCAATTGCTGCGCCCACGTTGAGGTTGAGAACATGCTTTGAGACTGTGATTGAGAAGAGGGCATTCCGATCGAGTCCGATATACTGCTGTCCATGTTGATCTGAGACTGGGCAGGGGCAATCGTCTGGGCCATGGCGCTGATCTTCTTCTCGTAGTGACCGAGCACATTCGCCATTTCTGGCAGTCCCAAGAGTTCGACGATGAGAGCCTTACAGCGCTCATTGTCGGTAATCTGAGCACGCATGTTGGCCTCCAGCTGGAGGATCGTGCGGTGTTGCTCCTTGCACTTTTCCTCCAAGTCATTGATGTAGTCTGAAATATAAGTCAGTGGACAAGTCCATCGCAAGCAGGATCACACAAAGGTAAACTCACCCTTTTTGCGAGCACGGAAATTGCGAGCCGAGACTTTGTTGCGAAGTTGACGCCTCTGCGCTGAAGTCATACCCTTGGCCTCCTCGCCCTTGAGTACCCGCTCGTCTTCGTCGAGGTCGTCCTCATCCCTGTGCTTTCCCCGTTTGCTGAGCTTGGGAAACTCGCACGGCCTGTCTTCAATGACGACGGGCAATGTCTTCATGTTGTTGACCAATCGCTGAATCTTGGTGCGCTTCTCGATACGATGGTATTGATCCGTTTGTCGATGTGTGATGGCGAGGTACTTGTCCTTCTCGCTTAGATGGTTTGGTTGTTCGTTGGCGAGACCAAAGTTGCGACCGGGGCCAGAGCCGGGACCGGGAATGCGATGCTGACGGGGCGCAAGAGGAGTCGTCGCGGGGGTAGTATTCCAGCCGGAAACGGGTTGCTGAGGGATGGTGAAGGGAGTGGGGATGGAGAAGTTGATGGAGTTGATGGAATTGTCCCCTGCCCAGTCGAAGTTGGGACCCGAGTGTTGGATGGAGTCGAGATAGGTGGGCCCGTTTCCTGTTGGCTGCGCTTCCAAGACCTGCGATTGCGTAACAAGCGATGGTTGGGTTGGAAAGTTTGCCGTCAATCGCTTGGTGTTCTCGAGAGCGCTGAAGGCGTCATTCGCGTGCTGGCCGATGGCGAAGCTGTTGTCGAAGCCAAGTCCGGCGAAGAGCAGGTCAGAGTGATACGGTGACTGGTCCCAAGCGGTTCCGGGTTGATTTGCGTCCAGGAAGAGTTCGCTGGGATTGACAGTCTTATTTACGGAATTGGTGACGTTCATGTCGGAGTGGCCCGTGATGGGGGTCGGTGGTTGTTGTCGGTTGAGATGGAAACCGTCCGCTGGATGCTGGCCAGAGCTGGGTGGGTGATTGAGATGGAAGGAAAGGAACGGGCGGATCGTCTGGCGGGGGGGGAACTGTCGGCGGCGGCGTTGGGGCACCCAGAGTTCAAGTAGCTAAGGAACAGGGCAAGTGACAGAGACAGCGATCCCGCCATTGGAGGAGCCCGGGCAGGGATGGCACAGGCTAGTGGCTGGGCTTCTCGCGCCGAACGGGCTTGGAACGCTAAAGTGCCATGAGGGTTAGCGTGTGACCGTGCTGCCCTGCTCCAGGGTGGACGGCCGATGCCTGTGGTTGGGTGTGTGGGAATCGGCAATACCTGTCCTCGCAAGAGAGCCCCAGGAGCCCGACGTCGCTTAACACATTTGGACGACATGATCTCTATAGTATGATAGTACGATACCAGCCCGGATGAACCGCTTGTACCGGGGTCCTTCCGGATTGGGCGGGCTGATGCACCCCCCACCGCCCGGGACGCGTAATACAGTTGCCTGGGGTTGGATGGTGTGCATACTGTACTAGATCGTAAGATGAAATACAAAAGTAAAAGGTGAGGATGGATGTTGTTCCATGGAGAGAGAAGTTGGGACAAGATGTCGTCAGCTTCGATGAAGGTTTGAGGTTGTTTCGACGGACCGGGCCACTGGCTCAGTCATTTTCTTGGAAGCAGCATGATGTAGAGGTAGGTAGGTAGCACCCGACGGTAATGTCGCCAGTCGCACATCTTCAAAGCTTGTTAAGGCAGGTACTTGAGTTGGTATAAGGCAGCCTGCTATGCATGTCGATAGTAAAGCGGTTTCCCGAGTACCGTGTACGACCAACGATGACAGCATTCTCCCTTGATTTCAAAGCTGTATCTATAAGGATTATGTATTACCTGACAAGTCTCGGCCACTCGGGGCTGCCACCAAATTCACGGGCGGTTAAGGAGTAAGGACCTCTCAACCCGACACTCTGCATTTACGATAATGAAATTAAGTGAGGCCTCTTAGCTTGGATGTTACAACTAGTATTTCTTAACGTCCATTCTAACATCCCCCAAATCTCAGCCTTAACAGAGCATCAACGCTCATTCAGATTGGCTCAAGCAGCTCAAACGAGCACTCGCACCTAGGTACATAGGTAGGAGCAATCTGATTGCCAACAATCCTCGAACTCCCGTCCTTATAACTGTGCCTTAACTCGACGTGCAAAGCCATCTTAACCCAGCTGAACGGTGGGTCTTTGGTCGATCCGACAATCTCAACTGCGCCTCTGTGCCAGGCAGGGCACCTCGAGCCGATACCATGACACTCATGCAAGGAGGACCAGAAGGCTTGACTTTGCTGCACATGGCAAAGTTCGAGCCCCGACACTGACCCAGAAGCAGTTATTGTGCCCTGCCGACTTGGAAAAGTTCGGATGATGAGCTCGACAGCCCTGCCGACCAACCTAAAAGACATACATAGGAAACTAAGGTAGGTACACCACGGGGAGGTGGAGTTTCGATCGCCGACATGTCCGTTTTAGGTGTCTCCAACGGCCCGTCCCTGTACCCGGACCTCCGGGTTCCCCGTCGGGGTGCCGCTCAGTCGGGCAATGTCGGCGCCTCATTGTCCGTTGGATTGCCGTTTCATTAACCTATCTGGGCTGTTCTTTATTTAAAAGACACTCCAGTCGGCACTAGACACGCATCATCAACGCCTTTGGTGAGGCGTTTCCCGAAACCCATTCACGGCAGTTGAGAGTGACATGAGTGGCTCCAAGCGTCTTGCAGTGCCGTGGCTGAGCACACAACGCTAGGCATTTTGTCAAATAGTGTACATACACTACTTTGTATCCGCGGATCGCCAGGGCAACCCTGGTTTCGTCATTTCTGTCACTGAAATGGAAGCACTTGAGTGGTGGATACTGACGCAGAACACGTAACCATCACCATCACGAACTTCTAGAACACTTCAGTTTTGAGCTCCCCTGAACGGTTGGTTTCTTTCTAGCGAGGTCCCTAGATGCGCCTCTGAAACTGTCACAGATCGGCGCTAACAAGACAGGCCCCTTTCTGTCCGTGATCATCATCATTTGTGTTTCATGAACTTGAGAGCTTCGTAGATTGGTGTTGATAAAAGGCCAGGACAAGCGCCGGATCGTGTCTCGTCGAAGGTCGGCCTTTTCAAGGTGGAGACTGCAGAGCGTAAGAACGTAGTCCCGGATCTGCGCTGGACTGTCCTTCAATGATCTAGAAGCCTCAATCTCGATGACTCCAAAACGACCTTCCCGGTAATGCGTCGTCAGTACAGTCTCTTAACTAGGTTGCTGTGCAAGCCAACTAGAGGTAGGTATAGGATGATTTCAAGCACTTGTGTAAACGAATCGATGTTTTCCTGGGTCTGAAATTAGGGTGGGGCAGCTTTCTCCGGGGAGTGCAATATCACTCAGGGTTATAGGAACAACCTAGGGTTAAGCTCGAGAAGGACGACACCACACCCTTTTGGCTTCACGTGCGTCTTATCTTATCGTAAGGCCCATAATTAGCCGGCTTGGCAAGTCTCGTCAGCGGCCGCACGAGCCACCCCCTCACTGGTCCCTTGGTGATCCTGACCATTAAAAAGACGAACTCCAACATCAGATATGAACAGCTATTTTACAGAATGGTCTAGTATGCCATGATATTGTTGGTAAAGAAGGTGAGTTATCATGTTCAATACTGGCATTTTCACATGGCCGGGTCGTGGAGCCATTCCGAGTCGTGTAAAGCGCACTATACCTTCTACAGCGTGCGGTCAGGTAAGCTTCTGTGTCCAATATAACTGAAGAATCGGGAACGTGTCCTTTTGCCGCAGAGAGATAATGATGGGATGGAATTGATAAAGCCAACGAAAGGGACGAGAATGCCCAGCGCCGCGGGCCCCGAGTGTTGACTAAGATAGCGCCGCTAGAGCGCCCGAATCGGGGAATTGTGGTCCGTCAATGACCTGTAGCAACCAATTGGACGACCCCGAATCTGTTGAAGTTGAGAGGTTGTCGCCAACAACACATGTGCTGGATTCTGGATGGCGGCGAATTTGGCCAAGTTCGGACCGCCTGCGTTCCGCAACGGAGGTGTCACTGCTCCGGTCGGTGCTTCTGGTTTGTCTGGGCAATCGCATCCAGCCTTGGCCTTTTTTTTGCCGGCGGCCGGCCCAAGCCAAAGGGAACTGTCCAGACAGAGTGTCCATCCCGCAGTCTGCAGCTACACTACTAGTTAAATAAAATCTGTCGCGATCCATCATCATCTCCGTGACTCCGTCTCTTTGCCAACGTAATCCATCTACCGCCAGTTGCGCATATTCTTCCCCTTGATTCTTTGTTGTCGACACCCAACGTCGTCAACGTCGTTTATTTGGTTATACTCTTTTCTAATCTCCCCGCCCCGCGGTCAAACATATTCACAATGGGTCTCTCCCCGCAAATGTAAGAAACATGACCACCTGCCGAACGCGCGAACAACGTGCCGCCGTGTCCTCTCGACATCGTCGCGACCGGGAGTCGCAATCCAGTTGCTAACATATGTGTACAGCACCAACCTGATCATCATCCTTGGTATGATGCAGGTCGCCAAGAAGATTCCCTTCGAGGACCCCAACGTTCTCAACCTCTGCCGCGCTCTTTACGCGCTCAGCAATGTCATCATCCTCTGCATCCACCTCTACATCATGAACACCATCAACAAGAAGAAGGGTATGTCGCGCTTCCTCTCCCTCGAGAGAGACGTGAATTCACAGTCTGCTAACTTTGGTCTCTCCACAGACCTCACCACTCTCAAGTACGTTGAGCCGGCGCCGATGGGTTCCACTGAGGAGGGCAAGCTCGTCACCACCACTATCCACGCCTACGATCTCGCCCAGTCCAAGCAGCTCCTGCGCTCCCAGATGATGGGCGTCTTCATGATGGGCGTCATGCACCTCTACTTCAAGTACACCAACCCCCTCCTCATCCAGAGCATCATCCCACTCAAGGGCGCCTTCGAGTCCAACCTTGCCAAGATCCACATCTTCGGCCAGCCCGCCAGCGGCGACCTCAAGCGTCCTTTCAAGCAGTCTGCTGGTCTGATGGCCGGTCTCCAGGGCGGCGCTGCTCAGAGCGACAAGAAGGCTGTTGAGGCTGCCGAGCGTGCTGGCCGCGGTGGCGCCAAGGAGGAGTAAAGCGATTCAAATCAATCGCCTTTGGAAATGCTGCATGGTGCAGGAAGAAAAAAAAAAAAAAAAAAAAAAAAGGAAGGGAAACAGGTTATACACGACCGTGCCGGCTATCATCTGGGCGGGTAATACTTTTGTACCAATATGGCTTTTAAAGCATTGGCAATTTACGTATAGACATGACATCCTTTGGTTCAGGTTAGACGGATGGGCGAGTGGTTAATGGGATTAAGCAAATGGCAGATAAGCGAGGCAGTCCGCTTTAGGAGCCTACGTTGCCAGGACATTGGAGTAGTAAACAATACACTACTATCTGGATTGGCATACTATTTGCTGACTTCAAATGTCCTGTTGTTGTGGATTTGACTTCTTTGTCGGGTTGTCGCCATTGCCGAGGATGTGGCAATACGCTCTGCGGCGGACTCTGGCGCCTTGGAACGACGGAGGCGGCGAAGCAACATTTGCTTGTTTGGCTGATGCCTGCCGAATCGATCCAAACAGCGTCATCGAGGGGCCGATGCACAGTATTTGCTTTCGCGACACAGCACGTTCTGTGAATGTACTTTTCCCTTCAATAACCATTACCAATTCTTTTCTATGTTTTGTTGAAGATACTTCTGGATGCCTAATATTTTCTGATGACAATTCCCTCTCTCGATTAATCTAATCAACACTGCGCCACAGCTAGCAACGTCCACAATGGAACGGGCGTCCACTCCTCCAGCTCAAGCGCGCCGATCAACACGATCAACAACCGCAGCACGTCCACCATCACCACCAACTCCCGCTGCCGACAGGCGTCGCATAGTAAGCCACTCCATTCAGCCTGGCTCTCTATCCATCGCACCAAAACCTATAAAAGAAAAACTAACCAATCCTGCACGTCAACCAGGAAGAATCCCGTCTCCGCGTCAAAGACCTCCGCACCCAACGCGAAGCCGACCACCGCGCCGCCGGCATTCCTCTCCCCTCCGACTCTCTCCCACGCACCGCGTCCGGTATCGCCGCCACCGATGACATCCAACTAGCCGGCGCCGCCGGTCGCGCGGCGGCGGCGGCGGCCTCTCGCAAGCGTCCGTTCACATCGATCTCGCGAAATGACGTACCGGCTAGTAACCGGGACGCTCGCACGGCGACAGGGACCAATGATAGGAAAGATGGCAACAACGGCAACGGCAACGGCGACGCAGGGGGAAGCTTGCCCCCCATCTCGCGCAAGTTCACCAAATTCGTCGATTACAACTTTAGCGCCATGACAGACACCAAGGGCGGGTTCCTGTCGTTGGAAGATGATCCGTTCAACAAGCACTTGTCTGGCCCCTCGAAGCCGGGACAGCTGTCGGAGCAGCAGGAACAAAAGCCGGCGCATATGACGGCTGCGGAGTGGGAGCGGATGCAGTTGATTCGGAAGTTGCAGCGGACTAAAGCCGGGCCGTACGAGCCGGGATTGAGTGTGCTGACGGATAATAAGGAGATGAAGAAGTGCAGAGAGTGCGGGAGTTTGGAAATCGACTTTGTGTGGGCAGAGACGTTTGGGTGCGCCGTGTGTGGCAAGTGTAAGGAGCGGTGGCCGGAGAAGTACAGTTTGTTGACCAAGACGGAGGCGAAGGAGGATTATTTGTTGACTGATCGTGAGTTATTTTTTTTTCTTCTTCTGCTGGCTTGCTTGCTTGCCCCTGCTTTACTGGTGATGCAAGATGGTGCGAGTTGCTGACGCTGGTTTGCCACAGCTGAACTCAAAGACCCCGAACTCCTCCCTCACCTCTCTAAACCGAACCCGCACAAATCTCACTGGCACGACATGATGCTCTTTCTACGATACCAGGTCGAGGAATATGCGTTTAATGTCAAGTGGGGGTCGGCGGAGGCTCTGGATGCCGAGTTTGAGAAGCGTGAGCAGGACAAGAAGAGAAGGAAGGAGGCCAAGTTCAAGGAGAAGTTGCTTGACTTGAAGAGGAAGACGAGGACAGAGGCGTTTAGAAGGAACACGGGCAAGTTGGGCGGGATAGCAGGGGGAGATGGTGGTGGTGATGGTACTTCAACAGGGAGGAGAGGAAAAGCGACCAAGTTTGGGGATACGATCAATAATGGAGGGAAGCATGTCCATGAATGGGGGAGGACGGTTGAGAATGAGGAGGGGATGACGGTCAAGACGTGTACGACTTGTGGGATGGAGGTTGAGGAGCTGGAGTTTTAGAAGGGCTGGCTATGCTTTGGATTTTGGAGTTGGAGGTTGGAGGAGTTTCCTTCACTTGTATACCCATCTTCGTAAAGGTGATGATTTGATCAATGGATGTTACTGTCAACCCAGGTGTATTAAATCTTGACCACTGCAGACAACTGAACCTGAAGGCGCCAAGCTTTCAAATCGCTGAGCTCCCCTGAGCTTCCCCTGGACGTCACCAAGTCCTCGGGTATGTGCACGGTGCATGTTCCGATCTGTGCTTTCTTTGTTGAGTTTATCATGGCCGACGCGCTAGCCCCTGACGCTGGAAAAGGTGATGGCAATTGCGGCCTTGCAGCATCCGAATTTTGTGATTTAGTGATGTTGAAATACCTATGTAGGAGCCAGCGACACCGGCAAGTCGAGACGGTAGATGGCTGTGCAACAGAACTACTTAAGGGGCAAACTTCAGGACTCGGCTTTGATAACGAATCTTCAACAGGAGCGCCTTATTGATATCCAAGCAGATTTTGAGGTTGAAATCTCATGGCGCTTTCGTTGAAGGCAAAGGAGCGATAATGCGACAGGACAGATAACACGCAGGCCAATAAGATATTGCCATGGTGTGTTTAGTCGCTTCAGCTTCCCAATTGGACGCTGCAAGGACCAAAGCGCGCTTGCCCGTTGCTGCATCGCAATCCCGTCGCTACCACTACAGCAGTCGCAGCGCAGTGCAGCGGGCAGTCGCGAGTGGTGAGCTCCCTCATACCAACCACGCAGTGCGTTTATCCGTCTGCCACCCGCAGGCATCGAGTCCCGTCTGTCTTGGGTTTTTGGCTGAGTGGCAGCCCACTTTGCTCGTTGGAGTGAGACCGGAGCTACCTCTAGGTTGGTTGGTTCGTACGCGCATCATAACGAAACGGAACCTTGGTTTGAACCACCATCGCGAATCCAGGGACTCGCCATCATCTCTTTTTTTCTTTTAACGTCTTCGCTTTTTATCCCATGTCTTAGCATACCCCAACGCAACCAGGACCTTTTTGCAGATCAGGGTCACTCCTCCCGCTTTTTCAAGCCGCCGCGGATCAATCGACGGCGCCATCCCCCCCTTGTGGCTTTCACTTCTTCTAATTCCAGCCAAGGCACGCAGATACATAGCGTAGCTGGCCGACGAACGGATCGCATTCGATACACTACCGCGACGTAACGACCTTCGACTGCCCGACTGCCTGCCACTTCTTGCTTTGCTTTTCTAGCCTCGGACTACGCACCCGACTACCTGCCTACCACCACACCGCAAACAAACCAAGGGGGAGACGAGGGTCCACGCGGTCCCTCACCAGCTCAGCACCACCTGTCGACGCTGTGCGCTCTGACGATCGTCGTCCGGCTGGAATCTCCCACGTCAATTGCTCCTCCCCTCGATTGCTTAGCCGCCGACCGACCCACGCCAGCCTCGCTTCTTATCGTCGCGAAAAGCTTCGCCGGTTTAAGCTGCCGCTTCGACCACCCAAGATCGCACAGCTATGGGCACCAACGGCGTTCATGTCTCGTTTGGCGCGGGCCATGAGATGGGCGGGGTAATGGGCAATGGCTCTGGTCAGCCGCCCGCGACCGAGTATACACTCCAAGGTTAGTCGGTTCAGGCACCAGACCAAACTACTTCGTTGTCAGGGCTAACACTCGTCATGCAGGTGTCATGCGCTTCCTCCAGACAGAGTGGCACCGTCATGAGCGCGACCGCAATGCCTGGGAGATCGAAAAGCAGGAGATGCGCGCGAGGATAGCGAACCTCGAGGGTCAGGCCAGGAGAGCAGACGCGACACAAAAGGCACTCAAGCGATATGTCTCGATACTCGAAAAGAAGGTCAAGGAGCAGAGCGCTGCCCTCAAGTCTACTGGTAAAGAGAAGGGAGCTGAGGGTGATGCTGAGGCGGAGGCCAACAAAACCAAGCTTGACCGGTCCGCCCTCATACAGGAAAAGTTGCGCCGTAAGCACACTTCTTTCATCCTGTCTGCTGGCACGTTCTGACACATCCTCACAGCAAACACAAAGCTCTCCGGAGCCCCTAACGAGGCCGAGAACATCGACATCGGTCCTCTAGACGACGAATCCGCGCGCAACGAACTCAAAACTTTCCTCGATCAGTGTCAGGCCGAGTTTACTTATCTGATGGTGACGCCAGCCAACCCGCAACCACCACGAGAATCCCCGCCCCTGCCTATCCTAGACGACTTCCGCGAGGGTGAAGCCATGAACCAGCAGCTTGAGCAGTCCTACCAGCGTTCTCAACAAAGCCAGATTCGGGACCTGCTTGCCCAGCAGGCAGCTGCTGCTAATGCTACTACGACTGCTGCCGCTCTGCAGAATCAGCAGCAGCAGCAGCAGCAGCAGCAGCAGCAGCAGCAGCAACAACAACAGCAACAGCAACAGCAACAGCATGTAGCTGGACCGCGGCCGCAGACTAACCAGCCACCAAAGGGATATGGCGAACTGCAAGGAGCGCCTATGGAGCGTTCATCCAGAGGACAGCAGCTACACGACATCCTGAAGAGTGGTGAAACCCCCGACTGGTCAGCTTCGATGCAATCTCAGCCAGCCGAAGAGCCGACTTCTGCGCTCAACAAGGCGCCTCCGATGGTTAGGGGAGATGGACGTGAGCCGGCTGCCCCAAAATCCGCCTCGACCACGGATGCATGGGACTTTAACGAATCCAACTTCCAGGATCCTACCGCGATGACACAGCCGACCCCGCAACAGTCTTTTTCCAGCAGGCCTGACACGGATGCCTTCCCCAGCGCCGAGAACCTAACCAAGTCTCCTAACCGTGGAGCGCTCTCCCACCGAAGAAAGAGCTCGAGCGGTATGGCGCGTAGACGGAGCGCCGAGCACGAGCTTTCGCTTGGGTCCCTGAACCAGAAGGCAGAGGGTGCAATGTTCAAATTCCGCTTTGGCTTGCGCGGCCATCTGGATGTGGTACGGACTGTTATCTTTTCGGGCGGCGGAAGCCCTGGCGAGCCCGAGATCTGCACGGCGGGAGACGACGGCCTGGTCAAGAGATTCCATATTCCTGACAGGCACATTGGCCAACGAAATGCTGATGGAGATCTCGATGTTGCGGCGGACTTTACACATCGCGGCCATAGTGGGGCCGTGTTGTCTCTTGCGTCTTGGTCGCCATCCCCCAACTTCTCTACCGGCGGTCGTGCTCAGGGTGATGGTTGGATTTTCTCTGGTGGTCAAGATGCCACGATTCGCGTGTGGGAAAGAGGAAGGGTTGATCCCAAGGCCACCCTAGATGGCCATACCGACGCTGTTTGGGCGCTTTGCGTCTTGCCCACGAACCTGGGTGCCATTTTCGGTCAGACCAATAGCCATGGTCCACCCGATAGGATTCTGTTGGTGTCCGGAGCAGCGGATGGGACTGTCAAGGTGTGGGCTGTCAGCGCACCTCCTCAACTCACGTCGCCCCAACCGGGACCAGGTCGTCGTGGGCCAGGCGGACGTGTTAGGGGTAACTCCATGAGCTCTGGCTCCGCATTCCCCAGCTCGCCACAGCCGACCACGGCATCCAACTCTCCCTTTCATCATACGCTTGTGCATACCATTAAACGGGCCAACTCGGAGGCTAGCCCGACGTGCATTACTGCCCTCAGTCCCAATGGTGAGACTTTTGCTGTCAGCTACGCGGATGCCGCCATCATTGTCTACGACACCCGCAGCGGAGAGGAGATTGGAACGATGGCGAGCTTGGATACATATGACGGCACCATCAACACAGCCGTGAACGCTGTTGTAGCGACAACCGTTGGATTGGATCAAACACAAGGCCCCGGTGGTGAAGATGAAACTGGTGGTGGGCCTACCGGGGGTGGCCGATCCATGGCAGGATCTGGCGTGGAGGGCACCATCATTTCTGGCCATGAAGATCGCTACATTAGGTTCTTTGATGCCAATAGCGGTAAGTTCTGCTGCCTTCTGGGAAGCATATGTAATTTATGATGAAACTAACTTTCTCTCAGGTCAATGCACATACAACATGCTAGCCCATCCGGGATCCGTCTCTAGCCTTTCTCTCAGCCCCGACGGTCGCGAGCTCGTCAGCGCGGGACACGACATGTCGCTGCGCTTCTGGTCCCTCGAGACAAGGTCATGCACGCAAGAAATGACTTGCCACAGGAGCATGCGCGGCGAAGGTGTCTGCGCCGTTGTATGGAGTCAGGACGGGAAATGGGTGGTTAGCAGTGGTGGAGACGGCATGGTCAAAGTGTACGCGAGGTAGTAGTAGTAGTAGTAGTAGTTGCCGTCTGTGTCACGATCCGAGAGATGAGGATGTATGACTTGGGCCTCTTCCTTTTCGGCCCATTGTGTATAATGAATTCCTATTTTTGGGGGGAGAGGAGATGGGAGTAAGGGGGGGGGGGGGGGGTATTGTTTATTAGCTGCTTACTTTTATCATCCTCTTCTTTTTTGGGGGAGGGGGTTCTTCCTTCTTGCCCTGTTAGTATGTATCACACATACGCTCATTGCGTTTCCCGGCCGGAGCCGCGCCGCCGTTTCCTTTGTCGTCTTTTTTTTTTTTTTTTTTTTTTTTTTTTTTGTGTGTGTGTGTGTTTCTCCATCATTGCTAGCTATACCACGTCACACCAAACATGGATGAGCATCAAGCGGATATCGTTTCCAATTTGCTTTTTTTTTTTTTTGGGGGGGGGGGGGGGGGGGGGGGGGGGGTTTCGGTGGGATGGAGGAAAAGAAAGAAAGAGGGGGGGGAGGGGGGGTCTGTGATGAGATGAGATGAGATGAAAGATAGAATGAAAGAGAAGCGGGAATCATTACCAACACAACGAATGACAGGCTTTTCAACCAAAAGGGGAACAAATTCATCGTCGGCCAGTCCTACGCAGAGTGAGTGAGCGAGCGAGCGTGTTGTTATGAATCTATCGATCCCTGTGACAGCTGCTGAGACGGCTGGATACCGAACCCTTTCGTCTGCTGCGACGGTATTATATTAGCTTACGTGGTTGCAGCCAAAAATAAGAAGATGAAGAAGAGAAAGAGAAACTGGAAGGGAATTAGAAGCGGACGTGATGTCAAAGTAATGGCTCATTGCATCCGGAGCCGTATGCCCATTGGAAAAGAGGGAAAGCAAGCTGGAAGACGTTGCACAGGGAGAGAGGTTTTTTTTTTTTTTGGCGGTGTTTACGATCCAGCCGTACGTACCTAGACTAGTCTGTCAATTGGATGGATGTGTTTGGTGTGTTTGGGGAGTGTTAGTATCAGTATCAGTATCAGTTTTAGTATCAGCATCACACCACACCACATCACCTCTTGCTTCCTTCATCTTCGTTTCACCACTTTGACCCCCCATGGGCGTCACCACTCATCGTCATCATCATCGCCGTAAATTACGGCTAACGTTATGGTGGAGCAAGCACAAAAGGGAGAGAGAACAGAACAGAAATATGATGACCTACGTACGAGCAATATACCTACCTACCTACCTACTCAAACCCATCCATCCATCCCCATCCCCCCTCCACCACGGACCTGAAATAACACCAACGAACGACGACCTATTAGCGAACCGTCTGGTCCTCCTCCCTCTCTGTCCACCATGCAAATGAATGCATCGTCGTCGACCCAATAGGGTAGGTAGGTAAATGGCATTTTTACTAATCGTCCCGATCCTCTTCTTCTTCTTCTTCTTCTTCTTCGCTTTCACCAACTCGTCTCCTCTCCGCGATGGGAGTAGTACAGTGGCGGCTGATAGAACAACAGGGGTTATCAATACGAGCAGAAGAAAGAAAAAAGGGAATAGCGTTGACAAGGTAAAAAAGAGCGAGCATCATCGCTCGTTCGTTCGTTCGTGATTGAGTGGATGAGTGACTGCAACAACGAGAAGCTAAAAGCCGGCTGGGTACCTAGGTAATGAACGGGTCAGATAGAACATTCAGTTGTGACTGAAGACGGATGCTTTTTAAAGGTGCTCCGGCATGATAGAAAAGGAGAAAGAGAAGGAAAAAATGACTACTATGTAACAACAACAACAAATGAATGGACAAAAGGTGAAACAGAAGAGAAAGGGAAAGTCATAAGAAGAGGATCGAATGGAACTTGACTACCTAGTATTTTATTGTTGTTCGACTTTTACATTGCTTCTTCAGCTCAGTTTCCCAGCTCCAACTAAGCGGCCGCTGCACGCTCGTGGCGTCAACTCGGAATAACTGCCATCACATCTATGTTGGCCTCAAATGGGCGAAAAAAAAAAGGGGAAAAAAAAAAGAAAGGAAAAAGGGGAAAAAAAAAAGAAAGGAAAAAAAAAGGCCCAATGTGCTTGGAGTGAATACCAGATTTGAATTTAAAGTTTCAGCTTCGTCTCTGTAGAAGCGTCCTGCGCCCCCAGGCTTCGCTCCACTCTTCGTTCTTTTCCTTGATACTCGAGGCTGGTAGGTAAGCGCGTTTCTGTTGTGCCACGCCCTCATTCAACCTCCCCTATATGTCCAATGGTAGGCGTATGGTACGGCGCAGAAGTTCAAAAGCGTCAGCTTTGCCGCATGGCTACATTTTGTCAACCTCCTTTTCTCGTCCCCTGCATATCTTCTGTAGTCCACGATTGGGACACAACGTTGCACCGCACCCTCAGACGAACTGCGGTCGGTCCGTCCAAAAGCGTATTCTTCAGGCTGACACTACTCTTTTATGACATAGAGGACAATACCAGGACTCAAGGCGAATATCTCAGATATGTACTGTTATACAGCTTGTTCTTCTTTGGTATCATTAGTTATATGTACATGTGCGGTCGTTTCATCCTCGAACCAGTCATAATTTACATCCGAATGGCCCGCCCTTATCATGATCATCTTCATGACGTGATATGCCGTGAGTTTCCGAACCCACCCAACCGATCATCCAACCATGCAAGATGCGCCAAGTATGACTATCCAAATCATCACAAAATAAATAATACAATTCCCACCGAAATTACCAATATACCCATGTCAAATGGACCGCCCGCTTGTCGCATACAGAAGAAGAAAAGTCGATGAGGCCAAAGGGTAACCACCTCTTAGCCCCTGCACAGCTGTGCTATTACTTCTTCTCGGAATAAACGGGCGAGGGCTTCTCGCCAACCTGGCTGCTGGAATCCTCGACAGGAGTGGCCTCAATGGTCTCTCTTTGGGAGAAGACGGTCTCCTCCTTGTCGATGTGCCTGAAGGTGATGTAGAAGATGATGGTGAGGACACCGCCAGCAATGGCGGGGCCACCAAAGTCCCAGGTAAGGTAGGGATCGGTAACAACCGAAGAGCAGGCAAGACCGATGATGTAGGCCACAGCCGTGGAAAACAGGTTGATGGCCGAGACAAGACCTCTCATGTTGACAGGAGCGCGCGAGTAAGCAATACCGTACGCAGGCACGTTGACAAACAACTCGGAAATACCACCAATGGCGAAGGGGATAGCCAGATACCAAATGCTAATGTTAGCAACACCGGTGCCGATGGTGCAGTCACTGGAACCGTACTCGCCGCAAGGAGACAGCTTGTAGGCGTAGTAGTTGAGCAGCGTGTAGCCCACACCGCCGAGGGTGGACAGAGCCAAACCGGTGGTGATGCGAGCGATGGGACCGTAGTGGATGCCGAGCCGTCTAAGCGCAGGGTACAAGCCGTAGTTGAGGACGGGAGCAGTAGCAATGATGCTGAGAGAGTTGAAGTTGGAGATGACGTCATTGGGGACACCATCCGTTCTCAACATGGTCGACAAGAAATTAGCGGCCGAGCCGAGACCGTTGTCGTTGAGGTACTGAATAGGGAAGAAACAGAAGATACCGGTACCCTGGAATGTACGGCGGACATCCTCAACGAACTGGTCGCTCCATTGAGTCTTGTAGGTACCCTCAAGGCCGGCAGCAGCAATGTTGGAAGGCTTGGCTAGCTCCCAGAATCCGTGACGACCAATCTTTTTGATACCTCCGCGGCGGAGGCAGACACCAAGAACCCTGAAGACGTTGGGGAGATCGGAACCACCGGGGGGGTGGAGGATGAGGCGCTTGCGGAGAAACCACAGGAGAAGGGGAAGAGGAAGATAAAGGACAAGAGGGATGAGGAAGGCAAGCCACCAGCCAATGTACTTTTCGGAGTAGGCAGTGGCAACACCCATGAAACCACCAATGTTGATCATGAGGTAGAACCACAACATGACACGCTCAGTGGTGGCCTCGGGGTCCTCAATAACGCGCTCGCCGGTCTTGAGCACCTTGATCATGGGCTTGGTGTTGGTAACTTGATCGAGGAGCAGGGGAGAGACGTTGGGCTTAAACATGCCTGTGAGGAGTTAGTGAGCAGGGACTCGTTGGGAGTGGTTCAAGGGTGTTGTTCACTCACCAGCACCAAAGGCGAGAATGTAGACGGCGATGAAGAAGGGAGCCTTGGAGCTTCCGTCGGCAAGGAGGTTCTTGGCACCGGCAACGATCAGGAGAACGTGAGCGATACCGAAGACAATGACACCCCAGCAGATAAGCTTGAAGCGGCCAGTCTTTGCGTCGGCCAGCCAGCCGAAGACGAGGGGCAGGGCATAAGCCAACATGGAGAAGGACTGAGTGACGGCGTTGGAGGTACTCTGGCCCATACCGAGGGCACCGGCAGTCTGCTGAGTGCCACGGGCGGGAGCACCCCAACCGTTGCCGCCTTGGGGCAGGGGGCGGTTGACATAGTTGCTAATAAGGGGCTGGACACCGTAGTACGACGCTCTCTCGCAGAACTCAATGATGCAAATCATATAAGCAATGATGGGCAGACTACCGGGCACACGGCGGAGCGTGTCGAGCTCCTCCTGGGTGGGCTTGCCCTCATAGTCGTCCTCAATGGGGATGTGCTTCTGCGTGGTGCTGGCCGTGTTGTGCTTCTCCAAGTCATAGTTGGAGCTGGCATCAGCAGCCACAATCTCTGCCGTAGCTATATTTGCCATGTGTTAGTCTGGTGATTCAAGATTGCTTGAGATGGCGCTGGCTTGGTGAAGGAAGAAGCTGAAGATGAGAAGCGACCAGGAGGGAAATTGGGTGTTCCAAGGTATGTAACACTCGGGACGGAATCGGCACGTCGTAAGCAACTGCATATGGATGTATGTGTAATGCATACATATGCGAACATGGAAAGAATACATACCCATTGTGGACTTTTGGTGTTGTTGTTATCTCGTAAACTGTCTCCAGTCGCTCCAGTAAGAAAAAATTTACCCTCTGGCCTGTGGTATGTATGGGCAGGGGAGGGGGAGGAGACTGGAAGGACAGTGGATATGGAGAGAGCCTGCCTGTCGACGACCGTTGAGCTGGCTGCCTGACCGGTCACAGACTGCGCGACTCGAATGAGATGAACAAGAGTCCGTTCTTGTCGAGGAGACTCGAAATGGGGAGAAGGGTCACGAAGAAACTGGGGAAGCAGCCATGGACTCGACGCGGGGGAGTCGCCGAGTTAAAAACGAGACCAAGTCATGTCCTCGAGCAGAGCAGAGTCACATCGGGAGCACGCGACCACGAGGGCTGGAAAGGGAAAGCCAGGAAGGACTGCGGGGCGACAGAGGGAAGAGGTGGAAAGGCGTGAAGCAGAAAAGAGGATATTGTCAGCACTGTCAGCAAGCACACCACCGCGAGACGAGATCCATGTGTGGGAAGGAGACCACCGACAACCGTGGGATGTCCCTGATTCCCGGGGGCTTGGCAGGTGGTCGAAAGTGGTTCCTCCGCAATCCTCCTTCCTTGTACGGTATGAAGCACCGTAGCCACTTTCCACTGGCTCGACTAACAGCGCCGATTCTGGAGGCCGGGGGGGAAGGCGCGAGCCGTTTTGTCTGTTTCGCAAGCACGCAAGCCCTTATCGTGGACAAAGTCGCCTTTTCACCGACAATCAGTCGACTGGTCTTCGGGCCTGTCCCACCCAACTGAGGCAAGATTGACAAATCACACACCAGACAGCCGGGAACCACTTGCCGTGTACCTGGTGCTGGGAAGCCAAAGGATGCCAGCGTGGACCCGTGAAACCCGTGGTCTGCTGGGTGGAGCCCGTGGATGGATACTGTATGGATAACGAATCCCGAGGTTGGTCCAGGTTCGACTCGTTTTTCTGCCGGCGGGCTTTGCAATCCGACTTGTTGCCTCCCTCATCACCGCTAGCAACAAGAGGCTCCAGATCTCGGAGATGGGCGTGTCCTTTGAAGGGCGTTTGTCCCACTCGTTCCATGACTGACTTGTGACGCATTGGCGAATGCAAATATCAAGGAAACACTGCTATATTACACGCGACAGCCGCACGCACACCCAAATTGCTCGCATAATAGGGCTTGCTTTGTGCAACACAGTCAGAGTGGCCGCGCCGGACACTCACCATATCCACACCTGTCGGCCGACAATCGCTCACTCGCACTGGACGGGATGTGAGGTGCCTACCTTATCACTGACATGGCTGACTTGATGCTGTCGCATTTGCTGGGGTACAGTTCCGTATACTAGTACGCATAGGGCATGCCGCCATGAGCTTATTCCTGCGTTGGTATCATGAATATGGAAGGTGTCAGGTTGGGTTGTCGCCACTCGCAAATAACCCAACCATCTTACATCAAGTATGATGTGTGCGATATTCCCTATCGCGGGGTGATACTGACCTAACGAAGGGTTGGGCAAACCTGAAAAGCGGGAACACAACACACCATCCGGAAACACAGCGGACGTTATTTACCTCTACACTACCAGTTGCAAATTCCGACTTATTGCATCACGAAGCGCTACGTGCGCTACGTCCCCTACTTCTTCAGGGGCAAAGGGCGCTACTGCACGATGGCTTCTTTGTTAGTTCGTCGTTCAATGCCGGCCGGCCGGGAGAATACCTCCTCCATGTAACGTCGTCTCCGCTTGGCAGATCCACTTTGTTCTTTGAGGCTGCCTCGGCTGCATCTCTTGGTACCTATTGGACAGGGATATTATCCCTCTCACACACAATTGCCTCTTTTCCAGTGACTTGCATTCGACATGTCCGTCATGCCCGAATTTCCACACACACACACACGATAAATCCGTTCATCCCATCTTTATCAGACTGTGATTGATTACGCTATATTGCGTTGGTGAGACCAACAGTCAGTGGATATAGATAATGGTTGTCAGCCCTAACACCGATCTTCGACCCTGTAATTTAACATTCTCTCGGTGCCTGTATCGGCTATGATTGATGTCGTCCGACCATCTCCAAAAGACCAAGGGAACAAGACCAGCATTGACGATTACGGGGTGTGATTATGTATTCCAACACAACAGACATGTACACTGAAATGTGAGCAAGGGATCCGGTCGGTACCGCGCGCCGGTCACGGTAATTCGCCTGGCCAGCAGCAGCGGTTTCGGCGGCAGTTCTCCAGAATGGAAGTGGACGGGAAGCCAAGACAATCCCAACAACACCGGGGGGGACCCTTTTTTACCTCTCATCAAAACTAATCGGTCCTTCCATTCGCCGCGGCGGGAGGTCGACAGAAGCAAGACATCCAAAAAGGCTGTTCATCAGTCACAGTCCACAGTCCCAATTGGAGCGTGTCCAAAGAAGAAAATGATGATGATAATGATGATGATTGATTGTGCACGACATCATTGATTGCCATGTCAATCAAACTACGTAACAGTATTCTGTCTGTCGATAACCTTCTTCTTCGAGATCTTCGCTTCCCCAACTTTTTTGTTTGCGCATCCCGATGATGCGCCGCCTGCTCCCTTCCTTCCCCGAGGGCCCCATATCGATCAATGCGACGGCGGCAAATACCATACACTACCTATGTACATACCAAAAAGAAGAAGAATCATTCATCCCCCGACTCCACCCACTCATGATGAGATGGAATCCCAAATCACCACAAGGGTCCTGCGGCCTGCCCCGGGCACACATGGTCCGTCCGTCCGTCTCTCTCTCGGGGTTTAGTGTACCCATTGACATTCATTCAGTTTAACAGCGGTCTCGTTCCGTCGACATGACGTCGGGTGTACACGGTCCTACGCGGTCCTCACCGGTTATAGAGCACATGGCGCGGAATTGGGACGTTTTTTTTTTTTTTTTTTTTTCTCCGTCCATCAAAAATGCCAAGACAACTTAATTCGCAGCAGCAGCAAAACACCAAAAGCAATTGGGTGGTGATGTCCATTCATCCATCCATGTTTACTGTTGCTGTTGGTGTTGTCGAAATAAGCTTTTTCCCCCAACTAATTAATTTCATTGCCACGCCACTACGTTATCTATCACAGCTTCTAGTCACCAAAAAAGAAACTTCCATTCAATACTCAGTCCCTCCCGACGGACATTTCTTGGCTTCCGTTGCGGGCCGCCACGCCGCGCGCGGCGGCGTGACAGCTTCAAGCCCTACCTTATCTTCGCGCGCAAAAGTCTGGTGCATCACATCACATCCCTCCCGCTCCCGTCTGCATCGAAACATCGATCGCAACTATCGAACGCAGGGCGAGATCGGGGGAGCCAAGACCTTGGCATGGCGCCCCGAGCGAGTAACGACGATCACCAAGACGAACCGAACCGTCCAGTCGTCCTTGAGGTCCGTTCTCGGATCTCAGCTGTTTACATATGTACACGCCATCAGGACCATCAACACCTGCGGGCGGGCTTCGCTTGATCATCCCCCGCCAGGAAGGTCCCCCTGTGATACACATAGGGCTTAGACTAGATCCGGGAACCAAGGCAGGGCAGCTTGTTTTGTACAGTATCAACGGGGGACCAACACGACGGAGAGGTCCATTGGCACATCCAACTCCGCTGATTAACATCCAGCAGGCATGTGAGTCACCACTATCTGGAGATCCAAGCCCAGATGCAAACTCCGGGCACATAGTACATGCAAGACATGGAGGATCATCTGCCCTGTCTCCATGTGGCACTCCATCCTCGGCCACGCGACAACATGCAGGAACAGACTAGGTAGGAAGCGTGTATTCACTCTGGACACTGTATACACACTCACAAGGCACCATGGACATGGAGTTGGGTTGTTGGATAGAGAATTAGGTGAAGGAGGCTCCTATGGCTTTTCTGATCCTCCATGGTGTTGCACTTCATAAACAGTACACCTCGATTGCCCGACATCGGAGGACACCAAACATCTCGGCATCCCAAAGGCCCCGAAACCCACCGATCGCTCCTGACTGGCTAAAATAAACACTACGGGATACTAGTAACATCATGCTAACTTGGGCCAAGTGTTTCCCTCATACTTGACAGGTGAATAGTCCACCGTCAACAGCCAAGACGCCTACAACTGCTTGGAAGCCCATCCCAGACTCGGCGAGTCACCCCCCTTAAACACCACATACGCCGCCTTGAGCGCCACATCGCCAAAGATGTTGATGCCCACATCGCTGCTAGTCTGCAGGCCACCAAAGCACGTCTCGCCGTCGTCCGTCACCGGCCCATAGTTGATGAAACGACCCGGGATCGTGATCGTGGCTTCGTCCGTCACTCCAAACGTGAAGTCCGGTGCCTCGGTCGAGCAGGGGAACACATACCCACCGTACGACTGGCTGTTGGTGGCGCCGCGAATCTGCCCGTAGTACGCCCGCAGGATCGAGTCGGGCACGTACATGAGCGTGGTGCCCGTGTCGGCAATGTTGGTGATGGACTGCGAGACAAAGGGCGAGGAGCCAACTTGGTAGCCCGTCGAGGTCCAGGTCCAGTAGCCCGGGTTGGTGTTGACAGGCACGTAGGTGATGTCGCCTGTGTGTTTGGCGGGGTCAATGAAGCCGAAGTCATAGGTACCGGCTGTTGAGAACGAAGGGTTGTCAGTAACGGAACAAAGATAAGCTCAGATCATCGACATGGTTGTTCGGATAGGGTCGCCGAAATCCGGTCAGATGGCGTGTCTCCGGTTTCGGAACCCCAGGTTGCTGGAGCTCCCTGAACTTCCCCATATTTCCCCGAGGGCTGGCGACGTGTGATCTAGTCCAGCCGAACCGATTCGAGTCAAACGAAAAAAGGGAAATCAACTTACAAGCTTCATACTTCAAATCCGCCGCAAACAACGGCTGGTCCAACTGGCCGATCGCATTCTCGAACCACGTCTTCTGCTGCCTCGGCCTGACGGTATTCAAGCTACCGAACGCCAACCCAACCAGCCCATCGATAGACGTCTCGGCCGTGAAGCTCTGGCTCACCTGCTGCGCCGTCTCGACTGCCTGGTTGCTAACCACCAAGCCTCCGATCGTCACCTTATCCAGATAGACCTGGCCCTTGGATGACGACCCGTCGCCATACGAAATATCCCAAGAGGCGCCGTTAAGCCGCTTGGCCGTGGATGACTTGCTGGGGTTGTAAATTTCGTGGCCGGCTCTCTGGCTGGAGGGAAGGGAGTTGGAGAAGACCCAGAGGTCCGAGGAGCCCGTGTCGAAGTCGAGGTTCAGGGTCTGCGCGGGGGTGCCGATGGAGACCGGGGTGATGTAGGCCGAGTCGGATTGGTCAATGGGGGCGGCGGTTGCGGAGCCTTGGTCTCTCCGGGCGTTGGCGGTCGTGTTGGCGTAGTTGTGGACTTCCTCGACTGAAATGCCGAGGTGGTTGGCGACGGCTTGGACGAGGTGGTCGGGCACGGGGGCGCCGTATTTCAGGTAGGTCTTGTAGACGGAGAGGGCGCCGTTGAACTTGTGGAAGCGGGGGTTCTTTTGCTGGGGCAGCGTGATTTTGCGGCCGCTGACTGGCAGGTCCGGCTCCCGAGCCTCGATGACGGTGCTGCCGATGCGCGGGGGCAGGGCAGCCCCAAGGCCGGCGGAGGCGAGGAGGGTGGTGAGAAGAAGGTTGGTGAGGGCGACCATGGTGACTAACGATGCTTGTGATACCTGGATCTCTACGGCGCTGAGGGCTGGCTGCTGAGTGTTTTCCTGGAGCGAGGGACCTCTCTGGTTTTATATGAAGATCATCACGAGGGAAGCGAGCGAAGAAGTCATATGAAAACCAGGAAAGAAGAACCTACCAAAAGAGGAAGGAGCACTTCTTGGAAGGTGACTGTGGTTGACTGCCGGGGTTCGAAGCTTATCTATGTGACCTCAACCTCAACATGATCCAGTCACGGAAGCTCCCTCTCACATGTGCCTTTCGGTCCGCACTTTCTTTAGTGTACCGCAATATCTCCAGGCACTCCGTCATGTCGAATTTATCCCCACGCTTTTCGGCGCCAATTACACCTCGAATAGAGACCTGCAGGCGGAAACCCCACGTAGCATCCAGACACAGCAAAACAAGGTAATTGGCTTGTATAGCGTGGGGATAAATCCGGACATGGGTGATATTCAGGGGTACCAAGCTTCTTGCCAGGACAAAGCCTGGAGAAACAAGTAACCGCTCGGTCAGTCCAGCCAACTACGGAGTACAACCCTCTAACCACCAGGGTATTACACGTGTGACTTGCAAAGAACTCTTTCTTCAGCACTCACTTTGAGGATAGCTCGATGGATAGGTGTGATGTAGGTATGTGGGACACTTGGCAATTATCCTCCTCTTTAATTCGGTTTGGACCAATAGGACCGCCCCAATCCCATCTCTTTGAAGTTGCAGGGTTTCGCGCTAACAAATTCTCAACCTAAGATTTGTCTGCAAAACACAATTTCCATGGTTCACACCGCCTCGGTTGAACACAAGAAACGGAACTAACGAATGGATTGAAAACCCCTGTACGTACATGATGCGAGCTGTTGAAGAAAGATGTCTCAGGGCGGGATGTGGGAGGGAGCTGCATACATACCTAGGCACGCTGTTAGAAGAGAAACCTAACCTCAGTCTAGACAGACATGAAGTCAACAAGTCTTGGTTGTTTCCCGAACGAGCGATTGGATAGCTGTGAGTGTTTCTCGCTTCCTGTAAAAGCCGCCTTGGCGGGATCCCTTTACGTCGCAGCCTGAGCCGCAATGTCATCTCTTGGCTGTCTCTTGGCTGTGAGGCTCTCGTTTACAATGAACGCCTGCAGGAATATAAGAGTGAGGTTACACATTCGCGCGTGTCTGAATCGACGACGGTTGAAGAATCGGCACTACAGTACACTTTGAATGAAGATGGTGGCGGCCTGCCGTGGCGGTACTTAGTGTCGGGATGAGTGGATGAAGGCGCCCGCCCGCGCCGTTTTCTGTCACGGTCATTTCTGCTGTCCATCAATCAATCAATCAATCGCCCACAGCGAGTCCTACACACCTTCTTTTTAGGAATGACTGCTAGCCATTCAACACCTGTCCGCGCCACCCTTCTTGACTGGCTTAGTTTGATTCGATGGCTTGCATGAAAAAAGTTGAATGATATGCCGATAATCACAATTGGCGAGGCACCTCCATTGCTTATCGTTGCCGCGTTCCGATTTGGTTGACTTGGTTGGTTTCAGTTGGTTGGTTGGCTGATTTGAGGCGAAAGACGTTACATGAATGACAGACGGCAATTAGAGCCATCAACCAACAACCCATGGACGATGGTCAGATGCACGACTTCAAGGTTACATGGAGGAGGTTACACAGCCGGAGAATGTCTTGATGAATACGTGATTTTGCGCAATGTCAGGATGTGGATGCCAGTGAGGATGCCCGTGCCATCGCCAGTCAACTAAGCTTCGTTGCCTTTCAGCGTCGAGCGGCTGAGCGCGCGAATTGTTGGCACGACTCCATCATCATCTGTGGCAGCACAGAAAAAGACAAAAACAAAAGTAGAGAGCAAGGCAGCAGGCATCAACGTGGTTGTCAACGGGGGTTCTTTCTGGTGTTCCTTCCAGGGTTTCGGAGTTGTGTTTCTAATCGAGACAGAGAAGACAGCAACCTACGAAGCTGAGGTGTGTTTGATCGAGGGAGGAACCAGGCGCGGGCAGCCATCGAGGCAGCTAAAGTCACGGTGTGCCCAGATAGAGTCACGGTATCTAAACCTAAAGGGGATGTCCCTTCATCCCGCCGTTATATACGCTGACCAGACCTCCAAAAAAATTCGGCGATTTGGCCTAGAATATTATTACATCGTTTGCGCTGGTACGAGATTGGAGTATCTACTTTTAGTAGCATTTAATGTAATCCTCGTTGTACCGTAGGTCGATTTATATTGGTGGTTTAAACCTGACGTTGTGAATTTAGTTCTTTCCAGTTATTAATTAAAAAAATGTACTATTTGTAGCCCTATGTCGGGACATCCCCTTTAGGCTTAGATACCGTGACTTTATCTGGGTACACCGTGACTTTAACTGTTTCGGCAGCCATGAACTGAACTGCCCAAACTGGACTGGACTGAACTGAATCTTCTCTTAACTAGAGGTACCTCAGCTATGCGGCTGGCGACAGAGGAGTCGGATAGACACAGAACTACCTCCACGCAGAAGTCAATGGAAAAGATTCGGCTCGGTCGGTGTCCTCCGAGAAGAGATTGACCGTGTCTTTTTTTTCTTTTCTTTTTTTGTTTCGGCAAGCGGCTTGAACTGGAAGGTGCATTGAACGTGGGTGGGCATGACTGACTCGCGTACCGGTCTCGCTTGAAGTTGAAGTGGGGGAAGGAGCAACGAGATGATTTGGATTGACGCCATCCGAAGTTCGCGCTTCAGTTCATCAAGGGCATCAACTCCCTCCTTCCTAATAAAAACAACATCATCTATCGATCCAATTGTTTGCGAAATCAGATCTAGATCCAACCGCCATGCCGCCAATCGCCTTACTCAGCCAGGCCCTCTTCCCTCATCTTTCGTTGCAAATCGGGTAAATGGCGCTTCATACTACCATGGTACTGTACGTACATACCACGACAGCGACCGATGCATGGATACCGCCTCCATAGTATTACCCTCTCAACACGTGGGGCTTTCTTTTTCCTTTTGCTCCGGTAGATCACCAGCGGACGATGGCGGTAGTCGGTATCAGCGCATGAATGATGACTGATGTCTGTATTAAAGTTGTGGTGGTCCGTGGAATGAGGCTTGCTTGTGTGGCTTGATCGGTGGCTTGACCATTGAAGTGCGAGTTGAACAAGTGAGATCATCGATATGATGATGCGCCGCGGTTGACAGGTTGAATGAAGATCTCGAATCTCGGCCCTTCCAAAGTTCCACCGGATCACTTGACGATCACGGCACCTACCTACTGTAGGTAGGTAGGTAGGTAGGTACACTACTAGAGGTAAGCTACATTAGAACTGCACTCCCAAATCACACCTATCTAACCTCTCTTATTCCCCCCGAGTCGTTATTCCCAAGCGACCGCTATGTACCTACCTGATCGAGCAGGTTCCTTCTTCCTCTACACAGCTGCCTAGTAAGAAGACGCCATTCGGAGACATTCTGTATCCCCTTATACCCGGGCGCCTTCCTCCCTCGAAAACGAACAATTGCGACATAAACTGGAGAGATACATAGCGCGAATCACGCAATCTATTCGCGACATTCTGAAAGTCCGACCGAGGAAGATACGTTGTCGATAGGATTCAGCGGGGTGTGGGCAAGCGGACGATCCCCAGTTTCGGTAGGCCGCCCGATACGCCTATGAGCCATGCTCATGTTCCCTACCCCTACCGGTCGGGGTGCAGATCATAATAAGTTGACTACACAATGAAGATGCTTTTAGTCCATTCTGATCGGTTGGCGATTGATAAATTGATAATTTCAGGTTGTCATGCCGACTAGACTAGGCTAGACCACCCCGCGGTTGCTGATCTTGAGGCCCGACTGGTTCGGTCGTGAGAGTGGCAGGTGTGAAGGAATTGGTTGATGTAAACGAATGGAAAGCAAATGTGGACCGTTCAAGTATTATACTATCGAGTGAACTACCTAGGTCATCTTTCAAAAAGTTGGAGTCGTGAACTGATGTTTGTGTGGTTCCATGTCGGTTCATAAAGAAAACGTGCCGCATTGTAGTAACTCGTTTGAAAGGTAGAAACATCCCGTGCTCACCTTTACCATCGGAGACCGAATGCCCACGGAAGCAGACGAAAAACAAAGGAACTATGCACATAGTTCAGAAAAACTGGAGAGAGAAAGAGAGAGAGAACCGAAGAAAGATGAAGAATAAATAAAAAAAAACTACAGCTACAAAAGCTGTAAAAAAAAAACGATATTTCGGTCTTTGCAACCTCCCTCGGTAAGGATCGAACTTACAGCCTCCAGATTAACAGTCTGACGCGCTAGCCAATTGCGCCACGAGGGAATTGAATTGCCAACCAATCCATGTTGTTGTTGGTTTCATGCGCCAAGTCATGCATCTATGTAGGCCACCATAAAAGACATCTTCCCAAGCTGCACCCATATGATAAGTGCCATTGCTCAATATATCAACATCTCGCAACACCCTTCTTCAGCCACCATAGGAATCTTTTTTTTTTCTCTCCCTTTCAACTTCATCCACAACTACCTACCTACCCACCTATCTAGTCATGCTCGCAATTGATCTGTTCCCTGCCTCCCTGCCTCCCTGCCTCCCTGCCTCCCTGCCTCCCTGCCTCCCTGCCTCCCTGCCTCCCTGCCTCCCTGCCTCCCTGCCTCCCTGGCGCTGCTGCTGCTGCTGCTGTCTTTGTTACTTACCCGATTGACTAGTAAACCAGCGACATTTCATTGCATACCAGTGTGGTGTGATCTGATGCTTAGGTATAGTAGGTACTCACCTTCAGCTGCCGCCGGTATCCTATCATCAGACACCCAACTAAGGAACACGATATCCAGGTAGGTAGGGGGAAAAAAAAAAGAAAAAGAAAAAAAAATAAAGGGCGCCAGGCCTGCCTGGTAATGGCTTTTCTTATTGTCACCTCTTTTATATTTCGCGGTCACCACCTAGTCAAATAAATCAGTGGAATGTTTCGGACGGACAGAAGAAGTGCTACCGCTAGAACAGAATACTTACTGTAGTACGTCCTAGACTTAGTCTACATGGTACGCATTCGAGGAGGCTTCTTCTTCTTCTTCTTCTTCTTCTTCTTCTTCTTCTTCTTCTTCTTCTTCTTCTTCTTCTTCTTCTTCTTTTTTTCGACAGCTACCATGACTGCTACAACGGGTATCGTGCAAACAACAATAAAGACTAGCACTAGCACTAGTGCTGGAGCGACAACAGCAACAACAACAACAACACAACAACATGGAACCCAGCTAGTGCGAACCCAGCTAGTACGAACGCAAACGCAAACGCTAAAAAAAAAAAAAGAAAACAGTAAACGGCTATCAACCCCCGCAGCAATCGGCATAGGTATAGGCATAGGCGTCTCCGCAGCCATCTTCTTTGCCATCGTCGTCGGTGCGGTTGCGTACTATAATAGGGTGTTTCGTGTGCGGCGGCGGCGGCAGAAATCGAAACGGGATAGGAGTGCGGGTGACAGCCATGTTACGGAACTTGAACCACCGCAGATTACGCATACTACTGGGTTTGATGGTGGTCCTGCTATGGGGGTTATGATGAATGAGAATGGGAACCAAAGAAAGGATTGGATATCTTTGAGGGGGAGTTGCCTGGTCATAAAGGACTGGGAAGGAAAGGGGGGTCGTCGGTTTTATGAGGTTGATGCACAGAATGACGGGTAGGGCCTTTGCGTGGGATGGATAGGTAGGTAAAGCGAGGAAGTAGTAGTTGGGGGGAGGGAGGGGGTGTAATGGGGAGGCCGGGTCGGGTCGGGTCGGGATATGTAGGGAAGGGAGGTTGTGAGGGGCAAAAGCGAAAAGATGAAGGGACATATACTAATTTTGGGAGGACGGATGAGTGAAAAAAGGAAAGAATGAGGTAGATAATGTAATACCAGAGGAACCGAGGTAGAATAACATGCTCTATTTTAGGGGGAGTTGAGAGTAAGTAGGATTAACTTGCAGCTTTGTATTGATGACCATCTGTAAGCCAGTTAGTCTTTATAAACAGCAAAGAGTATAAGAAGAAAGGTGTTTGGTACAGGTACCTTATTTCTGAGGGCCGATGCATTTGGGAAGGAAAGGGAAGGAGGCGAAACTGAAGAGCTGTGATAAAGAAACAAAAAAGAGGGAAAAAAGAACAAGGAGGGAAAAATAAACGAAAAACATACAACACCAGGGATTCGCTGGTCGTCACCGACCCAACTACTAGTCTGGCCCTCACTGGCTTATCTATGGGAGAGCGGACGGGATCCCGAGTTTTCCAGTGGGTATGGTCGTATGTGCTTTTTGTATCCTAACGTAGAGCTAATATTCAATGCTGTGTGTTTGGCTTCACTAACTCAGAAGTCCACTACGAGACTATAGGTGACCCCGACCACCATGGCACAATCAGAGCTACCACACACACACCATCTCCGTCAGATTCATGTCGATGCTGAGACTTTTTGCACCGTTTGCGCCCTAAGATCATGGCATGGCATGACATCCATTTTCACAACCTCATCAACCTACGCAATCTCCTACACCAACCTCAACAACGGCCACGTCCTCCTCCTCTCCCTCACCTCCCGCGCCGCAGCCTCCGCCTCTTCCACCGTCCTAAACCGTTCCGGCCACTCCACCCCCGGGATTACCCCCCGTTTACTCCTAAGCAAGAAAAACCCCATCCGTCTATAGGTCGGCAACCCGTCCATCATGTCCTCTCCCATCCCGGTCCCCAGCTTTTCCACCAAAAGCCCATGCATATACCTCGTCTGCCTCACTTCACCCAAGCCCACCAGCCTGACCATCAACACACCTACACTTTCTGGTCTTAGCGGGGTGAGTAGTGGCCGATCAAAGTAGATCCACCACGCCGACCGCCGCATAAGGCGAGCGTGGTGTTTGACGGTTCCCGAAGATTCGGATTTGGTGCGCCATTCGGCAAAGACTTGGGATAGGTCGATGGTTGTGATGCCGCTGTAGAGAAGGCCGCGGAGGATGAGGACAGAAGAGTCAAAGGCTGTGTAATCGGTGTATGTACCTTGTGGGTTGTAGTTGAGCGGCTTGATCTGTTCGATGACAATCATATCTTCGACTTTGTCGGTGGGTTGTGTGGTGAAGCAAATGCCAAAGCCGTGGTATGAGGGACAAGCGGCCCAGGACCAAGAGGGGTAGAGTTTGAGGACTTCGGTCGCGCGAGCATTGAATGAATTTTGTTGGGCATCTTCTTCGGGCCACCATTCGGGTTTGGGAATGGCATCGAGGTGGTAGGTGTCGCGACGCCAAAGGAGCTGGCGGATGAGGTCGCGCTTCCAGAGGCCGGCTATGCACCAGTCAATGTTTTGCTGGTGCTGAACTTGTTGGCTTGACTCTTGCTTTCTGGCTTCGGCTTCGACTTCGAATCGCTCCCAGAAGCGGTTGAAGACGCCTCTAAGAGCTACCAGCTTGTCGGACTGCTGCGTGAGCTGGGTGGTGGTGTAAATCTTGACAATCGTTTCCCATATCTCTGCGGGACTCATCGTCTCGCTAGCACTCTCCTTGCCCTTGGCAGAGGTGGTGATTAGGTCCGGGTGTTTAATGTTGTAGAACGCCTTGCCGAACGGAACCGACTCGGAAGCAAATTGCTCTCTACACTCCCAGTAGAGCTGTTGACCAAACTGAACTGTTCGCGCGGAAAGAAACCGCTCCTGATAGCACCATGCTCGTGTGTACAGCGGTGCATCCTGAATGTGCTCCCGCCAACTGCCGTCCTCCATACATCCCCAATGTTCTGTTGAGCCATCCTCAAGCGTGCGTGACAAAATGCAGGGCGAGGTAGCCGTGGGATAGCGGCTTACTTCTAGCCCATCCGCGTGCTTTCCTAGCACATTGGCGAGATTGAGATGGCCGTAGGAGTAGACATCCTGCATCATGGATGACTGGACTTTCCAATCTTCCAGGTCATCTTGGACAATACAAAGGGAGTCAATCCATACGTAACGAACGCCAAGGGCCCGACAAACGATCACAACGTCCTTATATACCTTAGGCCAGGCCTCTGTTGGAATCGCATGGCAGTAGGCGGCTCTGTTATGCTTCCTTAGACTGGTCTTTGATGTGTCCGCTGTCCACTGGTAACTCAGTGTGTTATACCGGACCTGGTCTACCCTGAAACCCTCCACTAGACAAATTGGTGAGTTATCATTGAGCCCGACATCGACCAGCCGCACCGTCTGTTCAAAGCCGAAAATGGAGTTCTTTCCGGGTGTTGCTGTCTTGCAGAGCTCATGCTTTTGAGTGCACTCGTCTACCCATCTCCGTAGCTGTTCGAAGGCGAGAGGGTCAAAGGTTGTGGCTGATGTTGGCTGAACGATGTCAACCTCCATGAGTCCAGCGTCCCCGATCCCTTCATAATGCCCTGGAGGATCAACCTCCTTGAAGACCCAGCGGCGTGGCCTGACATTTGGTTCCTCCGAACAGTTCCTGTCAGACAACAACACCGGGCGTGCTCTATAGAAGATTAAACCCCGTAGTTGCATGCCCATCCACCTACGCTCCCCCATTGCCGTCAATTTCAAAGAAATAGACCGAAGGTGTTGGTTTGAATCATGCTGGGCGGCGTGAAGCGAAACGCTGTACCGAAATCCCTTGTTGAGATCAAACCACGCAGGGTAGTCCTGCCGGTTAAACTTTAGAGATCCAGGCAATATACATTCCAAGAGAGCTCTGCATAGATGACACCCGGTAGAAGTTGCTGAAGCGTCGAGCTCCTCGACGCTAGGTTCGCGCACATCTCCTTTGGAGTCCACAAATTTGCCGATTGTATCTCCGTCCCATGGCCATCGTCCGGAGGGAGGAAAGAGGTGTCCGCAATCTGGGCAAAGCTTGTTGACCTCTTTTGGCCAAAGCCCGGAGGTCATGATCGTAGATTGTATCGAGAAACAGCTTGGGGATCGAGGGGTTTGGTGACGTATGCTAGCGCGGAACATTTTCTGACACAAAGCCACCCGGTAGTATTCGCTTCCAGGAGCTATACTCTGATAGGATTAGATCTTTCTGTAGATCTTTGGCTTACATGGTGCCAAGCGATGAGTGTAAGCCGAGAAGTATATGCCGAGAGGCACAATTTTGATAAGGGGGTCGCTGTCTCGTTGATGTCGATTGTCAACTGCACGGCTTCTTCAGTTGCTCGTCGCAGTGAGGATCATGGTGTTTCTTTAACCATCATAGCCCCATTAGAACACGAGAACACGGGGTTGAGGTAGAGGGGCCCAACCGAGGTTATCGGATTGCGTGAATTGGATTTCTGTTGCCGCCGTAGATGTAGGAGACCCGGCCATGGGGGCGATGAATGTTGCGAGACATGGGGAATGTCGAGGAGATGCGAAGGCAATGTAGGAGAATAGCCAACAGCGAGGATCATGTTTGGATGCCAGGAGAAAGAAGTTCTTGCGGTGCGAGGGATGGCTCCCTTCTGTCCTGCTCGTGACCAACCAAAGGTCAAAATGCACGGGGTCTGGGGGTTGCACGACCAAAAGGCAAGAGCGAGGAAGCAAAGTTCGAGGGAACGCAACTTGTGCCCTAACACAGCATTCACGCAAGAGCCAAACTTAAGCACTTTTGCTTTGGTGTCACGAACCAGGTGCCGCTGGGGTTGGAGAATCCTGGGACCAAGCATCTGGAGCTCCAGCAAGAAGGCTGATTCAAGAAATGTGGCAGGGGCCCGCTGAGCTTCAACTTCATCCGCGTAGGTGATGCCATCGGTCGTGAAATTAATAGGTGATTGAAAGGAAAGTAACACACAGCGTGGGCATAAGAATAAATCCCAGCTTGAGGAATCTTAGTCAAGGTCCTATAGGACATTGTCAGCGTCGTCGTGATGATTGTGTTGTCGCTGAAGTCAAGAGTGGACCCTCGAGCTTCCTTGAGGACTATCAGCAGGCACATCCGTAGGTACCGCTTGGCAATCCAAGAAAAAAGTGCAGGCGGCGGCAAGCGGCATCGCGAATCTGAGTTCCCAGCCGGCCGGCAGCGCAAAATCTCTGAACCTTCAAGTGATGGCAGCCCGCTCCAAACGTGTCGCATCGCAAACTTTGCCCTGGCAGACACAACCACTCATTCACCAGACACCCCAAGTTCGCAAAACATTCCATATCTTCTTTGCGTCCCAAGCTGTGGAAGCCCAAGAGCACAATGAAAAAAAAAAGTGTGATGTAGGCCGGTCAGACTTCCATCGAAACCCACCCCGCCCAAGCGCCCGAAGGCAGACCTTGAGAAAAAAATCGGGGTACAGATCATCGCCACTCTCTATACAATCTACTTATAAAGCAGATCGCCACCTTTGCAGGCAGGACGAGAGTAAAAAATAAAAGGACCTCACTGTTGGGAAACGAGGATATAATTCATCAACCCGGGTGGGATCTGTGGCTCCTTTAGGGAACACAAAAGAGGACAAATACTATAGAAATGATTCTCCTGTTGGTGGGTAATGTGGTTAGCGTCATAGGTACGTTGCCAAAGAGCATCAATCTCCCTGGAGGAGAGCAGAGCCCAATAGTAGTTAGGGGGGTACTCACTGAAGTATTGTCGACATGAAGAAAAAAAAAAAGAAAAAAAGGGCCAAAATCCAGGCGGGGAGGAGGATGTTTTATACCCTTCCAGATACCCTTCGCTGGTCTGTGCACATGTGCAAATCTGGGGGTCCACTAGGGGACTTTCTAGTGGGTCAGCCTTACAAAATCTGCCGGATCGGGTTCCAGAAGTGCAAAAGAAGGTGGACCACCTGGTTTCTGCCAGGCCACTCCGCCAAAATTTCTCACGATGCCGTTTGCGACACCAGGTTCTGCTCCTCGACAACATGGAATTGTGGCATGAAAAGGCGGCAATGAGAGAATACAGTGCGGTTTCTGTTTGTTTTGATGAGCATGTAACTCTGCGAGTCCATCAACATTATCTGGCGCAGTTTTTAGGCGATCTGAAAACCTCCCGAGATGGCCATGTCCGTAGCCTTCGCGGCAATAAGCACTTGTTGGCACAACAACACCAGCGCATTCCTACAGAGGGCCTGTGATGGCGCAAACATCATTGAATGGCTGGACTCGCCACGCGGTACTCAAAATCCGGAAAGATTAGTCGGTCTTGAAAGGGATATATAATCGATCTACTCAAGTCTCTTCTACCATCCTGTCTTACCATGATGACTTTCAAGACCATCAACATCTAATCAACATGCCCCCGGCTTCACATCAACAACATACAACCTCTCCCCCTCAATCCACTTCCCAACCTCAGGCGACACCAACCTCCTCAACTTCTCCCACTCCTCCCTCTCCGCCGCCTTTCTCGCATACGTACTACTCACAATCTCCTCCCCATCCCTCCTCCCCTCCACCAGCTCAATCCTCTCGGCCCACTCCTTACTCCCCCCAATCTTCGCCAGCCCCTCCTCACTCAACAAGCTCTCCAGATACGCCATCTGCTCCTGCTTACCCCCCCACTCATCATTCGTCCGCAGCGTCACCCTTAACTTGGCCCGCTTGAACATCGGATCCAGCGCTTGCTGTATCGGTGACCCCTTCCGGCTTTGATCATGCGCGTGCGCCGTGACCTGCGTGGCAGGGCCGTAGTACTTTGGATCAAAGATACGGATCAACGTGTCAAAGCCTACCAAGATGACTTGTTCCATTGTATCCTCCTCTCCCTCTTCTTGTGGTGGTTTGTAAAACTCGGACTCAGCTATCACCCGGCTCTTTTCGTGGAAGTAGGGTTTCGATGTTAGACCGATATCGACGCTGATATCTACTGGTAGTCCTTGCTTTTGTTGTTCTTCCTCCGTCGCCTCCAATTGACTACTATCGTGGATTTGCGGCTTCTCTGGTTTTGGTCCCGGACCGGAAGCTGGCGACACCTCGTTGGTACTTTCGCCCGCTTCCCCTCTTAGAGCCCGTTGTACGTCGTGAGCAAAGGCCCACATCATGGCTAGTCGCTGGTCAAAGGCCGCTGGCTTGGGCGCCTTGTCGGCGTTGACGACTGCTAGGAGGAGAAGGAGTCGTAACCCGCTCATGTCCTTTTCATCTTCTCCCTTTCTCTTCTTCTTGATGACATCGTGCACTGCCGAGGTAGCCATGCGCAGATGCGCCAGTGTAGGCGGGTTGAAGCTCGAGTCCAGCACGATCAGAGTGTGCGGTCGCTTCGTCGGTGGGATCGGTACTGGAGATTGTGGATGAAGGAGTTTCCCTTGTGCGTCGTGGGCAGCAGCGGCGGAAGCGGAAGCATTACTGCTACTTGCTGGAGGGGCTGTGCAGACAACTTGAAAGTTTTGCGGCGAGTCAGTGGAGGATTGGAACGCGGAGAGGGCGCGGGAGAAGAAGTCGGTTAGATGACGGCGGGAGGTGGCGCTGCGGAGGAGGAGGGATTGCGAGCGTTCGAGCATGTCGTCGTGGGGCATCGTTGTCGGTTTGTTATCGGCTACAGTTTGACATTGAAGGCACAGCGTCAATGTACTTTGGAGCAGTGTTCGCGTGAATAGAGTTGATGTTTGTCGGATGATAGGTACCTCTAGATGTTGATGACGACGAGCGGGAGGTTGCCGGTGGATGGTGTGACAAATACCACCCCACTGTGGGGGGATTGCGGGGGAGCTTGGAGCTACGTACCCCTGAAATGAGGTCCAAGGATCCCTGAAGCTCATCAGCAAGCAAGCTGCCTTGTGCAACCTCAACTGAGGTGCCCTCGGCATTGGGAGGATGTCCATCCATCGCATAGATTTGTTGTCAGGGGCCGGGGCCTCTTCAATGTGGAGAGCGGGTGTAAAAAGGCCGAGCATGCTTGCTCCTTGCTTGGTCGCTCCACCCGGTGAAGACTGTATCACTGAATATCAAGCATCGCGTTGAGATCTTTGCTCGTGTGTTCTCGTTCGGGCGCCAAGATTCTCGATATGTCTTGTATTGGGTGTCGCATTGGCCATGGTAGCGTCGGGCTCCGGCGCTCGGCTGAAGGCTAGGGGTGCGGAATCTGTGATGAGAGATGAAGTGGGGACACCTAGGGAGGAGGAAGAGGGAGTTGGGTTACAGTAATAGGCCAACGTCTGGAGACAACTAAGAGAGAGTAATATATTATTTTTATTATCATCCCTGAACCTCAACCGCTCTTGGAAGCGGTAGCTTGACATCTTGCCTTGTGCTGTTTGTAATGAGCGACCTGGCACGCCCGCCCACAATACGCAACGGCTTTGCACCTTCCGCACAAACTCAACTGCGCAGAACCCTTTCCGCAATTTGCGCATCGATTCCTCACATTGCCACTTCCGCTCTCCACTGCCGATAGCAACTCCTCCGCTCTCTTTCTCGCCAATCTCAACACCCGCTGTTCGCCCAAGCTAACGTGCGCCGCAGCCCATGCGTTCCCTCCCGGAGAATAGACACCTTCCGCAAGTTGTTGTTCCAGCTTTTCCAGCGGCGTTCCGAAACTATCTAGAAGATAACTAAAGGATTCCACTAGGAACCGCAGGATTTCTACTTCGTTCGAATCGCTGATTTTCCCATCTGTAGCATCGGTTTGCTGGCGCGCTATGACAGCGAGACCCGAAGCGTCCAATCGCTGGATACGGAGATATCGAAGGACCTTTTTCGGTAGCGGATCGGTGAGAGTGAGGGGGATGGTAGCGGTCGAATCAAGTCCAGCCGATACCCAGAGCTTCTGCTTTTGTTCGAAAAATGGCGCCTGAGGGTGCGTTGAAAGAACGAGGTCGTAGCTGTCGTTGGGATTACCGGGAATGACAAAGCCATAGAGACGTAAAAGGCGACTATTCGGGACCGGTCCGTAGTTGATAAATACCTGATCTCCGGCTTCGTAATCTTTTCCTGCAAGGACAGAGAGGTTTCCAGATGAGGGATCGTAGACATGACACTGCTTGACCTCGGACGTGTGGTTCAACATGTCCGCGAAGGGCGCCAAAAGTCGAATCGAATTCCCATCGGCCAGGACGAAGTCCATCGCACGACTCCACACGGTGCAAAGAGCCCACTTGTACTAAAACCAAGGGAAGAATGAGCGTTAGCGGTTAATTTGCAACATCTTGTTACACGCGTGTAGACCTACATCTTCCACGGTGAATTTGTCTAGTGGAAAAAGATCCGGGTGCTGTACAAACAACCGCACAACCAAGGCCCTGTGATCATCTTCAATTGATTGCTCCAGCTGCTTCGTAATAGTGTACAGGGAAGTTCCAACGCAAGCTTCCAAATCATCTTCCGCAAAGAGGATGCTTGAAGAGTAGCTCGTAGGCAACGCTGCTACATGGCTTCGCTGGCCATCGTATCCCGACTCGCGAGATTTCACAAAGAGAATGTACGTAGCCAAGGTGTCTTCGACAGACAAGGGCGGTTGCGCAGAGCGCAGGGCTGGTCCAAGAAGGGGATCAGCGTATGCATGTTTGACCGTCCAGAGAATGCCTGCTGGAATGGTGAGAATCTTTTCTCCTTCCTTGAAAGGCCGTAGTGTTTTGACGCCGCGCCCGGTGTCTGGGAAGTCGGCAAGCTCCAGGCTGTCCAGGCCTACCGCTCCAGATTGTTTCAGCCAGCTGTTCATGTTCGAAATGGGTCGAGAGAGAATGGGCGTGAAGAAGCAAGGGCGACCTGGGAGAGAACTGTCAATTCGCAGCCCTATGCCAGATGACGCATGGGCTTATTTTTCAAAGATGCGATGACCTAGTCTCAGTTCTCAGACCCACTCAACCTCCAAAACCCACCCCACCCACGACCCCATCCCCTGTTTTTGCGGTAGCAGGTCTGAGCGTGTTTTGGTTTTTTTGGCCGTCGGCTGCAGAATAGTAACCAAGTATTATTATACATTATAAGTTGAATGAAATTAATAGAAATTGATAAAAATACTTTTCATATAGAGCCTTTTATTTAGATTCTAATAGTAGTCTTAGTTTTCTTCTACGGCTAATATTCATCGAAATGCAAGGCTTTGAACTTTCAAGCTTTTACCCTCTCGACCGGGAACAGTATGATCATAGTATGGGAATTCTAATAACAACCCTGTTTCCTTCTAGTTTAGGTCTGCTTTTGTTCTCCCGTCTACATCACGAGGGTTCCTTGCGGGAGCCATCTCGATCGAAATGGACCTGTGCCTCTTGACGCCTCTTCTCACTTGAGCCCTTTTTCTAGACACCATCGATGCACTCTGACACCAAGCTCCATACCATAACTCCAATGCCGTATGCCTTTAGACGCCTCCCAACTCCAAGCTTTATGCAAGGGGTCAATATGAAATGCCGCCAATAACCGAAACAAAGCTCGACCAAAAACACTCCACCGTTTCGATGAACCGAAGCAACAAGCCGCCTTTCCAGCCAAGATATTCCCATACTAAACGCCTTGCTGGGCCAAAACCACAATCCAGTCCGAACCAAAGCCATGGTCTCTGGCGCGTCCCTGTTCAACGAATCACCGGATCCCGCATAAAATCAGGAAGATCCGAAAACCCTCCCTCACCAGGCCGATACCTGCTCCTGCTTCCCGCCTCCGCCGATTCAGTCTCACGGTCAATATGCCGCAGCAACTCCAATAGACTTGCTTCGTCGTAGTCGTTTTCTTCTGTGTTGTTGTTTGCCAAAGCCGCAGCCTCGATTCGCTCAGCCTCTTCATCAATCCTCACTCCCATTTCGTGGATCGCATCGCCTCCAGCAGCCACCGCACCGCCGACCGTGTTCTCGTCAATAGCAAAGATCTTGATGCCGCGGATGTGCGTGTCCTTGCCGTTTTGGTGATTCTCTTTGATGTGGGCCTGGACGATCCAGCAGCAGAGCGAGTGGCCGTCGGGACCGCCGCCGCAGTTGGCGATGGGCACGTCTTGCCAGCCCACGGGGTTGGTGAGTTTGACATCTGCGAACTCGATGAGGTCGTGGTGCCCGGTGCCGGCGTACCAAACGATGTTGGTGGGCGTGTAGGATTCGTCGAGGTTGTAGTCGACGTAGAATCTGATGGCCCTGATCTCGACGCGGCGGAGGAAGTGGATGGTCAGGAGGTGGGGTTGCTGGCCGTCGGATCTAAGACGAAGCGTTAGCTAGGAAGGAGCGAACGAAGTAGAGGGGTTACTGACTGCCAGTATTTGTCGAGGTCCTCTGTAAGGAGCTCCTCGACGCCATTTCCGGGCTTGTGGCTGGAGACGCCGAAGTGGGCGAGATTGTTGATCTCTCGGAGGCCAATGGCGGAGGGATCGAACATTGAGTGTTGGAGCTGCTCGGTTTCCTCGTGATCTTCATCAGGCTCAATTCTGTTGCCGTCCTCGTCGAATCCAAATTCGTCTCCATGTTCGTCGACGCCGTTGTGCTCGTCCTCTTGGCGGTCATCAGCCCCTTGCATGCCCTCGTCCAAGGCCTCGTGAAAGTCATCGCCCTCAAGATCATTATTGTTGTTATCATGATCCTCATCTTGAAGCTCAATGTCACTCGCCGGACCGTCACCCACAGGACTAGGGAAGTCCTCGTCGTCAGACTGTTCTTCCTGTATGCGCTGAGCTCGCGCGGATTGTGCTGGAGCAGCCCAGGTACCGTTAGTGACTGCAAATATTTCCCCAATATCGTAGATGCCGTAGTAGAGGCCTTCGTGAACCTCGTCGACGTTTTCTTGGTCTAGGGTAATGGGAGCGCGTTTGGTAAGAGGTCTGGGAGAGTTCAGATCTTGTCCAGCAAGCTCGCCCAACACTCGTCGCCGCTTGCGCGTGTGGTGGTATGGCGAAGATGGAGGCATTGCGAATGTGATAGCGAAGTGATTGTGCCAAGACGTGAAGAAGGAAAAGCAGGTGGAAGTTGGCCGAGTAATAAAATAGTTGACGAGGAGGAGTTGGAGGTCAGATTGGTGAGAGAAAGATAAGAGAAGAGATGATATTTAGGAAGACAGAAAAGCGGTAGTTGATTCGAGATGATGAAGGTGACGAAGGAAGAGTCAAGGAGAGAAGGGAGGGGTTGGAGGGGAGGAGGTGAGATTTGGTAAATGGAAAAACATCGGAGGGGTAGTAAACCTGGAGGCACTGCTCAGAAGGAGAAAAGAAGAGGGCAAAGTGAAATCAAGGTTCTTGTCAGGTTTGAAGGTGAAGATTACATGCATGAAGGTTGATGTGAAGGTGGTTGGAGATATCGCGAATTCATCCCAAAGGATGCCCCATACTGCAAGCCATAGCGGCGGTAAACAGACGGGACCAATCGCACAGCGAGCAGCTGCTGAGATGGGATGAAAGTGTGGAAGAGCTCAACAGGTGAAGGTCGTGCCAAAGTAAAAGAAGACATTCAGACATGATAAATCGGCCGTCTGGAAGTACAAGGCCAACATGAACCACGGTTCAGGTCGTGTGAGTGATAGTGCAAGGACGGGCCAGCGTCTAAGTGAAGCGAGGTGGGGCTCCAAAAAGGGGAAATGGACACAAGGGCCTTCGAAAGTAAACAAAGACCAAGGCCCCGGCTTGGACTGGGCGAGATACCATGGGACTAGAAGATATTGAATGAATCTATATAACAACTTACGAGGCATCGCGGAAGACTGTTCCCTTGGATGGACAGGTGTAGATGTTGAAGAAGGTTGTGGCTCAGGTGTAAATCCAGAACCAACTGATCGCAGGGCAGCTCGCCGGGCTTCTTCAAGAGCCGCAGCCTGTGATGATCGAGTCGTCCGTTGGGGGGTCTGCTGGGGCTGCTCGAATCGCAGTCGTTGCCGGGCACGACGAGGACCTCTTGTGACGTTGACCAGGTCCGCCAGGTTGGTTGGCGGTGTTTCGTCCATTTTATTGAAGTGGAAGGAAGTTTTCCGCCTCCAGGTTCTCCCTTTGCGGTTCCGTTGCCTGGCGCAATGTCTTGGAAAAGTTGAGGCAAGTTCCGTTCGTTTGCTGTTTGCGCTGGAAATTGTTATGGTTCAGTTGTGTTGGCGGGCAAGCACTACCACTGTGTACTGGTAGAGTAGAATAGGAAGGGCAGTTGCCATTTAGTGAAGTTTGTCCCTGGCATAATGCTCTAGGACAGCCATGTGCTGATAGACAGAAACGCACAGACCTTGTACCCAGACCGAGCTCATTTATCTAAGAAATGCTGCCTGCTTCCATGTGACCTCGTGAAAGTCAACGCGTCAACCAACGCGCGACCCGCTCGTCTTCCATCCGCGCCTCCTAATTTCAAACTCGTCGATTGATCAGTTGGTCTGGTATGAAAAGCTAGTGATATATTAAAAAAAAAAAAAGAATCTGCAAAGATGCCGAGATCAGGTAAGGTTTATGCCCATGAGGGAGAACGAAGTCTCTTGCCACACGTTTGCTAACAGGCGACCAGAGGCGGACACGATCCGCATCCTCGTCTCAACCGATAACCACGTCGGTTACGCAGAGCGCCACCCCGTCCGCAAGGATGACAGTTGGCGCACCTTTGACGAGATTATGCAAATAGCAAAGAAGCAGGACGTCGACATGGTCCTGCTGGGTGGTGATCTCTTCCATGAAAACAAACCCTCGCGCAAATCCATGTACCAGGTCATGCGCTCTCTTCGCAAACACTGCCTCGGCATGAAGCCATGCGAACTCGAGTTTCTCAGTGACGCTGCCGAAGTCTTCGAAGGAGCCTTTCCCTTTGTCAACTACGAGGATCCCGACATCAATATCGCTATTCCCGTCTTCTCGATCCACGGCAACCACGACGATCCAAGCGGCGATGGCCACTACTGCTCCCTTGACCTACTCCAAGCCGCCGGTCTCGTCAATTACTTTGGTCGTGTACCCGAGGCAGACAATATTCATGTCAAGCCCATCTTGTTGCAGAAGGGAAGGACAAAGATGGCTTTGTACGGATTGAGCAACGTTCGTGATGAGCGCATGCACAGGACTTTTAGAGACAACAAAGTAAGGTTCTACCGCCCGAACCAGCAGAAAAACGACTGGTTCAATCTTTTGGCTCTTCACCAGAACCACTACGCACACACCCGTACCAGCTATGTTGCCGAGAATATGCTTCCCGATTTCATGGACTTGGTCATCTGGGGCCATGAACACGAGTGTCTTATCGATCCCGTCCGAAATCCAGAGACCGGATTCCACGTCATGCAACCGGGGTCCTCAGTGGCCACATCACTAGTTCCAGGCGAAGCAGTCCCAAAGCATGTCGCCATTCTCAACATCACCGGCAAGAAGTTCGAAGTCGAGAAGATCCCCCTCAAGACAGTCCGCCCTTTTGTTACAAGAGAGATTGTTCTAGCCTCAGATAAGCGCTTCAAGGGCCTGGACAAACAGAACAACCGTCATGAGATTACCAAGCGACTGATGGTGATTGTTAATGAAATGATTGAAGAAGCCAATGCGGAGTGGCGCGCTGTTCACGCAGAGGACGACGACATGGACGAGGATATGGAGCCACCTTTGCCGCTTGTACGCCTAAAGGTCGATTACACAGCACCGGATGGGGCCAAGTACGAAGTCGAGAACCCGCATCGATTCTCCAATAGATTTACGGGAAAAGCTGCCAACCATAATGATGTTGTCCGCTTTCACTGTAATACCAAAGGAACAAGTAAGTTGAGAGAATTGTGTGATCAGCAACACTATGACACTGACCATATACAGAGAACGTTGCAACTGCGCCAGGCGTGCGTGAGGACATCGCTGAGATACTTGAGTCAGCCGATACCATCAAGGTCGACAACTTGGTTCAAGAGTTCTTTGCCCAACAGTCCCTCAAGATCTTGCCGCAAGCACCATTCAGCGATGCGGTCAACCAGTTCGTTAGTAAGGACGATAAGCACGCTGTCGAAATGTTCGTCATCGAGTCACTCTCCACCCAAGTGAAGGAGCTCCTTCAGCTCGACGATGACAAGATTGTCGATCTTGACGCGCATATTCAAGATTTTAGACAAGTTATGGAGAAGAGTTTCGACTCTGGTCAGCACAAGCAAGCCCAGCGCACAAAGCGATTCAAGCGGAAGCCTGACGGCTGGGATTCCGATTTGGACGGCCACTGGATCAACCAGCCACAAGCGCTCGAAGACATTCCAGCCGAAGTCGAACCGAAAGGAGACGGTAGACCGACCAAGAGAGTGCCTACGTCTGGCGTCACTTTCAGCGACGAAGATGAGGATATGGACATAGACAACCAACCCGTTCCGATTAGAGCGGCGCCAAAACGGGGAGCAGCGGCCAAAACCGCAGCAGCAGCCAAGAAAGCAGCACCTGCCAAGAAGGCCGCACCGGCAAAAAAGGCTGCACCAGCGAAGAAGGCACCTGCAAGGGGACGCAAGAAGAAAACTCCGTTTGTAGATAGCGATGAAGAAGAGGAAGAGGACTACCCAGAGGATGACGACGGAGAGGAGGAGGAGGAGGAGGAGGAGGAGGAGGAGGAGGATGAGGAGGAGGAAGACGTGATCATGGAGGATGACGAAGAAGACCCGCCAGCGCCACCACCGAAGCCCAAGGCCACATCAAGGGTCGCATCTACCCGTGCCTCTGCTCGTGCTACTCCTGTTCGAGCCACACCAGCTCGAGCCACACAAGCTCGGGCTGCGCCTGCGAAGGCTACCCAAACCCGGACTACTCGCGCGGCGGCTGGGATGAAGCAGACAACACTTAACTTTTCACAGTCTCAGAGGGCAAAGGGCTCACAGCAGCAGACGATTGAGATCAGTGATGATGAGATCTCGGATGACGATGATGCGTTTGAGTCGATGCCCGCAAGTCGCAGTCGTCGAAGGTAATTAGGTTGATATGGATGAAGTTATAGTATGGGTATACTTGCTTCAGATATCTTGGAGCAGGTTGATTTGTGTTCTGTATTAAGGTTTGGGATGGGCAAGTCTTCGCCCATGGTTGTAAAGGAATCGAATCTCGAGGTCAAGCGTGAAACCACGAGCCATATCAACATAGAAATGTGCCGCGAACTTGAGAACAAAGGTATACGATGGTCTACATCATGTTTGAGATGGTTGTATTACAGTAAATAAGAATAACACAAAAAAATTCAAAGCCGTCAAACCACTCATTTGAGGTTGAGTCAAGCACATGTGTAGATGTTCTTACACCAGTCACCATACCATCAACCATGCGAGTGGCCCGAGCTCCCTTGTATAAGAGCCACCCAGGGGAACTTCCAACCTCCAACCTGCAACATCATCCCATTCCTTCCAACCTTCTCAACAAAGCACCATCCATTTCAGTCGTGCTTTCGAACAACTGGGATCGTAACCTTCCGGTTCTTTGAAACTTCCATTTCCACCAGAATTCCTACGCATTTTCGTGCTTGTTTGTCTCCATATCGGTATAATCAGTCACGTGATCCACGCGTCAGTGGCGGCCCGCCCTGGAACCGATCACGTCTCCCGTCGGAACCTGCAACTACCAATTCAACATTGTCGCTTTTCGCGAACCTGATTTCCTGAAGCCTTCATCTAAAGAGGCTGAGCGTTTATCGGAAATCATGTCAACAATTCCACCACCACAAGGCAACGGCCTTCCCTCACAGCCACCGGCTGGAGCAACAGCACCCGCTGCCGCCGCGGCGCCAGCAGCAGCCGATGTCGCGACAACGGAGGAGCAAGCCGCGGCCGACGGCGCAACAACAGCAGCAGCAGCAGGAGGTGACGCGACAGCCAACACCACCACCACCACTACAGCGCCCGCCGCCGCTAACGACGATGAACGACCAAACATGGACATCCCCTCGCTACCGGAACCCAAGCTTCCCACGCGCAAGGACGTCTCTCTCAAGGAGCTTCTGTCCAAGATGGATGAATACGCGCCTATCGTACGTCATCGACTTAGCCCACTCCTCATCCTCCTCCCCCTCCTGCCCCCCTCCCTTCCCTTCTTCCCTTGATCTTCATTCATCCATTACCTAATATCCTATATCATAACTTGCTAACTCTCGAACTCGTTGTACAACAGATACCAGATGCAGTAACCTCCTACTACATGACTCGCGCCGGCCTTCCTCCCCCGCCACAGACCGATCAACGTCTGGCCCGTCTGCTCGCCTTGGCAACCCAAAAATTTATTGCCGACATCGCCGCTGACGCCTACCAGTATTCCCGCATTAGGGCATCCAACACCAACGCGAACAACCCCATGGGCAGTCTGGGCGCCGCGGCGGGGTTCCCTATTCCTGGACAACCGACCAATCAGGCGGCGGGGGCGAAGGATCAGGGCAGAGGTGGACCGCTCGGTATCCAGAGGCCGGGGTATGGTGGTGGTGGACAGGGTGGCAGCCAGAATAGGACGGTGCTGACGATGGAGGATTTGGGTATGGCGGCAGGGGAGTTTGGGGTTAATGTGAAGAGGAGTGAGTTTTATCGCTAGGTGGAGGGGCAGTCACGGTGCAGAAATGTCTGCTCTACTGGTGAGAAGGGAGGGGGGGGGGGGGACGGTGGGTGGTTTGCCTGAGTGTGAGGAATGGTGGCATGGCAGACCGAAGGATGATACTATCTTAACGGGGCAACAAGTGGTTACTTGCTTAAGGAGGAGGATATCAAGAGGATGATGCATCGATGGATGGATGGGCAAAGGGTCGGCAATCAAGGGTCCAGCACGGGAACGGTGCAAAAGGGGTTTGGGGTCATCGGGTCTTCTTTTCTTTTTCTTTTTTTTTTTTTTCTTTTTTTCTTTTTTTTTTTGCGCTTGGCGTTCAGGAGGCGCCGTTATGGAAGATTGCCATCGTCCTGTCTGCTCTGTTAACCCGTTTTATGACTACTAGTCTAGGCTAAAAATAATAATACCTGGCGAAAGCATATTTTCATCAATTACAAGGCATAATCAGACTACACACAACATATACATGGTCATATTGACAACAGACACAGCACAGTAGTATAAACCAAGCGATAGTTCTAATTTGCCCAAAATATGATATGTGTACAGAAACCTGTGCCCTCCTCTGACAATGGTATGGTATGATACAGATAAGCAACGAAAATATGCTTTTTTGTTTTTTGCCGAAATAAACGCCGCCCACAGAAAAACGTGTCAAACCCGCATCCATCAATCAATCGACTTCTTCTTCTCTTTTCTTCTTCTTCTTCTTCACTGAAGAGACGAAGAAGTTGGTTTGTCTATTTCTTCTTACCCCAGATGAAGGGCTTGCGTGTACTGTTTGAGGTTTTGAACCATTCAGTTAGTGTCCAATTGCTCATGTCCATATGCCCAATGTGTCTTTTGTGTTGTTTGTTTTCTGACCACACCACCGCCTACGATCATCATCCCGTGGCGTCCAACACATGTCGCCCGTCCAGCCATTCATGGCTTGCCACCAGCCAATGCCATGCCCATGCCGTGTCAGACCATTGAATTTTGTATGAGAATTTTTTTTTTTTTTTTTTTTTTCTCACACCGCTAACATTTATAGCATTTCCGCCGCCCCTCCAAAAAAGAAAAAAAAGAAAAAGACGCTTTAGAAAAATGATATATTGAAATGAATAAAATAATAATCGAAGAAGAAAAAGAAAAGAAAAAGTAGACTAGTGAAAGTAGGGGAAGAGGAAAAAAAAAAAAAAAAAAAAAAAAAAAAAAAAAAAAAAAAAAAAAAAAAAAAAAAAAGAGCGCTTACGCAGAAAACTCTCCAAGCTTGTGCCCCACCATCTCCTCGGTGACAGTCAAGTCAATGTAGTCCTTGCCGTTGTGTACCTGGAACTTGAGGCCGACAAAGTTGGGCAGGATGGTGGCGGACCGGGCCTGGGTGCGGATGGGAGCGATCTTTTTGCCGGGCTCAGGGCGCTGGATGGGGAGACTGTTTTGTGTGTATGAGTTGGTGGTTAGTAGTGTCCGTTTGCGCGCAAGGTAGGTAGGTACGGTTGCGGGTTTGCGGTTGGATTGGGTTGGACTGCGTTGGTTCGCGGATGGGGAGAATGTCGCGGGATGGGCTCGTAGAGAATGGTGGGAATGCGCCGGTCGCGTTGATCGGGACTAGGAAGGGGAGAGAGTCCTCGGGAGTGCGCCGGAGTGCGCCGGCACATTGAATTGCCGTCGTCGTCGTCGTCGTCGTCGTCGAGATCGTGGGGACAAAAACGAGGGGGAGGGGTAGTAGAGCTTACGGGACAATGTGCGGACCTGGAGTCGGCGGTACAGGTTAGCTTGACTGTCTTGGACGGCGCATAGAGTACAGTATCGCAAGGTGAAGCTCGGGAGACAAAGACAAAGACAGAATAACGTACCCTTCCACACGGATCTCTTGAAAAGAACCCTTGTCGGCTGCATGTTGGGCGACGAACGAGGAGGAATTCGGCGGTGATGGGGGGTGGCTGCAAATGACGGGAAGAGGCCGGGCGCGTACGCGACACTCGGATGGTCTTGAGATCAATCGGTCGGTCGGTCAGTCGGTCGGCGAGTCCGGCAGGCGGCAGGCGGAGCGGTTCCAGGTATCACGGCGACGGCGGCAGTGACGGGAGCGCTGACCACGGCCGATTTTTGGAACTGCCAAGCCACCACTGTCGGTTGCCGGCCGGTATACCTTGAACGGACGCCCCCGCTGACCCTCTCTGGCTGGCTACAGGGTTAGGGGGCATTCATCAAAGCGATTATCGATACAGTAAAAACCCCTGCATGAGCAACCCTGTCTATCCATATCTAAGTAAAAGCAACGCCCCCATAATTACCTACACTACGATAATAACCCTCTAAACACCTCTTTTTGTCAAGGTAACCTACCGTCAATTTACAGATGTCAACCCTGCAGTGGATAGGTAGGGAAATCTTCAGTCAAAGGATGGACTTGCTTGGTGAACAGAGAAAGCGGGGTCTGCTTGATGGCAAAGATGAATCAGCATTTATGTTATCGTGCATTTCTTGGGTGCGCGAGAAGAAGAAAATCTATGCACGATACTGCTGAATCTAATGCTGTGGTGGTGTGACTCGTGCACCCGCCCTACCCCTGTACTAGCAAGCCCCCCTTGTTCGAGCAACACTTGGGGCCGAAATCTTGGTGTTACTCGAACTGGGATACAGCAAGTATTGTATGACTTACATACCGTTTAGCAAACCGGTGGCGCTGGTTGGCACTCTCAGACACTTGCTGCCCGTGCTGCCGTCAATTGGTTCAGGACCAACGCGACTGCGATACTCCAAAACATAGCATCCCGGATTCCGGACTATTGGCATTCCATCTTGGTGGTGGCCGATAACCGGCGTGCGTCCGGTGCCTTGCTTCGATTCCTGACTGCCGCTGAGTGGTGCACATCGATCGTGCGCTCTTCTTCAGTGTTGCTCCTTCCCTTCCTCCTGATTTCAAGTTCCATAGCTCGTCGCCACCGCTACAGTATGTATGATGTTTGTACGTCGTCCATGTAGGACGTAAGGCAGGCGTGAACTGCCGTGCCTGGGCTGGACATGGACTGGGCCGTCATGGATTTTTTTTCCTCTAGGCAAGAGCGCCACCTCAGTCAATATATCAGCCGTGGTTTCCCGTTCGCGTCCACAGCCTAACTTCCGTCTTTTTTTTTATTTCACCATCCGTCCGTCTTTTTCTTGCGCATTTGTGGGTGTGCTCGCATCGTCGATGCCCTCAGAATGGCTCCCTTCCTCTCTGGTCTGATCAACATTCGATCGGTTCACCAGTCTGCGCGCAAAGTCCGAGTAGGGCACCGCATTCGTCCCTCCCGCGAGCCACCTGAGAACAGGGCTGCATTTGTTTACTATCCACCTCAGCCAGCCATGGAGTTCAATCATCAAGCAGCTCGCAATTGTTTGCACTAGCGACCTATTCAAGATCGACCGTTCCCGGGATAAACTAGTAGGGAGCACTTCCCGTACCTGGGTGTCTGAAGTGTGCCTTGATCAACTTGTCGGACTACCGCAAATGCGGACGAGTGCCTGAGTATCAGTGTTACCCGTCTCTTCACATGATCTAATGCTCTCCAGATCCCTCCTCTTTCGGGCTGAACGGTCACTATAACGGCATGGTGCTCCACGAGTAATTCTACCATCATAACGGGACGCCGACTGGCTCGTTAGCATTGCGTGTCGGAGTGTTCCACCGTTGAGCTTGCTCGCGCGCACGGAACTGAACCAGGCCGTCTCAGGCACCATCTCCACTGAACGGATTCAGCAGTCGTCTTTCCCAAAATTGACTGGTCACGCTTCTGTCCTGCATCATATGCATGCGCGCCGCACCTGTCAACGCCAGTACCCCTGTCCACTCAGCGCTGCCAGACGTCCACCACCACACCACAACCACCACTACACTACGGTCCTACCTATCCGGATCTCCCACGGTCTTCACCAGCGAACACGGGCTGGCTCTTCAACTCCGCCATCGTCCCATCCCTGCGTTCATGAGGAGAGAACAAGTGACGGGCCCGGCATGTCGCCATGGACGTTTCAAGCCATCGTCTGGCCAACATCACTATTACGATTCGCCAGCTCGTATAAGACGAAACATAGCGTGCATTCGACGTGTGACGTACTCAACCCTCCGTCCAAAAGGCTGCCGGTGCAGGCCAACACCCATTAGTTACATCTCAGCGGTAACTTTCCCAGATGGGATATCCATTTCTTCGATCTTCACAGGGGATGGGAAAATGAGAACATCCATGTCTAGCTGATCCGGATCCCATGGGTGGGGACCTTCTAGGTATTTTGGGCTGAGGTGCGGTGTGTCCCCGGGGGTGAGTGTGTCAAGAGGTAGCTGGCGGCTCCGGGCCGTCCTGGCTCCAGTGTGTACCTGGCGCCACCAGGAATGGAGATGCGCCATGATCGGATAGCGCCATGATCTGATACCGCCAACCCATCTTCTGGGGCTTTTCCAAGTGTTAGTTCTCCGTGCACAGCTGCTTGTTTCATCCTTCTCCTACTGACGTTTTACGCAGCTAATTCAGAGGCTGCGATGACATACTGTCGAAACACTTTAGGTTCTGGGTCTCAGACGGCTTCTTCAGACCGGACTAAATTTCCTTGAGCAACCGAAATGCTGTCCTCCCCTCTATTGTTGCTCTTCACAGACCTTAGATGAACTCAAAGAGAGAGAAAAAAACATTGCTTCTCAGCCATGGAGAGAAATCCAGGCTCATTACTGATGCGAACGACCCCTTTGTCATGGTCAATGTAGGGTCGAGCAGCGAACAATCCACCTGGTAGGATTGGTCACCTGCGATCACCGCAAAACTGTCCATAAAAAAAAGAAAAGACCCCACGGTACAAGCGAGAACGAGGATTACCTCGGTGCTTAGCCCAACACAGTCAGTCCTGCCTGCCAAGACGCACCCGCGAGAAAAGGGGCGGTTGAGCGGAGACAGCCCCGCGCCAACAGCAAAAAGAGCTAGACATTCCTATCGTCATCATTCATCATCAACTGTCAAAAGGGAGGTGACGATTTGCCCTCGCCAACCCTGCTCCACCTATCAACTGCTACACCTCAACCCGAATATACCTGGTCGAGCGTGAGGCTTCCATACACCAAGATTGGGTGCTCATGGGTATGTAGTGTAACCTCCGCCTCGATTGTTCATCTCGGAGATACTTGTCTTGCTTGTCTAGAATCGTGGCCGGCCTTGGCTTCGAAGATCCCGTCGAAGGCGATCTTGGCCAGACCAAAGCCCAATGGCTACACTACACTACACTTCCTTGCCCCACCCGCTTGATATCCTTTGATTGCGTTCGCTCTCTGTTCCAATGAGATGGTACCTGAACGTCCCTACCTGGCATTCATGCGCTGTCTTGCCTTTGCGAGACTGCAGCCTTTTCCGCCATCCTTGATCGAGAAAACGTTGCATATCTGTTGAGACAGCTGCAAAAATGAGGGGCTCTAACATCCCGGATCCCTACGAGACCATGACAACCTTGGGACGCAATGCCTGGGTGGATCCCAGTCCGAGATTCATCGGCCGTCCAGATCGGGAACCTGGGGTTGTTGGTCTGCTCATTGCTTCTCAGTTGCAACGTGCAGGGACCAGCTGCTTTTGGATTGGCTTGAGGGCTGCCCGCTATCTCAGAGACCGGCCGTCTTCTGACCCGAATGCACAATATCGGACGTTACTTAGTTCATAAGACGTCCGCTCCTTCTTCACGGCAACCGAAGAAACACCCGGGATATCATGCAGCAGGATGCTGACAACAGTCTTATATCTGTTTAATATTTAACTCTCGCAGACTTCCAGGTTGCTTCAGACGACTCATCAACGATTTCAGCTTATCATCATGCCAAGACAACACCTAACACCGAACGCGTGCCTAGTATGCCGCAAGAAAAGGACAAAGGTATGCTCTCAAAAGATCAATTGAACAATCCCCATCCCCAGACATCGACGACTTCTTCATCAACACACACACTGCCACTTTCTTCGCTTCCAATATCATGCCTTGAAGCTGTTGCCCCAAGCCATGCTCATGCACACTTGGACTAACACGCAATCCTCAGTGTGATGGCCAGATGCCATGCCGCAGGTGCAGGTCTCGTGGAGAGGAATGCGCATACGAGGACAAGAAATGGCGTACCAAGGACCATCTCAGGTCCGAAATTGAAAGACTTCGAAACGAGCAACGGCAGGGACATGCGGTGATTCGGGCTCTCATCAACGACGAGCAGGACTGGGAGTCGTTCCTATCACGGATTCGGGGCGACGAATCACCCGAGGCTATTGCCGACTGGATACGCTCGATACGGAACCTTTTTGAGCCGCTCCAGGCGGCGTCATCACAGAGCATGGGAGGCTTGGGTGCACCACCAACATTGCTGTCACCGTCTCAACCCACCGCTTCCGAGTCGTCGCAACTGCACAGAGCCGCTAGCTTTGCTGGCATTGGCAGCTACAACTTTGGTCAGGGCCGGATCCCATTTGACCAGTCCACTCCTCGGAGCAGCTTCTCCTCGGATCTCTCCCCTACCACCCCCTTCTCGTTTAGGGAACAAGCAGATTTCATTCACGCCCCTCAGCCCATGTATCCGTCCTCTAGAAGGTTTTCTAGCTCATCCCTTCCATCCCTTCCTCTGCGACATTCTTCGCAACCTCTTGTCCCTGGTATCTTCAACGAGCCCTTGCCTCATACTTGGACCAGTATAACATCAGACACCCAGCTCGTCCAGAGACTTCTATCCAGATTCTTCTCGGCTCCATGCTCTTTACTATGCTTCATCCCGCAATCTTCTTTCATGAAGGCGTTTCGTGAGGGCGATTCCCGCTACTGTTCCGAGGCCCTGGTGAACGCCATTTTAGGAAAGGCTTGCAAATCTTACGGTACGGCCTCGAATATTGTGTCCAGAATGGCATTTGGAGATGCCTTCATTGGCGAAGCAAAGAGGCTGCTAGCAACCGAACCGAACCACACGAACCTTCCGAGCACCCAGGCTTTGGCTGTTCTTGCCCTTGCTGAGATCTCTGAAGGAAAAGACGATGAAGCCTGGGACTTGGCATGGGCATCCGTGAGGGCAGCGATAACTCGTGAACAGAGCTTTCACGTGGATCAAGAATTCGCAACAGCCAGGGCAGTGTCTTATTGCGGTGGTTTCACTTTAATTCAGTGAGTTTAGTCTCTGATATTCTTGGCTCTCAGCAAGTTCCTGACATGGATTACCTACAGCATGCTACGCCTTCTTACCGGTCGTCTCGATCTGAATACTAGTCCCTTTTTCATGAGGCTATATCAGGGTTCCGAAGAGACACCTGAAGATGAGCCACAAAATCGCATTGAACGAGGTAAGCTTTTTATACAAGAATCATCATACTTCTGTTATGATAATTGACCATGTTGGGTTCAGGATTTGCGCTGCATATGCAGTTCCTAGCTGAACTAGAACACTGCCCGCCGCTTCCTCGGTTTGTGTTTGAAATCACGACCGCTGTGCACACTTTTGCGTCGTACAATTTCTCCAATGCCGCAACTGCGGAAGAGCTCGAAGACGCTTATGGAAAGTGTCTGGACGCCTACAAGCGTTTTGAAGAAACATTTTGCCTTGATATGGATACCACGCCGGACTTGTTGTTTGCACAGTTCGTTACCCCCCGTTGCATTCCACTTCTAGATGGGCCATAACTGACTTTTTCTTAGGATCTGGTATCACTATTGCCTGCTCGCTCTTCTACGCCCCTTCGTAAAGAGCACCGCAAGCTTGAGAGACAGTGCAATGACAACCCCCAGATTACGAAATGATGCCAACCCTTCTGATATCTGCCAACGATCATCTGAGGCCATCATCTTTCTCACGAGTACTTACCAAACTCGCTTCTCGTTGGGCAACCCGCCTGAGCTGCTCCCCCATATGCTCTTTGCGGCCGTTCTCTACCAGGTGACGCTCACACCCGACCCCGAGCACTTGAGCACCATTGCCAACGACATTAAACCGGAGCTTTCCGAATCCCCTGTGATGATGCCGTCTCAGGCTTCCTTTGGTGCTCATGGGAACTCTAATTTGGTTCCGCCGCCGCCGATGCCGTTCAACAACCATGGTTCTTATTTCCCGCAACCTCTTTCTCCCGTGTTGAAGTTGGAAGTCAGACAGGCAGCACCCCGTCGCGAGTCCAGCATCTCGTTGTCATCCACATTTGACAGCTGTGGCAATCGCCGACCAAGCGACAGTTTCACATCCAGCACACTGACCTCTCATGATGCTTCGGAGAGAGAGTCTTCCACATCAGACACTCAGTCCGATTTCCTCCCGTTCTTCACCTCGGAGCCTGCTGACCTTGTCACCATCGGTTCACTGCAACTAGCATCCATGCAACATCACGGTGCCGTCGAAGCGACTCGCTTATTGCGTAGTTTGGGCACCGTGAAGGATCTAGTGGGATCAACTCTCGACCTGGAAACTTTGGCCGAGGCATTGCCCTTTCCCATGGGTGATCTCAACACAGCCGTACTCTATACGGGCCTTGGTCTGCAGAGGGCGCCTGTTGAGTTGCAGGTCACTGGGCCGTAAAGGGTCCTAGGCAACCAATGCTTGTTACGATCTCGACCTTCTTTTTGCTTTTCCCTTTGTTCATCTATGGCATTTGGATGGGTGGTTTTTTTTTTATGCTTCTTTACCATTATTCCACTATTTTCTAATTTTTTCTTTTGTTGCTTCTTGGGCCCGATGCGGCACCTCATTTTTCACCTTTCATTCAGCAACTGTAAGCATTTACCCGCTTGGCTTGAGCCGGGAATGCTGCAGCTTTGGACGACGCCTGTGCTGGTGGTTACTGGGATGTTGGCGTTAATATGAACGGGATGATGGGACTGGATTGGGATGGTAAACGGAGTGATACCCGATGGCTTGGGTTTGCTTCGGTTGGGTTGAGTTTAAGGAGTTTGATTGGTGCGAGGCATGGCGCTTGCTTCGTGGGTTGAAGGATGGGACTCAAAAGGTCAGGACTTGTCTGCACTCCTAGAGATCCTACATGCCTACCTACATATGCGAGGCGTTTTGGGTTTGCTTTGGTAGGAGTTTTAGATATCACTTTTAACATTTATTTATTTTTTGATTACATTATTTTGAGCAATGCCTTGGTGTTCCATTGTTGTGAGTCTTTGCAATGGTCTGTCAGATGTCACGGTTGGAGAGTGTCGTCAGTAAGGTCAACTGCAAATTAGCCTATCCTGATTATACTGCTCCCTAGCTATTACACTATTTTATTAGATGGTGATACTAATGGACATTCTTTCCCCCTTTGGCTTGGTCGAATCAGAGCTAGAATGTTCTGGCCAGCAAGTGGTCCGGATGTTGATGTTCCCGTTACCAATTCTGTAGCGATCTAGTAGTACGTGGTTGTGTCGGTCAAGCTCGTGATCCAGTTGTTGTTATTAGTGTTGGTGTTGGTGTTGTTGTTAGTGTTGTCGTTAGTGTTGGTGATGGTGTATGTAATGAATGCGCTGGAAGGTTTAGCTTTGGAGGGGCTACTACTAGATATCTGTCGATCTCCTCAGAGATCGAGATCTGGCAGCCACATGGGACTAGGTAATTATCAAGATAGTCTCTAGCGAAGTTTAGAGTGTCTCTTACGGAGTCTACTTGTTCAGAGTGATCTTCAACCACCTATGTATGTATGGTTCATGTCGGTTGCTGTCTCACGGGAATACAAAGAAACAAGGGAAGACTCGGATCCACTGATGATTGGCGCAAACGATTGTCCATCGTGCCAAGACCTGAGGGATGGAAGCCTCTGGCCAATCGGAAAATAGATTCTGCAGTGGAATGTGAGCCTATCATTGGCCTACTTGCGAGCGAAATCTGGGTCTTGGCAATGAACGACACGATCACATTGCACCGCAAAGGGTGCAATCTGTGGTGTGGGTCGCTGAACCGGTGGGTATTGATATCGAAGTTGTGTTGTGCCGGTTGAGGTTGAAATAACGTGCTATCACTCGTCAGGTCCAAAGTGAATCGGCGATCGAGTGAGACACCGTTAGTTAGTGTCCTCGTCAGGTCCATAAGATCGCCCATCTAACTAGCGGGCGATCTACTAGTCAGGGACAGCGATTCGTGCATGGACAGGGACTTTTGACACTACATACCAGCTGAACAAACCCTTGGCGCCACAGCCGCCTGCCCCCAAGCAAGTTTAGCGGGGCCTACCTGCATATGTTCATGGTTTAGATGCATTTCACTCCTTGAAACTCAATATCGGTTGCACGGAGACCATGTAACATCCCGATACAAGAATCCAGTGCGAATTGCTGTCCCTGACTACCTAGGTATGTAGTAGATCGCCCGCTAGTTGGACGGGTGATCTTATAGACGACCTGACGAGCACAACTAACGGTGTCTCACCGCGATTATGGCATTGTGTACTCCTTATGGAATACGTGTAGATACTGATGCTCAGTGATCGGTTTCCCAAGGGATAGGGAAAGTGAAAAAGGGGGGAGGGGAGGGGAGGGGAGGAGGGGTAGGGAAGGGGGGCAGACGCACGAACCACAAACCACCACGATCGGGCATCTTCAATGAAGTTCAGTGAGGTGCCAACGCGTCGTCGACGACGACACGCTTTCTTTCGAACCTTCACCTTTTCCAGACGACACTGCAGCGAGGCTTTCTTCAAGGTTCAAAAACCAAACGTATGTAACGTGTCACTCGACGACTTCCAAGACTTTCTAGGTTGTTGTGAGTCTTTGCCGCTTACATAAGTAGGGTAGGTAATGTCTAGTCTGGTTTTTAGTGTACGATACATACCATACCCCTCTAAGACATGGAGGTACACTACCTACCTTTGGCCATTCTGCCTGTTGACACCGCTTCAAGATGTTTTCCCCCCCAATCGCAGCGAGCAAATGTCAACGCCAGCAAACGGCGAAAGAAGAGCATTTGTTTCATAAAAGAGACACTGAATCTCAGATATGATCCTGACGTGACATCATCGGATCCAGATGAAACTGTACCTTACCTACCGCTATGTCGTTGACATGAGCGACCTGTTCCTGGTTTGGGTGAAACTTGAACGGTTGCGAGGAAACGCTCTTATAGCTCCAATCCTGATGGGTACCTAGGTACCTACATATGATCTGGAACAAACCAACGCCGAGTAAGATGGATGCTTACTTGAATGGCGAAAACTGAATGCCCGAGTTGGACTCCGATTTGGGCTTCGATTTGGACCTGGCCCAACTGCTCCAAATTCCTTTACTGCACCAGGTTGTGCTCTGAAGCCCGAGAGCTCGATGCACAGAGCAATATGCCTCGGTGCCACGAGGAAGAGAAGCACCGGCACTGCGGGCCCTTCAAACGCCAACAATACCTCTACGTCTCTCGCTCCGACCTATGCGGAAAGTCCGATGTGATGCGAACTTTGGTTTTTCTTTGGCCTTCCCGCCAAACGCCAGAAACTGCCCAAACCGCGCCATCGCGATGGCTACTACCCCCACCCTCTCCGGGGCAGAGCAGAACACCCAGCCAGGCAGGAAACGGGTACGACGCCGTCAAAAAACACTCAGAATGTGTGGTGCCAGGCAAGCTTGTCGCTGGGAAGTGGTAGTCGAACAGATGGAACATAAATAAGGAAGCGCACAAGGTGAACTTCAGGGAGATGCTACATGCTCGTCACTTGGATTTGGACAAAGTTGGGACGTAGGTATGTAGACGTGGGGCGACTTGAGGACGGGAGGATGATGAAGACCTAAGTGCTGCTGAGGAGAGGGAGAAGAGTGAGCAGAGCAGTGAGTGATCGTGCTGGGGGTTGGTGATGATGAGGTTCTTCCCAGATATGAGCGATGGCTTATAGGTACTTTTTGAGCTTGTCTCGACTGGCCCGAGATTGGACATAGACTTGACCATCACCAAGGCCATCTCCTAGACTGGTATCTACACTACTGAGGTTTACAGCCACCAGTCACTGAGAATTCCATAGGTATGCATGCCTAGGTAGATGTCCATTGCCGGAGTTCTACAACATCTACGTATCGGCAGGATGGTCATCGTGTCGCTGGAGAAGGAAAGGAACAAAAGGAATGAGGCCGCGAGGGTGAGGTGAGGTCTGCCCCCGCGCTGACTACCTTGGTACTGCTGCATAATTGCTGCACATGTCCACCATTCTTGGTTCGTCAGCGCTCGAGACCAGCTGGTGACGTGATTTCATGAGCCAAACTTGGTCGATTCACATGAGAAAATGCATTTGCCCACAGTGGTGGAGGGGGATAAAAGCAGGCATAAAAAGGAAACCGCTGTCTTCAAATTTCTTCCTATTACTCTTCCTCCTACTTTCTTCCTTTATCCAACCGCCACCGGACAACCTGCTACAGCCCGATTTTCACATTAGCAGATTACAAGTCAAACCTCTCCCCGCCAACATTTTGTCCTTTTTTTTTTTCCTTTTTACTCCGATCCAGTACGAATATCCAGTGGCAGTGACAAAGACATTGATTACAGAGGTCCAATATGCCATCGCGACAAGAGTTAGCCGCTCCTTCCTCGACACCGGCACCGGCTCCGGCTCCATCGAAGAAGAAGAAGCCCAAAAAGATAACCGGCCCTCCTCCCCGTTCTAGACCATTCAAGCGCCCGTACCATGTATCCAAGGACCGCCCCATGTCTTGGTATCGGAGCGACGCCAACCGACTTTCTCTCTGGTCTCCATTGTGTGAGGCCTTCCCCATCCTCGACAAGCTTCCTAAGCTCCAACAAAGACCCTACAGGGACGATAAGCCCATAGCCGTAAACGGCTTCGATGCCACAAAGAAGCATTTCTACGCTGCCCAGGCCAAGTGGGAACGAGCCGTGGAGATCATGGAGGAAGAGGGACGACGGATGGTCTACTACGGAAGAACGATGCGCGAAGAGGCGCAGGCGTGTCATAAGTGGGTGGGCCAGGTTGGCAAGCTGACGTGGGAAGGGCACCATGGAAGGATGAAAAATTATGATGCCTTCCAGGAGGCTTTGGATAAGGTCTGTAAGATGAACAAGAAGGCCGTGGAGACGGTCAATGAAGTACAAGAGCCCACCAAGAAATGGCCGGTGGAGTTTATATGCCAGAGGAGGGCTTGGGAGGAAGAAGAGGAAGACCCGACCGACGATGATGAAGAGGACGAAATTGAAGCGGTGGCTTCTCTGCTCTTTCCTCGGTTTTAAGGCCACAACTAGCTAGGTAGGTAGGTACTTAGCTCTACTCATGTTGTTGCGGTCCGACGGAGTCTTCTTCTCGTATGTGTTCTAGAGTAATGCCTCGTCATTGTGATTACAGGTGTGAACCATGCGCTCCGTGGCTTAAGGGAAGTGCTTGGGGTTGGTGGTGTCAGATGTAATCTTACCGAGTGTCATTCCTCGCGCCTTCACCTGGGTAGGGAAGGAGCGGCAACGGGCAGGGCAGGTATGTACAATTAGTGGCAACCGGGAGCAATTACATGTGCCAACACTTCTCGATCGGAAAGCATATCAACCGAACTTTGAAGGAACGATTAACGTCCACTTCTTGGTACTTATCCAAGGAGTACAACGCCGGACTTATGGGTAAGAGGCGTTGGAAATCCCCAACACCTTTCGCAAATACTACTTACTGTAAACTAGATGTTCAGGTTTGTAAATATATTTTGTCGTTTCTTGATGTTTTGTAGTTTAGTTTGAGCTGAGTCTCGTTTACTCAAGGAGTTTGCTCTCCAGTTCGTGATCTCCTGTTTCAAAGTTGTTTGTGTCGAGTTCAGGCCGTGACACACTCTTCTGCTGCAATAAAAGTGTTGCACATTATCTACAACAGGTGCTTACCCGTTGACAGATTTTTGATGATGTATTTAATACCATGCCAAAGCTCGCTTTCACTCACCTCGGCACCATCATCGACATCTCCCAATCCAACACACTTGTTTAAGCCATGACCGCGAAGATGCAACTCCTTCACTTTCTCGTATTCATTTTCACCACCACTGTTACGGCTTCAAATTCCTCGTGTTTTGACGATGGCAATTTTCAACGAAGTTGTGATCCCGACTCATTCAAGTTCACACCGCACATGGGCATAAGCGCTGTTTGCCAGCGGGGCGACGCAGAGAGCAACCTTACTACCACGTTGGGTCTGTCAAAGTGCATTGCCTACAACATTAAGGAGAGCAAGCTGGAGTGGAAGATACCTCCGTCGTGTACGAATTCCACCACGGTGGATGAGAAGAAGATGAATAGTACACAGGGAAACTTGTCAGTTTTGGCATCCTGAAGTCACCTGGTAGTGAGACACACCCTCCATTCACTTTATGACTGACGACAAGTCTCCGTGTTAGGGTTGAACTTGACGACTATTGTATGACCTCGAATCACAGGTGCGGACCATGGCAGTACAGCAATTGGACGTGGACAGCAATTCTGCAGTGCAATCGTGGAGATGAGAAGCCGTCTGACTGGTCCTTGTTTACGGGAATCAATCTGGGTAGGACTAATCACCATTCTTTCCCCTTATCACGACAACATTGACGGTAAACTGATGATGATTTTGTCCTACAGCCGAGCATATCTTCAATAGTGATGGCCGACTGGGATGCTTTGGAATGCTCGGACCTTAGATGCTTGATTTTGACTGCAGTATCTCTATGAGTTGGTGAAATTCATATAGTCGACTGGGAAAGGCTTAGTGCTCGGGATGAGTAATCTCACGAGAGGGAAGGGACGCGGAGGGACAGGCAATTGTCAAGTAGTCAACAGTCGTGGAATATTCTCAAATCTCTGTCGAGGCATCTCAATTGTTTCAGACACACGCGCGTACTTGTTGGCTTGACTGCCCATCCTAACAAAATCCACTGAAATATCAGCGAAATGAGGTTATGAGTTCTGCCTCTAATTCAAAATAAAGTAGACTTTGAAGTAAGGACCATCTTCGCGGTACATCCAGGGCAGCGCGTGGAGGGATTGGGCTACAGCGCAGGGCAGTGACCAACATTCTTCAATACCGCCGCTGTCGATGAGATGTCAATTTTCCATCCACACTACTTTACGTAGCGATGTGTCATAGTATGCTAGAAGCAACTGAGTTGAACCAAGATGGTGAGGCATTCGCGCGTGACAAAGAGAATATTCACTCCCGATTTCCAACCTTATAACTATAACCTCCTACCCCAGCCAAGCCCAGACCGTCAAGCTTTCCACCGAGTGTACCTTTATTATCGACTTAGTCTACCAAGCACTCACCAAAGACGAACGACCTCAAAATGCATTTCCCACTCCTTCCCCCCACTCTCGCCCACATTCTCACCACTCTCGCCACCCTCATCCCCACCATCTCCGCCGCTACCATCGCCAACACCGACCCCAGCCAAAAGCCCATGATAGACACATTCCGCAAGTCCTGTGTAAACTGGCAAGTCGACTCCAAAGCCTGCGCCCTCTCCGGCATCTGCAAGCTCACCGACGACTCCCATGAGGCATCCCACCCGAGACTGCACGGATGGCGCGAGACGAAGCTGGATCTGAACCAGTGTATCTGGTTTGATGCCAAGGAGAGTAAACTCAAGTGGTTTGAGGAGAGAGACGGAAAGGTGGAGGATTTATCTGGGTAAGGAGTCCACACCTAGCTTGTAATATGATGGGATGGGATGGGAATGGGAATGGGAGCTGACAAAGTGAGAAAACAGGACGGCCAACTTTTGTAGGGATTTTTGCGATTGCTGGCTTTATGGAGGGGGGGTATCAGGGGATATGTTGGCTTGTATCTGTGATTCGGGGAGTCATAAGAGGGATACGTGGAGTTCGTTGAATTTGAGTAGGTTCATTCTTTCAGTTCTTTTGATGGGCGAAGCTGACTTGTATGTAGCGGAACGGATTGCGAATGGCGGAGGGCATTTTGAGTGCTTTGGGCGCAAGGGAAACTAGAAGGAGTAGGTGAAGTGAGTAAGGGACTTCAATGGACGAAGAGCGCGACGGGCAGAGAGAAAAATAACCAAGAAAAGCGTTAATAATTCAGCATCTTTGATTTTTGCTTTTCAATTGAATTGTCTCCGAAAATCGTTGCCGGTACCTATGTCAAGGGCTTGCCGTGGACCCGACTCCACCCGACACTAACAGACATGTCCGCTATAACCGCACTGTGGGAGATGATGCAGTGGAGACGACTGGACAGTCCTTTGAGCGCTGTTGGACCAAACTATGATTAAATGACTGTAGCGAACTATCAAGAAATAACGAGACTTGGGCACATTCTGGTAAAGGCAGACTGTAATCCACAACTTTTCATTTGTTTGTGTTACCGTGAAGTTGTTTTAGACATGCCTTGTGCTACATTCTGGGGAAGAGGCTCTGACGGGAGAGGCGTCTGATAGTGTTTGTTAGCGCACGGGAACAACCGCCGTCCCCATCCTTGGTTATGCCACCCCTGCGACGTCTCACAAACACCACATCTTGGCAAGCCACTCCCGTCCATGGAACCCATCACCACTCACCTGGGCACTATGTACTACCCAACCACCAGCCACAAACATGGCTTGTCTCGCGCGGGGTCGACCACACGACAACGACAACCAACCCCTCTTGCCGAACTGAAGCGATTTCGAGCGACCTTCCGATATGACTTTGGACGGTGGCGTCATCCCCCACATCCTGTGCCATCGTTGTTCTCGCATCATCCACTCCGACTGGGTTCAAGAACGACTCGCACGGCTAGAGCCATGGACGGGCACCAGCACTTGGGCATTGGACGGGGATGCCGGCCAGGAAGAGAAACTTCGCTTCTTCCACTCTGAAAGCTTGGAGAAGCTGGAGGCATCCGCCGCTGCCGGCTGCCACCTCTGTACTCTGATCAGCAAGAAGGACCAATACTTCGAATGGTTCAAGGACGAGGAGCATACGGGTGTCGTCCAGGTCGTCGCCTGTGCTGGGCATTCCTCGGTCTGGCTGGAAACGAGCCGGATACAAGAGCTGGAGATCGACGAGGATATGCCGCATGACTTGCCCGGACTGGACGACTGGCTGGAGGAACGGTACAGCCAGAGTTTGGACTTTTCTGGCGCATGGATCATGGATGACTTTGTCACTGTCCAGCTGCGCAAGGTTCAGAGTGGTTGGTTGCCTGCCTGCCTACCTGGATGGGAAAGTCAAGGTTGATTCTGACGTTGTTTTCCACAGATACATACTCCCCAGCAGCAGGCCCTGATTCCAACCTCCCTCTGTCTGCCTCCTCGGATGCTCCCCAAGTGCTTGAATCCATACAGTACTGGTTGAAAGACTGCGTCGACAACCACCCCGAGTGCAACCGCTATTCCTCCACGCAAAAGGACCCTACTGCCATCTGGCTGCCTACGCGGCTCATCGACGTGGGAGAAGTCCCCGGCAAACTAGCCCCCCGGCTGGTAATATCGGCTGCCGAAGGCCTTGCCAAAAAGAAGGCACACTACCTCACCCTCAGTCATTCCTGGTCCATCTCCACGAAACCGCACAACTTGAAGCTGGAGACAGAAAACATGACCCAGTTGCAAGACAGAATACCCTTTGATGACAGGCTGTCCAAGACGTTTCGAGATGCCATGAAGATCACACAGCAACTCGGGTGCCGATACATCTGGATCGATTCACTGTGCATCATCCAAAGTGGGACAGAAGCCAAGAAGGACTGGCAAAGAGAAGGACTTACCATGAGTGACGTCTACGGCCACTCTCGCTGTAACATCACTGCACTCGGGACCGGTGGCAACGACGGATGCTATACCCCAAGGAACCCGTTGCAGACCAGCCCATGTCGGATCAAAGTGTGTGACGAAAAGTCCGCCATATACGCCGTCAACTCGCTCCTTGAAAACACTTTCACGGAGAATGTTGAACAGTCTCCTCTTTTCAAGCGAGGCTGGGTCTTCCAGGAAAGCGTCCTGTCGTCGCGAGCCGTCTACTTTGGTGCTCCCCAGCTCTTCTGGGAATGTCGGCGTCAAGCTTTTGCCGAGTCTTGGCCCTTCAAGACTGGCACCCCCCGAGTTCAAGAGCGTCTCACCGAGCCTACTTTGCGAGCCACCGGGGACACCCCTTTTTCCTCCAAGACGGTCTTTGAAGCACTTTGCAACACTGAAGAACAGCAGACAGACGGGTCCCACGAACAGAAAAACAGGGAAAAACACCTAATCGAGCACACATTTCCCTCCTTCCTCTGCTGGGAAAAGATCGTCAAGACCTTCATCGGCACCTCTTTGACCTTTACCTCCGACCGTCTCTTCGCCGTGGCCGGCATTGCCCGCGCCATTGAGCACTTCCGCTCCTTCACCTACGTCACCGGAACCTGGCGTGAGCTCTACCCGCTCGACCTCCTCTGGCGCTTCACCCGCGAGCTGGGCGAGAGAAAGAACGTGGTTTCCGGCTCCAACGCTCCTTCGTGGTCTTGGGCCGCCAAGGAACTTGATGTGCAGGCGTCGCTGAAAAACATTGCGAGAAGCGGAAAGAACACACAACGGCCCGCCCATTGGGATGGGAACAAGCGATTCTTGGTCGAGTCGGTTACTAGCGTCGCTTACCTCTCCCAGCTCGTTAAATACCCTAACCCCCCGTTTGAGTCCAAGTACAGGCCTGATAAAGAGGGGGAGATCACAATTGATTTGAAGGGCCGCGTGTGCATGGGCTTGGTGAAGACGGAGCTGGATATCCAGGGCTTTCCGCAGGATCGATTGTACGTCGCAGGGAAGGATAAGACGCCCGTTATTGTGCACATGGACGATGACACACCGGCAGATGGGCTCGAAGTGGTCCTCGTCATGTTGATGGAGTGGGAAGGGCTGGTCGGCAATTATTGGAAACGACAATTCCAGGCTGGTTTGGTCTTGGTGGCCAAAGACGAGGGTGATAAAGGAGGATCGACCATTTACCGGCGTGTCGGGGCCTTCAGGACGGGCGAATTGTCAGAGTGTCCTGTCAATGCATTCGACGGAAGTGAAATGGAGGAGGTGCTGGGTATTTGCTGAGGTCGATTTCAGTTCAACAAAAAGGAGATCCCGTTCATGCCTAGCTATGCTCCACTCTATTCACACCGTCCCCTTTTTCTCGTCCTGGTCTTGGCTTACCCACCCAAAGCGGATCACAGGCTGCCGTTGCACCCCTGAGATCTCGTGTAGACCCTAGGCACAAGCAGAACCTCCACACCCCGATGTCGATCATTGTCAGTTTTCAGTCGTGGCATTTCCAGAAAGGTTTCATGTTCCAAAGTCAGCGAGCCTCGGTTCCCCAACCTCAGAACAAGTTGACAAACCGATATCGTCTTCTCAGTTCATGCCAGTTCGTATCGCAATCGGCCCTTAGAAAGAACATGCTGATTTGGAAAACGACAGTCAACGTTACAACGAGGTTCCCTTTCGTATCGATTGAGTTCACCTTATCACACCGCTTCGGGCGTTTGTGTTTTTGATTGGCGACGACCCGAACTCCCCCACCGTTGCATCAACTCAGCCTCCAGGGTCCCGGTGCAACCGATATCCCGATACCCTCGTACAAGTGTTGCCAAGCAGATGAGTCGAAACTCGTTGATTCGTGGAACGGATCACCCCCGACTCTCTTGTTCGGTTTCTGGGTGACACAGCATTCTGCAATCGCGCACAGCCCTTGCTGCTGTCGAGGTCTGTCATCATTGCCGTGCCAGCCGCAATATTGCCTTCGCTGTGAAGGATACCCCACGTTTTTTGGGCGATCTTATGGCATCAATGGTGTTACTGTGGCGTTGGGCTGCTGTGTACACAGTAGCAACGAAATCAATCAAAGTTTTCATTTCTTTTTTCAAATCTCGAATTCAACCCCTCCACCAAACAGTCCTTCATCTGTTTGCTTTGATGACCTCATTGTTGTGCTCAATCTTCAGTGTAACACGAAGAAATAAGCGCCCACGGTGGACTTGGCAGATCGACGCTGGTTTGTTTGTTAGCTCAAGACTTGCGACCTCCGCGGACCTTGGAAAAGACAAGGCATTTGGGAGCCCCCATTGGTTCCCAACAACCCCAAGCCAGGTTCAAGAACAACAATCAAAAGTGTTCCGCACACTTGTAACCAGGACCTACTTCATTCAGAGCAGGAAATAGCCAAACGGATTTCAATCAGCAGTACCGCCTGGCAGTCATGAAAGTGGGAAGAGTCCTCTGCAAAGACTGTGGGGTGAACTGTGATACGTGTAGCGGTGTCTCCATATGTATCTCAGTCCCCTTGTCTCGGCCATAGCCGAGTCAGCCAGCTGCACTGCTACCGAGACCAGCGTCCGCGAGGTTTCGCGAAGCCCGTAAGTTTCCCTGCTAGGACAATTAGGGGACCAAAAAACGTCGATCAGTTGAAGCTACGGCACATTTGGCCTAGCTTGAGCTGTCAGACCTGCTTGGTGAACCCCGCTGGGAAGGGGAGATACGAGAAAGAAGAATTGTCCGCCTTCTTGGCAGTCGTCAGAGAAAGGAAAGTCCCCATCTGTTGAGGATTCGATTCCCATGTGCAGCAGCAGCAGCAGCAGCAGCAACTCGACTCTTCTCCATGCTTCTCCTTGTTTGATTGATGCCAAGCGGGCGGTTCCCCACAAGCCGGTGGATGCTGAACGTCCCTCCTTGTCTACAGGGTCGTCTACAGACCACCAAAAACAACACAAGCCACGACAGGGCAATACGAGCCGGCAGACGGTGGCGGTGACTTTTGAACGTCAACTGGCCAGCAAACGAGTAACGTAACAGCCAGCAGGTACGGCTACAACGGCATCGAAGGAGGATCCGGCGGATACCGTGATGATCACCATCAGTAGCTCAGGTCGACCGGGACGCCAGCTCGTAATCCAACGTCCGTTCGTATGAACCTGTTCACAAGATCTTGGAGTATAAGATCTCGAGAATCTCTCTCTGTCTTGCCTCTCAACCATCTCATCCAGCATCACAATCAACAATCCAACACTTCAATCTAAACCTAATCTCTAATCACCACCAACCAACCAACCAACCCCCACCAAACTCATTCAAAATGGTCAACTTCACCCGCGCCGCTGCTGCCCTGGCCCTCGCTGCCACCGCCACCGCTGCCCCCACCAACGCCACCACCAGCCTCACCTGGGATGTCAAGGACTTTGACTTCCACGCCGACTACGTCTTCACCACCCCTGCCCACCAGAACAGCTACGGCCATGTCAACTTCTCCTTGACCTCCGAGAAGACCGGCGCCGTCTACAGCTGCGGCGCCCAGTCCAGCCAGATTCCCGACTTCTTCTACGACTTCAACGACTTCTACCCCTGCTCTGCTCCCAAGGGCGCTGTTGAGGGCACCGAGAGCTGGGCCAGCTTCAAGTACAACCGTGAGGATGGCAAGGTTACCGTGCGCGAGACCCTTTATGCCTCTGACAACAAGTCGTAAGTCAACCCTACCTGTGATCACCAGAAGGAGACAACTAGAGAAAGAGACTAACATGAACACCAAAAAAAAAAGTATCACCGCTACTGGCTCCACCATCGTCAAGACCACCTGCACCGACGAGTCCACTGGCCCCAACCCCAACTGGACCATTGGCGAGAACTACTCCGAGCGTCACATTGTTTGCGACAAGACCGACTTCACTGTCACTGGCACCGTTTCTGCTTAAGCGGGTTTCCTTCCTGGGCGCTGTCAACCTAGCCTAGCCTAGCCTAGAGCTAGCAACAGTTACACTCGAGTAGTAGTAATATGGGGATGGTGATGTTGGGGTGACATGGAAAGAAGAAATGTTAACGGAAGTTGTGGGGAATGAGGAATGAGTTGGAAGAAGTTATAGACAAAACAGATACAGATGCAGATACAGATCCGCTGCCATTATCAAAATACAAACATAATTTTGGCGCGCTAGCTTGTTTCTTGATTGCTGCTGCTGTCATGACTTACTTGTCTTGACTACCTCTAGCTGCAAGAAAACGTGTTTGATTGGTGTTGATGCATTGCTTCAATCGGATCTGAAACCGACTGATCTCAGCTCCCTGCTCGTAGTAATCTGAGACAAAACTTCAGCCCTGAAATCTAATGTGACGTATCAATTAAGATGTCTTTCTTTCCCTTTTTGGAGTCCCTACATATGTAGTCTGACTGCCCGTTACAGACTGTGAATCACACACAGCATCCTCGGCCAGACATCCAGCACTCCTAAAGCAGATATACCTTAGCCATCAAAATCAACAACCCACCCATCCCAACTAATGCCATCGTAGCTTCATTACACAGCAGTACAGTAGACTTACAAGTCTTGCACATCATACTAACCTGACTGACCACTGCATCTAGTATTTAATAACATTTTCCGAAACCCTTCACTTATCATGTGGTCTTCCAAGGAACTTTATTACCTACCCTACCTAGAGTGGAAGATAAAAGGGGATAGGCGATGACAGTAAGTAAGGGGGGGCTTGTAAAGTGATGAGCGATTGGACTAACTAACTCGTTGGGCTTAGGAGATAAAGAAACGAAAAAAGAAAAAAAAGAAAAGAAAAAGAAAAAAGAAAACCACTACGAATCGTGTGCACGGTGTGGTGGGATGTCTTTCCGTTTCTCGTGGGTCATGTACTGTACCCATTACTGCCCTTTACACTCATACGTACCTAAACTCAATAATAAAGGTGTGTAGAACCTTGGTGGGTGAAACACTTTATAAAAGGTAAACGAATCCGGTTGTTGTTTGTTACTAGTTCTACAAGTAGGAGTTGGTACCTAGCTACCTACCATGGTCCGTTACATTTACAACCCCCTGTTGGTTGTGTGTGCATGCAAAGAAAAGATAAAAGAAAAAAAAAAAAGGGAGAGAAAAGGGATAAGAAGAAGCGGACGTTAAAAAGGGAAAGAGATAGAAAAGAAAGAGAGGAAAAAAAAAGAGAAAAAACATACAACACCAGGGATTCGCTGGTCGTCACCGACCCAACTACTAGTCTGGCCCTCATTGGCTTATCTATGGGAGAGCGGACGGGATCCCGAGTTTTCCAGTGGGTATGGTCGTATGTGTTATAAGTGAATTTAGCAAGGACTTATGTACAAAGATTTTCGTAATCATTACCAGTTTCTCATAAACATACTCCAACACCGGTTCAATTGTTGGCATGATATGATTACTTCGATCGACACTTTTCCTTCTCAAACTTGGTTTGGTGGATTTTTGGCGATGCAAGCCCTAGAAAAAGCGCCAAAAGTGTTTTCCTTTTGGGTATTGTCTCTTGAAATAATAAGAAAGGCTGTTATAAAACTCTCTCTCTCTACCCAACGATTTGGGACCAATCATGTACTTCTGGATCGCACACACATTCCTCCCCTATGTATTCAAAGTCGGAAGAAGTCCACACACGCTAACAATCAAACCAGTATTGAAACTGTGCTGAACAGAAAAAGTCCTTCCCATCATACCAAGAAGCGATGAGATGTGCTACACCACCCACTGTAGGTAACCATTGATACTATAACTTGGAAGAGGGGGGGTTAGGATGAATAAACATGAACTAAGACTTGCTGTTCACATAGTCGAGCTGTGACGAACAAGATTTGTTTGCTGTGCATGGAGTTAGCTATGATGGAGTTGTTGGTTGGAGGACGTTGATTTTGATGGCTACCTATATCTGCATTGAGACAAAGCTATCAGCGAGCAATATGATCCATCAATGTCTGGGACCTCAGCTGTGTGACCGTGACGTACCTTGACTTTCGTGCTTGGAATTGGATGAAGGTGTAGTTAACCGACATCTTGGGATGTTTGGGCTAAGAAATACGGGCTTAAGAAAGGTGTAGAAAAAGAGAAAAGAGGATAAATAAGAAAAAGACATGGCGACGAAAAAAGATAACAAGACACAAGTTGTTCAGTCAGAACCCTCGTAAACAGTATAGACGGGTATGTTCCTCTTGAGGCAATCTCTCCATTGAGGAAGGCTGCGCTTGTAAGGGGTATTGGTAGACTTCTGGAGGTCCTCAATAGCAGAACCCCACTTGACGAGTTCCGGCTCACCATAGGCAGTCTGCATGATGCCGAGACCGATGCCCATACCGCTGGCGGAGTGAATACCGGCGGGAAGGGTGATCATAGGGTAGCCAGCCTGGGCAGCAATCTGGGGAGCCTGAGCGACATCAGGAGGAACAAGGAGACCCGAGATCTTCTTACCCTTGTAGGTCAGAGCGTCATCGATGCCGTTGCGGGTGGACGACTGGGTGAAGTTGAGGGCCTGGTAGTAGGTCTCATCCTTGATACCCTTGGTGGCGAGTGAGGCGAGGAAGCCATCCTGACCAGAGTAGAAGGCGGGATGACCAAGGGGCCAGGGACGGCCACCCTCGGTGGCATCGTTGTCGTAGTTGAACTGGACGATATCCTCGAGAGAACGAATGCTTGCGTTCTCGAGCTCGGAGAGGTACGTCTTGATGTTGTTGTAGAAGTCAACCTTGACGACGGTGTACTCGGACTCGTTGGGGTAGCCGCGGTTGGTGCCATAGTCCCAGTCCCAGCCGTAGGGGCTGACGATTCTCTCGTGGTCGGTAATCTCGGTGCCGTTGATGATGGTGGCGCCAGCATCCTCGATGAGCTTGATGAGAGCCGTCAACTGGCGAACCTGCTCAGGATCGGCGTAGCGCCAGAAGCTGTTCCAGGGAATACCAAAGACGGCGTCCTTGAGGGCAGTTTTGGTGGTGAGGTAGGATGCGTAGCCGTCCTCGGGAGTCTTGCCTTCCTGGGCAAGGGTGTACTCGTCCCGCTGATCAATGCCGTAGATGGCATCAAGAGCATAGACGGCATCACGAACTGTACGACCAAACGTACCGACGGTATCTTGGTGCTCGCTCTCGGGAATAACACCGGCACGGGAAGTAAGACCGACGGTGGGCTTGAGGCCGACAATGTTGTTGCGCATAGCCGGGTTGATGACGGATCCGTCGGTCTCGGTACCGAGGGAGAAGGCGATGGCATTGGCAGCGACACCCACGGCGCTACCGGAGGAGGAACCGCCAGGGTTGACGGTCAGGTTGTAAGCAGAGCGGCACTGGCCACCGCGGGCAGAGTAACCCTCGGAGTAGTTGTTGCTGCGCATATCGGCCCACTCGGAGAGGATAGCCTTGCCGAAGAGAACGGCACCGGCCTCACGGAGCTTGGCGACAACGTGGGCATCACGGGGAACGATGCTGCCGAGAAGAGCCCACGAGCCAGCAGTGGTCTCGAGCTGATCCTTGGTGGCAATGTTGTCCTTGACGGTGAAGGGGATACCATGGAGAGGACCGCGGATCTTGGCGGCGGCACGCTCAGCGTCCATCTGAGCAGCGATGGACAGGGCATCAGGGTTGTACTGGAGGAGGGAGTTGATGTAGAGATGGGTCTGGAAAGTACGGAGGACATAGCAACCGACAAGCTGAACCGAGGTGAGGGTGCCATTGTTCATGGCAGCCTGCATGTCATCGATGGTGGCCTCCTCAAGCCTGAAGGTGCCGCAGGGAAGGACAGGGAAGAGGACGTCGGTGAGCGGGCAGTTCTCCTTGAGGAGCTTGATGTCCTTGGTGGAAGGGGTCGAGAGGGAAGCGCCCAGACATATGCCAATCGCCGTGGCGACGGCTAGCCAACTCTTGAGGCCAGGCATCACGATGAAGCTGTTGATGTATAAACAAACAAACAAACAAACAAACAAACAAACAAACAAACAGAAAGAGTGCTGTCGCGTCCGGCGGTGTCCAGTGACTCCAGTTGCGGAAAGCACGGTATGGCATACCATGAACATCAATAGTAGTCGAAGATATGGAGATGACAGATGGACAAGTTGACGTGATGCTTCATGTTGTTTGAGGTTGTCTTGAGAGATTCGTTATCAAAGCGATGATGGAGAGAAGTGACCGATATGAGTGCCAAGAATGTCCGATTTCTGGAGGAATGGTGCATTCTCCCCTGTAGTTGCAGTGGAGTTGTGTGGTTGTAGTGGGTTGCGTTAGATGAGCTGTCCCTGTCCCGTTTCCCCGGCGGCGTTGGACAGCAGGGTTGGTGAGGGGGCACTAACAGCTCTGGTCGTGGCCCGTGCTCCCACTGCCGCTAAAATACTAGACTAGAACCTCAGTGTTCGCAAAACATAACGAAACCCCGTCAAGCAACCTGAACTCCATCCCTCCATCCAGCCCGGCCTCCCACCATCACCAGTTCCCATCAAAAAAAGTAAATAAATCCACATCCATTGATTCGGCCTTCTCAAACTACTTGCGCTTCGATAGCCTTGGACCGCCGGTACTGTGAGTTCGTCTCGCTTTCCGTCGTCATATCAAAATCTACCCGCACCATGATGCCTTCGGTGCTGGCCGTCCCGTCGTCGTCGTCCTTGTCACGGCTGCGGCTCTTGGTGTCGTTGTACGTGCAGTCGCTGGTCGAACCCAGCTTGTTGAGGTGGTGCTGGGGCCGCAGGCTGAGATTGTTCAGCGTTATCGATGTGCCCTTGGTGCCGCCGCCCTTGGTCGAGTGCCCCGAACGTCCCCCAGAACTGGAATCGTGGCCCCTTCTCCTGATGTACTTGTCCCACATGGGCTTGATTCCGGGAATCGACAGGGAGATCAAGGTCGCGCCAATCTCGGATACCTCGACCGCCAACAAGGCGTTGTACGTCCATGACATGTCCTTGTTCCACTGACCTTCGATGACCAGCACCAAACGAGCAATCGAGATGCAGGTAACCCTGTCCATTGT